CCCCCCCCCCCCCCCCCCCCCCCCATGGTCTCTCTCCCCTGCAGTTCAGTCCCATTCATGCTCACAGCTCTGCCCAGCCACAGTCAGCGAACTTAGCCCCCAGCAGCAGCCTCTACCCCCCCTGCCTGTAAAGCCCACAGCTCCCCCGGCCGGCCCAGCGCCCCTAACCCGGAATCGGCTAGCACGCGCAAACTTCCGCTAGCACTGTGTCAGACAGAACTTTCGTCGACTGTGAGAGAAGGTTCAACGTCTTCCCAAGCTCGACGACGGTACCTCGCACAGAGATAGAGAGAGAGAGAGAGAGAGCGCGAGAGACAGAGACACACAGCAAAATACAGGCAAGCTGGCAAGGGCCTTTCGACCAGCGCACAACCCACACCGGACCCGCGGCATAGCATAGCGGGAACACAAACTCTGACAAGGTCCTAAGCGGAGTCTGCACACCACCTGCATCGACGCATCGCCATCTGTCTTGTCTCCCTGTCACAAGCCTGCGATCGCCTCCTGGCCAGGCTGTTCTGCTCGCCCGTCCTCTACGTCACGGACTCTTGCCGCCTATCTTGTGTGTGGGGGGCTCTGTTTCGCCTTGGCAGTTGCTGTACTGGTCCGCAGTCGTCGCCCATCCTCTCTTCCGGGAGCCCAGCCGTGCTGCCTGGCGAACTTGGGGCTCGTCGACCATCTTGAGGGGGAACCCCAGGAAATGTTCATGAGACCGCAGTAATGACTTCTCGGGCACTACGGCATGGCGCCTGGGCTGCCCGCGGCCCTTGTGCTGGCGGCGCCGGCAACAGCAGCAGCAGCAGCAGCAGCAGCCTCCTCATCCTCCCATCACTAAACTTCGGCCCACCGCCTTTAACTCAGCGAAGCGCAGCTGTGCCTGTGACGGTGAGACAAAAGGCGTCACCCTTCCAGCGGCAAGCCTGGAGGTCCTTGCAATCGGCATGTCTTTCGGGGAAATGGCATCGGGATCAGGGACGTGGCCAGGCCGTGTCCGGCACCGCGGCGAGCATTCCATCGCCATGGGGTCAAGGTCATCAGCGTCATGATGGCTCCGCCGCCTCTGCCAGCGGAGCCAGCAGATTGATGCGTAACTACCCGAACCTGCTGGCCAAGAAGGAGCACGGTGGGATCAGCACTGGCAACGTGCTACCGAGCCTGCGCAGGTGCTTCTCGTTCAAGGCGAGGCATCTGACGCGTGAGGGGAAGGAGGGCTGCGAGCAGTATGTTCTCCCGATTTCTCTTCTTCTCACTACCTGCTTCATCCCTGAGTCGATTATCTTGTGAGGCAAAACCCGGAGGAGGGTGTGAGCTTAACAAACCTTGGACAATTCTTTCTCCATTGGGGCCTACGCCTGGAAGGTCTTTCCCTTCCTTGCTCTTGGCTCGCCATCCCTGCCCAGACTGCTACTCGTCGATCCAGATCTTATCCTTACTGGAGCTCCAAACTTACCAGCAAAATCGAGAACATCTCTGCTGACACTAGCTTCCCAGACCCTCTGGAGATGTCCCGGGCACCCCAACGTCAGCAGCGCGGGCTATCCGAAAGGTGCTCCCAAAGTCACTTGGTGCTCTCACACCCCATGAGAACATCTACACGGTCCCAAACCTGTTGACTTTCAGCCGGCTCATCGCGGCCCCGTTCATCGGCTATGCCATCCTGCACGATGCCCACGCCTGGGCCCTCGGGCTTTTTGTCTACGCCGGCGTCACCGACCTGCTAGACGGCTGGATCGCACGCCGTTGGAACCTGCAGACCGTTGTCGGCAGCGTCGTCGACCCCATGGCAGACAAGGCCCTTATGACCATCTTGACCGTCTGCCTGGCGACCAAGGGACTGTTACCCGGTAAGTTTTCCTGCTGGTTCCACCTGCTGCTCCACGGCCTTGGGATATACTCTCCTAGCTTACCGAACCCCTTGAACCTTTCCACCCTACCCGTTGATCCGGGAACGCGTCTCGATGTCTTTGGAATCTTGATACTTTCCCTCTATGCTTCAAGTGAAGATTGACTTCCCGTCCCTGGATGAAATGGCCTTTCTCACTCCAAAGTACCCATGCTGGGTGGTATGCTTGCGGGCATTGACCTCACCTGATACCACCTATCCAACCTTGTATTCGGCCGGATATTCACTATACTGCACAATCGCAGGTCGGTTTAGAATATCGCAGCCAACCCTGCCCACTCATCGGCACCAAAAGCCAACCCCGAGACATTCAGACTGGAAACCCCGCCGCGTGTCAGAATGTGTAAGCAAAAGCTAACCTCTGTGTGACCTTTTTTCTCCGTTTAGTCTGGCTCGCCGTCATCATCCTCGGCCGCGATGTCGGCCTGGCCATCGCCGCCATCTACTACCGCTGGATCTCGCTCCCGCCCCCCAAGACCTTCACCCGCTACTGGGACTTCAGCCTGCCCTCGGCCGAGGTCCGCCCCACCACCATCAGCAAGTACAACACCTTCCTCCAGCTGGCCCTCGTGGGCTCAACCGTCGTCGCGCCCCTGGTCACGGGCATCGAGGTCGGGCCCGCGCTGGTCGGGTTGCAGTGAGTTTCTTCTTTTCGCTTTCGTCCAGTCTTTGAAGCATGCTGACACGAACTATAGATACATCGTCGCGACCACCACCATCTGGAGTGGCCTGAGCTACGTGTTCAGCAAGGACGCCGTCAAGATCCTCTCCGATGCCAAGGACAAGGAGCAGTCCAAGGACGAGGAGGAGCCCAAAAAGCCCTAACTTCTCTCGCCTAATCATCTCTTCCAGGAGAGTTGAAGATGGCTGGCATAAACGGGCCTTGCACCACTTATCCCCAACGGCTTTGGAGGATCCAAAATCGCTTTGTTATGTTATGTAATATAGGAAGCACCTAGATAAAATCAGCTCGGTTTGGACAGCAGCCAGACCAGCTTTAATTTTATGTACATTAGCGCACCTCGACTACGCTACATTATACGAGTACCCGCTTCGCAGTCCAAGTCAGAAGGTAGTCATGTAGTTTTTCTGCATTTGATAGGAGTTTTTTCTTGGTCCTCGTAGTCATATCAACAAGCCCATCGTTGCCGATGAATATCAAGTATACACAACCCTTGGCTAAGGACCAAGGAATGCCATCGTCCTCTCAGCATTCAGCCAATGGATCCTATGATCCCTGCACTTATAGCCTCACCACAGACCTTGTGAATAGATGAGAGAGCCGCCATTTGCCTGTGCTGAGTCTCTTTTCTCTCACGTTTCGCCCGCTTGATGAGGTTTTGCACATAATGGTGGGAATTTAATTATATGTCTTGCGTTTCACCTTGGTCTACGGCTCGCTGTAGCTTACAGGAACTCGAAGACATTGACAATGACAGCGTAAAAGCTGGTGCCGTGTATTCAATATATCATATGCGAGTTGCTTCCCTCCGTTACAGACGAAAGACAAACATTGAGCCTAGCTCTGCACTAATATGGGCAAATATTCTGTCGAGCGTCGTGAGCTCAATGTTCCAATAATGTGCACTGCCAGTAAGTTCAGTGGATTAAGATGGGGTTTCTACAATTATAGTAGAGGCTATCGAGTGAGGCGACTCTTCCTTGTTCTCAAGACGTACACTTTGTCAAGGTAAGTACTCCTCCTGATCGATCGGGTTAACGGGCGAGTTTCCAAGCTCCACTAGATGGATCTTGGCACTGCAGCTTTCGATCAGTAAACGACAATACGGAACCAATACTCGCAGAAAACCTGAGGAGAGTCCACCTGACTAGATGTTAGAGACAGAGCGGCATCATTACCTGCAGCTCAAACACCCCATGCCGTGTGAATCATTTCTTCACTACCTGGAGTGCCGCCATGGCCAGCGGCCAGAGTAAGTACAGCACAGAATCTATGGGATCTAACGACTGCGTAAGAAACTGAACAATACCATCCCCGACCTTCCCAAGTTGAAAACAAAAAGTAACAACGCGTTTGCCTGTGGCGCCTTGGATGAACTCGTGATAAGCAGAGTTCTGTCCCAATGATTTGGGACCATTCCAGATGAAGCCATTTAACAGAACAATTAATCCTACGCAGAAATGGAAATATCATATGAAACTGACCACATCTCCACCCATCACGTATCCATGCTCTCACCGGTTGGTCCTCATAGCTTTGATTTGTACTATTTAGTTCGTGTGGGGTGATGTTTTGCCTCCGTTTTCTTCGTCATCATCCGGGAGAACGGCACTCTCATAGGCCGTTGAGAAATACTTTTCGTCGAAGCATACGGCTCGTACATGGCTCGAGTTTCGAAATGTTGGCTTTTCTGTCTCAATCTAGTGAATTCATGATCAACGTTGGGTTCAATTTGAATGCCGGTGGGGAAAAGAAGCGATTTCGTGACATGCGTCTCCGTCCGACTCAACATACACGTCCCCGGACCATGATATATAAATTTCTGCTATCAGGGGACCCAAGTGCTATTCAAGCATAGCACTCACCTTTTTTCGAGAATGGACTCAGCCAAAACGACTTCGGCGTCAAAATTGGAATTGTCGTGAAGAACATGGTTTATTGCCCGACACAAGAAGCTTGTCGTTCATACCACTTTTCAGAATGTCGCTAGAAAATGCTTCCTCTGCTTTGGTTATTAGTGTGCTGACATACAAAGGAGACTTGGGTTGAATAATCCACACAACGGTAAGCGTTCTTGTCAAAGATCAGGGGAATGCCAAGTGTGACTCCATCATGTCTCGACAAGAGTTAGCAAGGCTAAGCGGTTATAGAGACAGTGGATAAAGTCCGCTCGAGTTGTGGATGCTTTTTTATTACAGTAGTGGAGACGGCCCATCACTGCTAGATTAACAACTGCAGAACGGTGACGCATGCTCATACCTAATCACTGGGAGGACAATCAAAATAACCAACTGTATTTAGAAATAAACATGAGACCCGATTTAGCATATCTTATCAATGTGCATAGTTTTATTACCATATATATGAACATAGATGCAGGCTTTACACGGACCGGATTATAAAGTAGCAAAGTGTAGTAATAGGTAGCCTTAGATTATGTGGACCGTCGTGAATCAGAAAATCGTTCCTGGAACAGGTACCAGGTTGAGGGTGATTGGCTCTCCGTAGAGCTGGTCACCAATCTCCAGCGTAGGATCTCCTTGTGTGATCTGAAAGATGGATTGCCCCATGACAGTACAAGACACCGTTTGATCCGCATTAAATGAGCATACGTCTACTTCCCAATCGACGTTCACCGTGGCGCGAGCATCCTCAACGCTAGGGAAGAAGTATTGGTAGTGCAGGGGTGCGTTGTCTCCAACCATAGCAATAAGACCACCGTCGGCCGTGGCAAACGTCATACAGTCAGCATTGAGGCGGAACTGCTGGGCATTCTGGCGGTTCGCAGAAAATAGCACACGATAGCCGTTTCCAAATGCCTGCTGCAGCTGCGCAAAATTGCCATCAGCAGTAAAATCACCAGAGTTAGAAGCCTGGATCACGTATGTTCCTGTAGCCGTTGCGCATGCCGTAGCTGATGATGTGGTTGAACTAGTGGACGACGAAGTGGATGACTCTGTTGAGGTGGAGGTGATAGTCTCGGATGCTGAGCTCGATGTGGAGGTAATGGATTCAGACGCCGAGGTTGTCGTTGTAGATACGACGGAAGAAGAAGTCTCCGTGCTTGTGCTGGAGGAGAACGTAGAAGTAAGAGACTCTGAGGATGTGGTTGTTGAGGTAGATGGGATGGAAGAAGTCTCTGTGGTTGTGCTAAAGGTGGAGGTAGACTGTAAGGGGACTCGTTAGTATCTTGAGACCTTTCAGAGACTACGTGAGGGAGCCTTACCGAAGAAATGGTTGATGAATCAGTGGTCGAAGAGCTTGTGTCTGGTAACACGGAAGAACTGCTTGACGCAGTAGTGGTCGATGAGCTTGTTTCGGATGACACCGAAGATTGAGATGATGATTGAACAGAAGATGTAGACGTCGAGGTTAATGAAGATTCAGTAGAGGTCACCGTAGTTGATGATGCGGTGGAAGATGACATAGATGTCACTGGATAAGTTGGGACTGTGGTTGTTGACGACTGTGACTGTGAAACGGAAGACGATGAACCAGTGGGTTTACCGCCGCATTTTCGCTTCCGTATAGGCGCAGCACGGAGCTCCAGAGGCGCCGAAGGGTTGAAACTGGTGAAGACACTCAGCGCATTGCTACCTCCACAGGCTTGGCGCGAATCGCCAGAGCAGGACAGCAGGCACTGAGCTTCAGTCGAATAACTGAACCCTGATTCTGGGGTATTCCAGCAGTAGCAGGCATCGCCCTGAGCAATGCCAGCTGACTTATAACTCCTGCGCTCACAGAAACTGGCGCAGATCTCACGTGTCATATCCCCATTGCCAACAAAAGCTGCTTCAGAAAGCTGTGGCACCTGGAAGCAGCCATGATACGACCATCCTGCTGGAAGGCTGTCTGCAGGTGAATGCTGCCTTTCGATCACAAAACTTGAAGCAGAAGAAACGAGGGCTGCACATACGGCCGAGGCCGCTAAAAGGGCGTACATCATGAGCTCATGAAGGTAATGAATGCGGATGAGAAGGCAACACGCCCACAGGAGCTCTGAGGGGAAGCAGTCTCCTAATAAACAAAATGAATCCCCAGAAATGAGTTGCGAGAGGCGCGCAACTAGTCTCAGGAACCAATCTAAGGCTGGACAGCTAACCTCAATCAAGACTGGCTCCAGGTTTGGAATCATGCAGCTGGGAGCTAGCACAGCCTTAAATGCAGCCGCTTTCGACTAGTCCGGCTCCAAGGCTGCGACTAAGTCCAATACTGCGCCAAATTTTTTTTTTTTTGTTTTAATTACAGAATATCGAGATGAATGAACTTGGTCTAAATTCTGCGAAACGAGTGAAAGTTGCTTCCTGCAAGCTAAATTAAACTATGTTATCAGACGCATACATGGTACGTCTGCACGAGCTATCACATCTACCCGTCGGTAAGTGGTGCACTAGAGTTACACCTGTCCTTTACCAGGTTGACTTGGTTGCTACTTTTGCATGGATGAAGTTTCTACATTCTAGTTGTCACTTGGGGTCTTGAAGGCGCTGATGGCGTGACTTGACATTGTGGCCACATTATGAGATGACGCAAGGGCAGAACATTGACTAGCACAAGCGCTCCATATGGCTGAAGATTCTGGCATGAAGCTACTACGAAGGTGATGATGCAAAAATTTTTGATGTCGGTGCTGAAGTAAACAGGAGGAATGTGTATAAAGATCATGGTATCGTTCAAGGCTAGACGAAACTCGCACCCAGCCGGCATTTTCAAAAGTGTTGAATTTGTCATATTAGTTAAGAGAAGTCACTATTTGTTTTTGTTCCTGCATGGAAAGCATCACTGTCTTGTAATATGTTACCATGATAGTATAATCTAGCCTGTCCCTACCCCCTGATTGCGAGGTTTAACACTGGCAATATTTGTTGCAAAGACTTCTTCTGTGAATGTAGTTTTACAGGGGTATAACTAATAGAGAGAGCTGCAGCAAATGTTTGACTTAATGCGACCTGGCAAGAGATGCAACACGAGCTTGCAGATTCATATGATAATTTCTCTATGGGAATATGTCAAGCAATGAAAATATATGCAGCGATCTCAGTTCCGCAAGAGTATGGATTAACCATGAAATTCGCAACGCCTGGATGACATGAGTACTTATGTATGTTTCTTGTACGGAGGCGAGACGCACAGTAACAAACATTAATGTCGACTTACCTCTGGCAAATTGAACTGGCCTGGAAGCTGGGGCGTTTCTCATTCCATGGCGGGAAAGAAGTATATGTATCCCAGAGTATTGAGGTTGATATATGTTAAGTTTGCCGAGCCGCGCACACTCCACCAACGGGGAAAGCGTCCAATAGATCACACCATACAACAATTCTTCACTACCACGCGCAGTGCCCACCATCAACACGTAAGTCTGCACCAGTCATGAAACTGCTACCATCGCCTAGTAAAAACAATATTGGGGCTCGAAACTCATCTACAGTGCTCAGCCGGTAAAGCATGTTGTCTCCCGTCCATTGACTTTCCATTCCAGGCTTCTGTAAGGCCTCTGCAGTTGCGGCTGTACGAATGTAGCCAGGAGAAAGCGAGTTCACCCGGATAAGCGGCATACCGACTCGAGATCCCCATTCTGCAGCAAGTGAGCGCGATAATTGATGTACCGCCGCTTTTGACGAGTTGTATCCAGCAGTGTCAACTCCCTATCAAGAAAGTTTCCATTAAATGAGTGACCTATTTTTGCATGACCAGTGACTGACCTTATTAGAGACATAGCCGCTCATGCTGGCTATGAAAACCATACTGGCAGTTACTCCGCTCTTTAGCACCTCTTTAGCTACCGCTTGCGCAACCAGAAATGTGCCTGTCACATTGATATCTAGTAGGCGCCGAAACGACTCAGCTGGGAACTCAGTTGCTGGACCATTGTCGGATACACCAGCACATGTCACCAAACCGCGGATCGGGTAACGCAGATTTGTGACAAGTGCAGAGAAAGCTTTCGTGACACCTTCTTCATCCGTCATGTCACACTGGTAATACCATAATCGGCCATTGTGCTTCGTAGCGGCGTCTTCAACAGCACCTAATTGACATTTATCAGCCATACTTGAGGCCCAAGAGACTCAGGTTTTCCAATAAAAATTATACTCACTCCAACTCGGCGCAGTTGGTTTGTCAAGTACATCTAGACAAATAACGTCGCCTCCACTTTCCAGGACGCTCTCCGTGACCGTAGTCCCCAAGAACCCGCTGGCGCCAGTCACTTGTGCCCAAAGATCAGCACTCTGTTTCGAGGAACAGCGAAGTTGCGTACCGACAACAGTCCGGCCGTCGAGTCGAAAGAGGTTAGCCACCGGGGTAGATGGGTCGCCTTGAGAGGCCTTGGCCTCGCGAAACTTTGTAGCATGGACGTTCTCCTCTTTCATCGTGGCTTTCCAGTTTACGAGAACAGGTATGAAAAGAGAAAGCAATGAGCTTACTTTCCGGTATAATGATCGACAGAGAGTTGATATACCAATGACTCTTGCATATTCTTGAATACAATGGGTTATCGATTGCCAAAACCCCGGTTGGGCAGGACATGCCTTTCCCCGCCCGTAGTATCCAATCGGCGAAAAACCCGAAACTCACTAACTTCCTGAGCTAGTAATCAGTGGGTCCTGAGCAGACGATCAAGACTGATGTGCTAGGTTAAATCCACTTTCTGTATGCGTCAAGTTATTGAAATAATAGAGGCCGTTTTTTTATTGTGGTACTTTCATTTACCTTCGGCTTGTCGGCCGTATAACGTGTAGCTAGAGTTGTCACTCGCAGGATGCCGTGGTTCCCATTCCCCGCTACCCTGACAAAGCACAGCGATGCTGTTGAGGGGGCGGTGATGTCCGCTAGTTCTGCAGTGATGATTCCTATGCATCTTCGGCCAATGGCGCCACAGTCGCAATCCTGGCCTGAGTCTTGTTCAAAGATAGTATTGTTTAGGTACACTGCCGAGGAGAAAGCTTCCTGAGCGTGGCATTCACTTTCATGCAGAGCAGGTCGCACTGCAAATCAATGAAAGTATTCTGGGTCACTTCGTCATCCTAGTGCCAGGTAGATGGCTGGGCGCAGACCAGACTGAACCTTGATCCTTGCCAAGGGAAAGTGAATGCCCTGATCATCGGTGTTCAATATTCCAAGCAACCATCATTTCACTGATGCTAAATGTGCGACCATGGTATCAAAGATCAGCCCAGTTTTGGTTGGGCTTGCCATTGATATGACCGTAGTCCTGTTCCAACCTTTTCCCTCTTGGGGCCTCCTCAACAGAAACGTCGACCTCTACCTTCCTGTGGATAGCCCTATCCATAGAATTTAGATTGCCAAGCTCTATGCCTCCCTCATTCGACGAGATGATACCTTTCTCGCTGCCATCATCCGCGTCGATTCCACTGCCTTTGCGCACATATCCGTTATTGCTCCTTGATGGTCCTGCCCACTTGACAGACGAAGTACCATTCCCAGTGTTGCCCGATTTGGGATCTTTGTCGTAACTGTAAAGGGCGCTGCGAAGGCCGATCTTGTAGGCGACGATGCGCAGAATCGGTTGAAGGGCGGGAAACGAAGCGCACCATAGGCCTACATGACCTTCGAGGTCTGTCCACGGCCCTATAGTTGACATGTTGAATGTGCTGGACCAAGTTGCCTGTTAGAGCTGCAATGCCAAGTATTTGGGCCAAGGAAGGAAATTTGCTTACGGATCTTCGAGAAATAGCAAGGTTTTCAACATGACGATACGAATGATACCCGTAACAAGAACGAACACCCCGACGCTGAATACGAGGATCACCTGGATCTTGCGTTGCGAGAACAGCATTTTAGTGTGAACCACCCATATCGGCAACGCCAAGAGCGCAAAATCGATCATGATACCGACCGCCTGGTGTCCGACCATCATGGAGTTTTCTTGCTGCGGACTAACGCAGTTTAAGCCGGGTGTGGTAGGAACAAGCCAAATGTCCCTAATGGTTTCGTACGTGAGAAACTGTTTCAGCGCAGATTTTGGTTACAGTGTGCATACTTAATAGGAGTACACTCCGTCAGTCGGTAAAAGAAGCACCCGAGTGTCTGTACAATAATGACAATACCTATGCCGTATACCAGCTTGTTGAAAATGGGCGAGGTGACTACGACCTGTAAGCAGACGGTGTGCGGTATCATAGTGCATGACACTGACGGTCTTGGGCAAGTCTAGGTAGGAATGCCACGATCGATAGGCGCATTAATCCGGTACCAAAGAAGTAGATTAACGTGTTGTTAACAAGCGACTATCGTAGATGTGTCAACTTGGTTGCGGTTCATACTCTCTAGGAATCGGGTTCTTACCTCGAAGAAATGTGCAACGAGAGGCCCTGGCACGAATTGTATGTGTGCACCACTACCGAATTGTACGGCTTACGACGTAAATCAACACTCTGTGAAGCCATAGCTTAATTTGCACTCACATCGAATCTCGAAGGCCGAAAGTGCTACCAGGCATCCCTAATCAATGACTCAGTAAGTCAACCCGTGAATCGATTGAGGGCAGGTCACCGCACGTAAGCTAGAACGGCAAAAAGGTCATCGACGCCCAAGGCTTTGGACATAAAGCTGCGGACATAGAGCCTCAATGCAAGTATGAATGAGGTGCATGCTATCAGAGCAGCGTTCAAACTGAGAACTTCATGGCCTTTGTAGTCGGGTGACTCTTGGAAAGGTATCGTGGGCAGTGAGGTTGTGTTCGAGGAGTTCGCCATCGCTCATGAACGGGAGTGCACATAGATAATGCAACGCGACGGGGCCAAGAAAGTTGTGTGGAACTTCGGAGAAAAGAACGATCAGCTGCAGGATCTATATACCAATTGTGTGAACCCAGGACTGGCAGGCGTTGCCAGGATGATGAATGCAGAAACAGGCTTGCGCACCCTGGAGGCGTACCTCCAGACGCTGTTGTCTGAAGGGCCCCTGCTCAAACTTTTGCATCCTAGACTATGGGCATTTGATTTGGAGACTGTCAGTGGATATACGAGCCCTTTGGATTCTTGACATCAAACGCTTTTCTTCAGTTATCGTAATGTGCACTACTAATGTGCATGACCGTCCCGACGTCCAGAACCCAGAACCTTACTCCTTCAGCGATGCGTCGTGGAAGCGACATCGGCTTCGAAATGAAGCAAAAAGTGGACGGCAATGGGCTATTACGCTTTCTCATCCACTGCCACAACGTTTGCTATTAATTAATTCATTGCACTAACTACTTGTCACTTGCATTGGCGAGAATCGATCACAGGCAGTTGTGCAAATCATCACCGATAAGGACGCAAATGCCGTGGTCTCTAACGCTTTACGTGCAGCCAAGGCCGGACGTGAGCGCCATCGAAGGCATGGTCAGCCCGCTATTGTAACCGAGATTCTTTCATACTCGATCACATTGGCAGATGAGACTTGGACCCATGACGAGCAAAGAAATAGTGAGAGCCAGGCCATGCCTAGGTCCCTGTACCCTGTTTTAAAAGAGCACACTAACGGCTTGGACGTGGGGTTCCTACCAATCGGATTGTTATCCAAGTTCCTGGGTGGGCTGCGCATTGAGTACAGTAGCATTCGTCAGGGGGGAATCGGCTACTCGACCTTCGCTTCCGCCCACACCACCCGACTACTTCGATCAGCCCGAAAGAAAATTTACATATTTATCTCGCTCTCTTTATTTTTAGCACTTTGTTTTCTCGACGAAATGCACGACTTCGAAGCGGATGAAAATACAGGAAGTAGTGTCTCAGGTCATTACCACAAAGTGGGGATGCATTCATTACCGTATTCAGCAATACACAGTTCGAAAAGTTTCACTGCACGGAAATAGCTTCTACCCCAAGTTTGTGATGCAATGACTTGAACTCCATAAAGTACAGCAGCGTAGTAGCGGGCCGCTTGAAATCACGGCTACAAGATAAATACTAACAATGATCCTTGGAAATACGATAAACTAATATTCGATTTGATCCACGCGGACCCGTACTCCTTCGAACTCAAAAAGTGAAGGACCCACGAGCTTAAAAAGTAGCCTAATTTGACCACTAAATCGTCGCTCTCAGTCAGCGGACAAGTCTTTCAACTCGGACCAGTTCTGTGGCAGAAAAGCTATCACCGGGAGTTATGTTCCTAGAATAAGACACACCTGTAGTCATCATCATCATCATCATCATCACATTAGTAGCTCTCTCAAGGCTGCCTGCTGCTTGGTTGGTGTGTGTATTGAGGCATGCTAGCGACAGGGTATGGTTTGTCAGGGAATTTTCACCGCAGCCCTGGCTCCCCTGACTACATAGTACAATACATCCCTGCGATGCCATTGCACCCCTAGCTGTGGAGATGCAACCTGTTTATTCCTAGGACACGGAGATTTGGACTCTGGTGCTGCCTCCTCCTCTGGTTCCACTTCTGACCACCATTTCCTACATGTAGTTCAGTGACATTCGCTTCTTGAAGTCTAGGCCTTCGACAGCAAGGGATACGGGGATTCCACTCGGACTCCTTTGACCCCAGAAACACCCGAAAGATGGATCAGATCACCTGGTTGGCAGGCCCCAAGGCTGGGCCCCGCCCCACACCCTGTTAATGGGAGATTCGGCCCCACAGAGCTGCATCGGCAAGCCTCATCCGCAATCACATAATTGATTTGAACGATATGCTGCACTGAATGGGCAATGCGCTAAGACTGCAAGAGTAGGAGTTGAGGGGAAATGTGGCCATGGGCTGAAAGGGGTCAGGCACCCCGGTTGCCATGTGGCGGATTGTAACCGTGAGCGAGCAAAGGTATATGTAGGATTAGACTCTTGTGCCGTCTGCTCTTGGTTCTCGTCGACTCGCTTCTGCAGCAGCCAGGTATCGCATTGCTCGACAGTACTCTGCCGCCAAGTCCGGGCTTCTAGCTGAAACCCCGTCGTGACCGTCAAAGCGCAAGCCGGCAATCATCACAATGTATCTTCCTCAATTTGTCCTCGCAGGCCTCTTATTGGTGGCTGGTGCTCAACAGGCTGTTGCCGTACCTGCACCGACCACGGATGATATATCCACTGCCGCTTCTGCTTCCTGCGCAGGCAAGGATGTGTTGGTGAGGAAGGAATGGTTCGTACTAGTTCTCCCGATCCTATTACTTCATCGCGCCTAGCGAGCCCATAAGCTGACATCGCCCAGGAGATCCCTACCAAAACCCGAAAGACTCGACTACATCAATGCTGTCAAATGTTTGATGAAGAAGCCATCCAAGAACGGCGGAGTTTATGCTGGGGCAAAATCTCGCTACGATGACTTCTTGGCGCTACATATTGTCGAGACAGACTTGATCCATTTCAATGTAAGCCGCAGCAAGAACGAACCTCGTCCCTGAGGCATATTTGACATTTTATACAGGGGCCTTTCTTAGCATGGCATCGCTGGTTCTTGCACCTTTTCGAGCAAGAACTTCGAAACACTTGTGGCTACAAAGGAGCACAGCCGTAAGTCTAAGGAGCTCAATGTTTGGCTTATCCAATTGACACGCGTGCTAGGTACTGGGACTTCTCTAAGGACAACACCATCAATGGATTCTCAAAGTCTCCACTCTTCGACGTGACACACGGGCTTGGTGGCAACGGGCCATACGTCGCCGATGTTAGCGACCCCATAACATTCCCAGTGACAACACCTACGATCATCCCGAACAGAACAGGGGGAGGTATGAGTCTTTGTCATTTGTCTCGGAGTTCAGAAGTTCCTAGCTAAATTTACTAGGCTGCTTGGACAATGGACCATTCAGTGGACTTGTGGTGAATATGGGTTTGGGTAAGTGTGCATGCCCCAGGTACCTCAGTGAGTCCAGAGACTGACCACTCGAAGGTCTATCCACCGATTATACACCTCATTGCCTCCGTCGCGATTTCAGTCCTGTTCTTGTCTCCCAGGCGCTCAGTAATTCCAATCTCAAGGCCGCCCTAGACGCCAAAAACTACTTTGACTTCAGCATCAAGATCCAGGGAACTAGTTTCGAGGTGTCAGGGCTAACATTGCACGCGGGGATGCATCTTGGTATTGGTGGTCAGGTCGGCGATGCAGCTGACATGTACTCATCCCCGGGTGACCCCCTTTTCTGGTTCATGTGAGTTTTCCGACCCTATTGCAGAGCCCTGTGCAGTTGTAAAGATTGTTAACATACAGTGTTCACAGTCATGGCGCACTTGACAAAATTTGGGACCAGTGGCAGCGAGCCAACTGGAGTGTTCGAAAATCCGAGATCGCCGGTCCTGATACGAACTTCGCCTACCCTTTCAACTTCTTTGGCGATGTCCCCTACAAGAACATCACATTAGACTTTCCGCTTCAATATCCGTACTTTGGGAAGAATCTTACTGTTAGGGACGTTATGGACACGAAGAACGCTGCTTTGTGCTATACCTACGCGTAGGGATGCTATAAGCAGAAATACAAATTTTAAGGTAACTCGCATTCAATTGTGATAAACCGCCGTTCTCATGTCTATAGGTATGGTATATTTGAACTTAAATGTAGTTTGCCTAAAAGCCGGAATGACAAGTCATGCTCACATGTGTGTTTATTGTGAGGTTACACTTGTACTACTGACAGCTAAACGAAAATGGCGCTGAAAGGTTTGTTTAAAGAAGGGGCGGTTGGAACACCCAGAAAAGCAGAACCGCAATCTGTGTATGCTACATTCGATTGAACAATATACCGCATGTTGCCGTTATAGATTGGCAGAGACTCTCGGTACGATCATATCCAGTTTCTCCATGAGCTCCGTGTAGAGGCGCCTTTGCGTTTCTGCGCCACCCGCGCCAACTACAACTGTTGCGGGAGTTTTGACCTTTCCCATGTCCAAATACTGGCCATGGGTTTCATTTCCACCAGCCGCCGCCGCAATCAAGTTTCGTGAGCCTTCTTCTGCGGTCCTCGCAAGCACGAACTTAGCGGCCCGGATTTGTAGCCCGTCTAACTCACGGGAGAGCTCACTTTGGCACAACCCGGGGTTGGTACAGTTGATGATGACAGAGGTAGATTGTTTGGCCAGGCGAGCAGCCATCTCGCGAACGATGAAAACCTGGATCAGCTTCGTTGTTGGATATCGTTCGCTCTGGTTCTTGATCGATTTGGTCTTGTCGTTGAGCCTGTTAAATATACCCTCGGGGGCATCCTTCTCCTTGAAGTCGACCAGGAAGTGCGTGTCACTTGTCACGAAAGTCAAATGAGGCTTCGTATTGAACTTGGACGCCGTTTCCTTGAGCTTGGGAAGCACGAGAAAAGCCAATAGGAAGGTCGAAATCACGTTCACGGTCACCATCCGCTCATTGTCTAGAACCCAGTTCCACTCCACTGAGGCGACAGCCGCGTTCTCTAAGAGAACATCAACACGGTCAAGTTCTCGATCAACGCGATCCGCGAAGGTCCTGACGCTGTCGTAACTGGTGAGATCGATGGGCCATACATCGATGACCTTCGGATCACACCCGGTGGTTTGGACGATGGAGCGCTTGGCACTTTCCCCTTTCTCAACCGAACGTACCGCGATGATGAGCTTAGCGCATCCCAGTCCCACGACGTACTTAGCCGCTTCGAATCCCAGGCCTGTGTTTGATCCGGTGATGATGACGGTTTGCCCTGCAAACGACTGCGTAGGTTTGGGGCAGTTCCCGAATAATTGGGCCCCGATGAATCTGGCCATATGACCAGGGGTTCCGTCACCGCCTGGCATATTGACGATGTGCGAAGTGGTTTGAAGGTGAAAGAGGCAACTCAATCGTACTATGCAAGTTGATAGCAATAGACTCCTAAATATAAGTAGGCGCAATGTTTCGCGGAACGCTTTATCACTGTGCGAATCTGAGCTATTATGGAGAGGGGTCGACCAGATGCGATGTTGTTATTCCTAGAAGATGAGAATAGCTCTCATTAAAGGAACTATATATCCATGAGGTCTGCATCGCTGTGCGAGTTCGATGTTTATCGGCCTTTTCAAGAAGTGCGAGCGGACTAATTAGTATAGGCTTCCATGCATCGGATACCGGTGTTTGTAAAGAACGAGCCAATGAAATACCAAAATGAACGACTATTTTAAGCTCTAATGGCGGACAACGGCTCTTATGTCCGTCCAAAGAGGTGCTTACGTGAAGTCCGTGCCGCAAAATGTAAATGCATGGACGATTTCACACCCTGGCAAGGTGGGGAAGCCCACTCCGGGATCCGAGGGCCCCGAAGCAACGGCGAAGGGTCCTGAACATGCCTATACTTATCGCCAATATCAAAGCAAGCATGCTGAACTCCCAGATGAATAAATCCAATACCCGTTGAGATTTTCTTGTTGGTTTTAATTGTTTTATGATTTCCATTGTTTGTCCGGCAAACTAAAGTTTGCAATACATAAAGTTCACAATTTATTATAATAGTCTTTGCATATTTAGATATTTTGTGATACTAAGACCAATTGATCGACTGTTATCAGAAGGCTGAGTATGTTTCTAAGGGATGAGGATGCGGCGCCTTGTACTAGAATAATTGACGAACTGAAAATCAAGTGGCCAGGCTTCATAGCAAATACGTACCTACGCATCCCTAGATTCGGCCTTGGCGATCATGTTGGACGCACCTGCGCCGCACGGTGTGTACCGTGAGTGTTGGCGAAACGCACAAACCGGATTCCGTGCCATATCCATTTTCTTTCCTTCTAATTTTTTCTAGAAACGTCTTCTTTATCGTGTTAACAATTGTTCGCCTCGAATGATGGCCCAAATCATTGATTGGTATTCGCTCAAGGATGGCTGTCACGTTTTAGTCTTGAGTATAGCCTGCCTGAATGGGCATTAAGTCTTACTACTGATGCTTACCATGAGTTTCAGTGGCCCCACTGTCATATGAATCTTTCTGGTGTCGCAATTTCTGCAGTCACTGATTGGACTGTGGTAAATCCGGTCAAGCTTGTGGACAGGCGCGTAGTTGATAGCCATACATACCTACAACAATCGTTGTGCGGCGGTAGTTGTGTCGTTGAAATAAAGCTATAGCTCTGTGGAGACTGGGATCTACAGCGACCTGGTTCCCAAAACCCATTACCTTCCTTCAGGTGGTGAACTCCAGCGAATCCCAAATGAAGGTGGGGCGCGGCACGATTCCGTGGCTCAAAGCTGTGACCCGAACTCCACAACAACACCACCAACGATACTGAGCAGCCCCACCTGAGAAGAGTATCCACGCGCCTCTGGGGCCCGTCCCGGCCAATGTAATTCATGACCCATGACAACACTATAATCGGAGTCCGATTTCTAGAAATTCCGTTGTCATTGAGTCTACTCGCACATGAATGCAGCCGCAACGCGGGGTAAACTGCCCAAGTGCTAAAACTTATTACTAACAACCCCCCAATTCACCAAGCTTGCGCACCAGTTCAGAAGACAGATCCATGTGGCTTGATAATACTGAGAATTTCGATCTCGTGTATCATCATGAATGTCCCGAAAATCAATACGCCATCCTATCACATACATGGGAAGAAGAGGAAGTCAGCTTCCAGGACTTCAAGGACCTGGCTACTGCGAGGCAGAAAAAGGGTCTTTACTAAGATAGACTGGACAGTGCGCTTGGCGCGTCGGCATAGCGACCAGTGGGCTTGGGTGGACACGTGAGTCGTATCTCAGTTAATGAAATGAGAAATAAATATGACGTTTGGCTTATTGAGAGAAATGTGCAGGTGTTGTATAGACAAGTCCAGCAGTGCAGAACTCTCAGAAGCCATCAACTCGATGTATAAGTGGTACCAAAAGTCCGCCGTTTGCTATGCATATCTGTCAGACTTGACGTCGAGTCGATATGATCGACTTCTGGTTTTCACGCAATGTCGTTGGTGGACAAGAGGCTGGGCTTTGCAGGAACTCATTGCCCCTACTGAACTTCGATTCTATGACAAAGATTGGAATTTCTACAGCAGGAGGTCTGACCTCCAAAATGAAATCGAGTCTTTTACCGGAATCGGGTATCAGGCGTACAGAGGCAGGCTGGATGCTTTCTCGGTAGCAGAGCGCATGTCCTGGGCCTCTCATAGAGTAAGTACGAGGATCGAGGATATTGCTTACTGTCTCCTTGGACTTTTCGACGTCAATATGCCTTTGCTTTACGGTGAAGGCGAGAAGACTTTTATCAGATTACACTTGTGAGTGTAGATATATACGTAGTAAATACAGTGGCTGGTCCACTATTCCAGCAACTTGAACTTTGAAACAGAGTTGCGACGGTTGAAAGAGTTGAGGGAGAGATGACTATATGCATAGGGATATGGTAATAGTTCCAAGCTTCTTATCACGATCATGGAATAACCAAAAACTGGGCTCATATATGGATTACTTCATGTTTCCCGTAATAAAAGTAGGAACATTCAGTCGGTCCATGTACTGAGGGTCGCTTCGGCTGTAGGAAGCACCGCCTGAGGGCCCCCACTTTACTTGGCCAAACGAATTGAAGGGCATGACTTGGTTCAGAGGTTAAGTACATCACTAATCAATTGGTCAACTCAGTAATCTTGGATTATCCACTGCTAACAAGGCCCGATGTGGGAAACCAGAGTCCACGATTAGCATTTCATTTTCCAGTGTTAGTGCTCAAATACAGCAGAGAGAATATCAGTGACTAAATCGGACTTGATATTCGACCTTGAACTCATTTTTGAGAGACAGAAACGTGCACTGTTTGTCAGCTCTGAGCGCAGCGGAACTTAAAATAAAGTCGCTGATAAATCTCGGGGGAACCCCAGTCCGCGAATTGGTCTAGCGCTGCCGTGGTACAGCAAGTACAAAATCATGCCAATGAAACTCAGTATTGCTTATCATTGACACACCTAGAATCGGATTCTCATTATTACAAACTGCCACCACCTTTTGTCTTTTGTGGTGTCACAAACGCACGTTTGCATCATGGCTCCCGTCACGTTCCATGAGACCACCATTGGAACTTTCTCCAAGATCCTGGCCGTCCTCCTTCGCATCCTAGATGCGGCATCACCCCACCCCGATGTCGATAGTTTCCTGGACCTGCGCCTTACACCGGACATGCTGCCGCTCGGGGCCCAGGCCCGAATCGTCACGGTGGCGCCTATCAATCTCGTCGAGCGCCTGACGGGCAAGCAACTCGTGACTTGGAACGAGAAACGCACCATGTGGGGCGAGCAGGAGAAGGTCTGGTCGGAGCTGATAGCAAGGGTCAAAATGACGCTGGAAATCCTCAAGGCGGTAGACCTTGTCGAGGTCGAGGCCAAGGCCGACAAAACTAAGCTCAGCCTGATCGTCGGCCCGGAAGATGCCGGCGCGTCATCCTTCATGGAAGTCCCAGCAATCGACTGCATGCTGGCTAATGGACTGCCGAATACTTACTTCCACCTCTATATGGTTTACTCACTGCTGCGGTCCAACGGAGTAGACATCGGCAAGAGGGATGTGTTGATACCCTTTCTTCCCAGTTATATCCTAGAAGGGTACCAAGAGCCTTAAACTACTTCAATGGTATCGAGTATAGCGGTTAAGTGAATCTTTTTAATATTATAATTTTTAAAATTTAAATAAAATTCCGTAAATTATACCTCGATCGGGGTTCCTTATAAGATCGTAAAGGCCTTGGTGAGGGGATATCTTCATCATCCTCCATATCCGTTGATCGGGTCTGATACCGGCGGCCTAGAAGTCGGGCATGATTAATAAAGGGATTCATCGCTAATCGTAGGTAACCTTTTATAAGGAAGACTCAGAATTGTCACAATGGGGTTGAAGATCAGGTACGATAGATGTATTCCTTTATAGGCTCGTAAGAATACAAGACTGAGTCTTGTCCTCCCTCTTTCCTTAGGGAAGGTGATGCGATCCTTATGGGGTGCGATGTGTGATGTATTAAAGATGGAGAATGCAAGTATCCGTGGCACCTACCAAGGTGGGTTACCACACAACTAGCTTATCTCCTTATCTACAAACCAGCTGTCACCAGCTGATGTTCCATAGACAGCTGGCGGAGCTATCTATGTGTATACCCCCTTACCAAAACGTATCAGAAGGACTGTAAGGCTAGGTAGTAATGCTCAAGATCCGTCACCAGAGGTCCTATAAGACCTGAACGGTACGCCTGATCCTGGTTAGCGTGATATATACCGGTTTAAAAGTTATAATCAATATAATTAATTAATATTAAAAGTTTCGATGTCGTATATTATTATAATAAATGCCCCGAGAATTAATACGCCATCCCATCGCATGTATAAGAAGAAGAGGAAGTTAGCTTCTAGAAATTCAGCTTCTAGGAATTTAAGGACCTGGCATCTGCGAGGCAGAAAAGGGCCTTTGTTAAGATGGACTGGACAGTGTGCTTGGCGTGTCGGCCTGGCGCTGGATCACTCGATGATCCAACAATGACTTTTACGTATTCTAGGATCCCGTCCAATTCTTGGCAGGCTCTAATCCGCGCTCCCAATATGTATTATTATCTAATCAAGAGCTTCTAGTTGCTGCTTGCTCCTTATAACACGGCGACACAGGCGTAAGTGTTGATCCAAAGCCCGGAGCAGGACTGGCTGCTCTCAACAAAATGGAACTTGTTGGAGTTGGAAATCATGCCTGGCTGGGTCGGCGCGGGCGTGGCAATGCCGTTGCCGGGTTGCGTGGCAGTCGCCGTAGGTGCCATGTCGACGCCAATGACAGGGACGCAGGCGTACGCATCGGCCCAGAGTCCGGTGCAAGACGCGCCGGCTGTGGGATTCTATGTCTGTAACTGCGCCTGGATGATGCCGTGGGCGCTGGCGATGGCGGCTGGCTGTTGCCGGACTTGACGAAGTAGAAGGAATTGTAGTTGTCCACCAGATTGGACTGCGTGGGCAGCGGCGTGGTGATGCCGTTGGACGGCTTGGTCGTCGTGGCCGTGGGCGGGGCTGTGGTGGTGGTCGACGGCCGGATCATGGCCGTGGACGTAGTGGTCGACACAGTACGAGTACCCAAGCTGCAGATTGTCGCAGCTAGTAGTGATGGCTGGGTTCTTGTATCGACGTCAGTGCGGATCAAAGCTTTGGTTAGGCTGTGGCTTCTTACCCATCTCCGGAACGTTTCCAGGTCATGAAGTTCTCCGACAGAAGATCGGGACAGGACTTGGCCGAGCCCAGGTCTACCCACCAGGTACAGTAGCTGGTAGGGTTCGGGTCAGACTCGAGGCTCGGTGACGATCCATCCCGAGCTACATGACCAATGACAGCACCGAGTGCCGCTTGGAAGCTGCTGGCTATAAGTAGGAGGGAATTCAAACCGAAGACGGGCATTTTGAAATTGGTGGTGATCCGCAGTAGTCACTGACTTGTGGTAGATTGTCAGATGCACCCTGTATCAGCTTTGTATAGTCGAGTCTGCTAAGCCGCGCATGGCACGGTTTGCGTCTGGCCACCAACCAGGACAAGGTTGCTATCCGGCTGAACATCGATTGCGGCGCTTGTCCACTGCCAGTTCTGGGGACTGCAACCGTGAACCTCGCAAAGGGAGAAATCTGAATACGCTACCGATCATGATTTTCAGCCAATGTCTCCTAATGCTTTTCCGCAACAAGAATTGACGAAAATCTGATTATTGTATATAAGGGGAGAAAACAAAACGCTGTACAGAGTTTCCTTTATTGTGTATTAATCCGAGTGCTGTGTCCCAAGCGCAACTTCAGCTCCCCTAGCCCCCACGACTAAGACACTGGGTTCATTCTCAGTTTATTCAGTCCGTATGGCTACCATGCGCGGTTGAGGGCCAAAGCCAGCCCCATACCCGCCAGGATCAGAGTCTCAGCGCTCTGCGCTCGGCCCATAACACCATTGGTCGCTGGAGTGGCGCCAGTTGAAGTCGGCGCCGAAGCCGACACGCGTCCAGCACATCAAGGCCCGTTGCTGTGGCCACGCAAGTTGAGATGAGCTCGTCGCCGTAGGAGACGAGGGCGTCCAGGAGGGCGCTGGTAGGCTTGGGCACGTCAAAGTACTGAGCTCGGGCTGGTGAGACGTGGTATAGAATTGTGGCTTGCGAAATTGTGGCTGTGCTTTTCGCGTTTTACTTATTTAATTTCCCTCTTTTTGGTAGATTTTAATACACTATCGCACTTTTTGCCTTCATTTTTACGACTATTCGCTTTGGCGATCGTCGATTTATACGTCTATTTTAGTTACACGAACAATGTACGTTCGATTCGTCGACACCGACGAGGAGGACTGCGTTGACTGAGGTTGTGTTACTTGGGGAATATGGCCCAGGAGCACCACTCCAGTTCAGTACTGGGTGATATTCTCTGTGACGCATTGCCAGGGGTCGGGCGAGACCTCGCTGGTCGGCTCAGCTCGAGGTATCTCAGTCCTCTGCGGCATATGGGTTATATGCATGGCCGCACCGCCAGCAGCACCCGCGAGGACGTGAAGTCTATTGAAGAGTGTCGATGTCTTCATGTTGCCCGAGGTGTGAATTTCTGAGTAAATGGCAAAAAAAAAAAAAAAAAAAAAAAAAAAAAAAAAAGAATTATGCAGATAGAGTTGAGCGAAACAAAGTTGCGAAGGATGATATTGGTATCTAAGGGCTTCCTGGTGCAGAAAGTCGTTGGTTCTTTATTGCGGCACAACAATCCGCTGGTCGGATACATTGCTCCTCTCACGATACGCCTACCTATCGACGGGTTTACGAACCCGCTTTGGTTAAGACTGCGGATTGGCAAAGGAGCTAGTTCAGCAGCCAAGACGCAATGCCCGCCGGGGTTCAAGTTCAGATGCTGGAGCGGGTATATAGTGCAGGGATCCGGTCCGGGCCGGTCCTGCCAAGTCGGATATGAATACTATAAATTTTTAAAGGGGTTAGTCAGGGCCCCATCCCTGCACAAAAGCAGAAGGTGACACCACCCAGCACTGGACGTTTGTTTCTCATCTTCCTAGCCACACATTACGCTACAGACCCAAGATGCCTGAGTTGGACGACATCACTTACTCGCGCGACGCCTGCGTTGCCACGGTCCGCGACTATTACAAGTTCCTGACCAAGATGTACTTGCCGGAATGCCAAGTCGTCGAACCACCCCAAGGGGGCTGGCCGTCCATCATTCATGCGGACCCCAGCATCTCGAGAGCTTTGGCAAAACGGATGGTGTGATATCGCTGCTCGCCCACCTACCTTACCTTCTCCAACCCAATGACTGGACGAACGATGCCGAAGGCGCTGCTGACTGCCTCTTTGCGGATTGGCAGCATGTCTTCACAGCCATGGCCGAAGGCCGCGAGGCCGCCGAGGCTAGACTTTGCTCAGAGCGTCACATGATGGAAGAGCTGCCTCCCCATTGTGTCGGACTTACGTACGGCGGGCGGGATAACCCGTTGTTACTTCTCGACACGGAGCTCGGCGTCATATGTTGGGATGAGTGCCCGGACTCGGTCAAACTCGACCCTACCCGGGAACCAGTCTTGGATGACCCATGCGACTATGCGCCCGAGGGCGAATGGGATTGGCGGTGCGACTGCCCAGCCTGGGCCATCGATGATTTCTTCGCGCTTTTCAAGGACCGATTCCGCCGGATGGACTGGATCCCGACGAGCCCCCGAACGGTGCTTACCATCGACACACTCCGCCCGCCTGAGTATGCGGGCCTGATGCCTATGCTTGCCGGGGTTTATCGGGAACACGGTTGGCCTGATGTGGCCCGATACCGGAAGGGGGACTGCTTAGTAGCCGTGAGGAAGGCCTTGGAGGAGGAGTACCCGGAAGAGGTAGACCCACGGAATGATGTACAAGGGGGTCCTAGACGATGCCTAGTCTAGACTCTGCCATAGCAATATGTTTGAAAAATTTGCAGGTTTTCCAGACTAATGAGCGGCGGTCTCCCCGAATTCAGGTCGGGCCGTGGGCGAGCCAAGAGAGTTACTGTGAGTATCACATCATGGAGTATGGATCTATGGCGGCGCAGCACTCTTGGCGCGACGTTATGCCTCGGACACGAAATATTGGCCCCGGCGGCAAGGATTTGAGCTTCAGAGTATGCATATTAGAACACTTCGCTAAGCTACAGTCAGACCACCAGCTAGGCCCAGCCATGCTAGGGACTGTGCCTTACATCTAGGTGCGCCAAGAATCCCGAGCATGGGTGCCTTTGACTATAGATTGTGTTCTGAATTTGAAGCGACCTGCATGTGCCGCGCATATGCGTCTCTGGCGCCAGTTGATCATCAATCTCTCTGTCGCCATGGCGCGACCGGATGGTACGAAGGGCGCCTAGTCTTGGTGGGCCAGACATTGCGATTATTCTTGAGCGCGCGAGAGCGGGCCAAAAGTATGATGTACCTTTCGGGCAATTTATTCGCGATTGCACGACGTTACAAGCTGTGGACGATCTCAACAGATTTAGCTCAGCGAAAAACAAGAAGCACACATGATGTCACTGCTGTCGATGCGTATCTGTTCAAGCCTTACAACTTGGCTGGCGTATCTACAGGAGCCTGTCCTGAGCTTATCGAGCAGATGCTGAGATTGAGACGTCTTGAAGTCGTGATCTGATGCTGGCAAGAACCATGCAACATACCCTTCATCAGTCAAATCAGATCTTTCTTTTCCTTTTTCTTTTCCCTTTCTTTTTACGTATTAGCCTTTTTCTCTCTTCAGCCTCGGTTGGTGACTGTCCATTGGTTGTTTTTGGAGACGTGGTTACTTGTACCTCTTTCTCTTGGTTTCCATTGCCAGATTTCATCCTCTTTGCCATTTTTGTTCCATCCAGTGGCTTTTCTATATGAGGTTTTACATTTGACTGAACACCACGGGTGGAGGTATTCTGGCCTACACCCATTTTCGGTACGGATGTTGTCGCAGGCAGCAATGTTTTCTGGCCTGCACTCGTCAATTGCATTCCCTTTACCTGAGTCGATCGTGATAACTTGATGCTGCTATTCGCACTTTTCTCGCTATTTCGGTACGTTTGAGGCTGAGTGTCGTAGTCAAGAACAAATTGCAATCCCTTGTGGTCTACAATTTTCACCTGTAGCATTCTTCCAGCTTCTGTAGGCATCTTCTTTATAGTTTTACATTGTCAGTGAGTTCAAGAGTTCAGTTTGCATAATTCGGCCAACGAAGCATTACTCAACCATGATGTACTCACCTGGTGCATCTGAAGCCTCGCGGAGGTGACGCCACTCCGAGTGTCAATGGAGATCTGAGCCACATCTACATGATGCCGCTTCATAGAGAGATTTCGCCAAGGTCGAGGGGTGTAGGACTCCTGCCCGTATTTCTTGAACCAAGTCTGAGTTTCGTTCTTAGGCCATAGCTGATACAATTCGTCTTTGGCTTTTACAACGTCCGGATGAACCATATAAACATCCAGAGAACCATTTTCTATTCCTCGCCTCAGAATTGGTAGCTCGTTTTGTTGAAAATTGGTGCGATGTAATGGGTGAAACCTGTTAGGTGGCGGACGAGAAAGTATCGTAACCTCATTTCCAAATGTGATGAACCAGGTAAAGATCGCACCGGCACCCTTCATAAAATTGCTCACACGCTTGTTGCTCATGTTAGTCTTCAGACACCTGGGATCTGCTTTATCCATCAGAGGGCCCAAAGCGATCGTGAGTGTTTGCATCCCATGATGCTTTGCCCAACGCTCAACGTCATCGTGATTGACGCTTTCCCACAGAACTTGACGATTGGGGAGCCAGAAATCCGAACTAAATTGGTCAATAATGGATTCGGCTTCTTTGGCTGTCAAATACTGCTGGATCGCTGCCACCATGAACATGAAACTGGATGCGATCGGCATGCTGTCTCGGCTGACTCATTCGGGCCGACACATATTTGTGCACTTGTTATACATGGGATGTGCTCAATGTCCCATTGATCCCATGGGAAGACGTCCGTAGATATCATATCCACCAACGACATAAGTTATGACGATTTCAAGTGCGGGGGGAAAGTCATCTATTGATGGTGCAAACGCAAATGTCTAGTGTTGTTTGTTTACCTTTATTGCCAATGCATGTGAAGAGTTTGCAGGTTCTTCCTGCTCCAACGACCAAACTTTCCTACCCGCTATCATGTGTCAACCTTGCGCTAAATCAGTGTGTAAAGATTCTAGAGTAGTTGTCTTACTTTATGACATAATTGCAAATAGACAGGGTAGCTATGGTCTCCTCATGGGACCAGACTGTCCGGTTCAGTTATCATCGACACCTGACCTTTTTACTGCTGAATTCAGTGACTGGTCGTGCCTGAGCGCCCTGTCAAAGACTTGATATAAGAAGCTCTTCGTGGGTTCAACTATCTGAGAGCCGTCATCCGTGAAGGCTGGATAAGGCATCAATATAGCTCAGCCTAGCTGGTCTAAAACTTGATTCAGATCTCTTTGGCGGACATGTCCCATGGCTGCCTGATTCATTGGCAATGAATAAGAGAGTACGCGTGAGGTAGAACTGATTTCAAACTATAAGTATGCAAGTATTCATCGCGAAAACGAACATCCAGCTTTTGTTCGCTACATGGGCCTCTGACCTTATAGACCGTTGATCCTAAGGGGGAAACCTGCATGACGTGAAGGATGGCCGTTACCAACCTAGTACCTAGGATAATTGTGACGCGACATTGATTCTTCCTACAGAACAGTGTATAATCTAGTGTGGTGTTCGATCTATGAGCAATTTACCGGAAGCCTGGCAGGGGACAAGGTCTGCTGTCTTCCCGCTACTTGCGGCCCCCAGGTTTGACCCGAGGCCAAGACCTTCTTGTATCCGACACTGTCATTTGCCCCTGAGTCGCCGAGATTACTACTTCTCATAGTGATGGTGGCGTAGGGTGGTTCATCCTCAAATTGCATTAATTAAGCCGTTCGGTTGCTCCGCACAGTCTATATCAACTGGAACAGATTTCAATCTACGCTGCTGATGGATTGAAAATAAAGTCGCTGTCATCTCCATGTCCTACAAACCGATCGCTCAATCTTTCTCTCCTTCCTTGGGGGATAGGATGTGCCATGGCCGTGATGGCACCCCCCTCATTTATCTTATCGCCATACTCGTGCAAACACTGTTGTATCGATTATTACGGCGGCCCGCCCCTACTCATCCCCAATTTGTCCAATGATTCAGCTTTTGATTGGTGAATCGCGTTACTCCCCTACACGAACGGGCGCATAGGTTCCTTAGTGTTAGGAGACCGAAATCTACTTAGATGATGACACATTGACAAGAATAGACTCGTCAGTGCGCACTGAAGGCTTACACGTGCTGACTCGTTTCCATGCCGGCATCTTCGAGTACATTCGCGTCGCCGGTTGGGGGTAGTATCCCACTTCTAGCCAATACTTCCAAGGATCCACAGTCATGTCCGCCCTCTCGATGCCGAGCCGCTCAAGTATGTCCTCGATCTGCCGCGATCCGGGCTCGCTAGATGTGTGCGCCCACATCATGGGCGTCCAGAAGCCCGTGGGCTCGTCTGATTCGAGCGACGGGGCATTCGGCGAGAAGCCGGCGCGTAGCAGAGCTCGGAAAATCTCGACATGGCCGTCCATGGCGCAGAGCTTGAGCAATGCGCCGGTCTCCACTGTTTCTCCTCTGAATCTAGGCGGCCCGTCGAGAACTTTGGCTTCGTCAAGCAGGTAGCGAAGGGCAGCATAGCGGCGCGCCTGGATCCCTTGGTACACGATGTCGAACCAGTCGGACCATTCGAACATGGTCAGATCTGGTTCGGCTGTCATGATCAAGTGAAGAGCTAAGACTTGATTGCCCAAGACAGCCGCGAAAATGGCATCCTTTACCATCTTTGCGGACAACTCCCCTGCATTGGAAAGAGCCCATCTCACAGTATCTTCATTCCCAGTCCAGCACGCCAGATCTAGGGGTGTGGGATCGGCACCACGTCCCCCGTAGGGTTTGGTGATTCTCGCCCCGTACTGTGCAAGAAGCTCCATTGTGCTGACGTGTCCATGAATGGTGGCGCAGTCCATTGCGCTTGCCAGGAGTGATCCAAATCTCCTCAAAGGCGTAACTTGCAGGTACTCCAGTAGACGGTTTGTAACGGCGACATGGCCTAGCCTTGCAGATTTCATCAAGCCCCGGCGAAGTTGAAACGGATCAGCTGAGTATTCGGGGGCACCACGACGGTGTGTATGGGTCCCCTTGCCCAGGACAATGTTTACCATTTCCAAGTCTCCGGTTTCTATGGCGCGCTCTATTGGAATGATGAGATGATTATGCTTAGGACTCTCAAGGTTGGCACTGAACATACGCAGGAGACGCGTTGTCAAATTGTGCTGCAAAGACATGACTGCGGCATGAACCGGGGTTTCAAACATGTGACCCCAGTAACGAGCGTCTTTTCGCGCTGCGGACTCAAGGAGGGGTTCGTATATGTCTTCCCGTTTTAGTAAGATGGCCACTGGGATAATGCTTGCCTCGAGGTCCTTGTTGATCAAAGGTCTGAAACCACGGAGCACTCCCGAAATGATGCCGGGCGACGAAAAGTTGCAACTACTGATACCATCAAGGACAGCAAGAGAGCTGTCCAGGTACTCGCACAATATCACCAGGGCATCGTATCGGCCGTTCTCCGGTACACGTAGGTGGTCCAGGAGCTGGTTCAGAAAGGTCGAGATGTTGAGTTCCCAAGGCTCCGTCACCCGAGAGGGAGGATAGTGCTCAGCTACAGGGTCGGCGCTGAAAACCTTCCAGAACCCGGCTGGGTTAGTATGCGGGCGGCGAGACAAGAATCGGGCCGTGAAAGGGATCAGTGCAGCACCGAATTGGTAAGTGTTTAGCGCTCTGTAATCTAGACGAAAACGGAACCGGGTGTTGCTGTGGAAAACGAAGAGTGTTTCAAAGGCGCGCAGAACTTCATCGTTGAACAATCCTAGGGCAACTGATGAGTCGCATGACCAGATCGGATTCGTGATGCTCAGAGCTTACTGCTGACCTTGCGGAGCCTCATGGAGCGTCGCAAGCCGAGCTCCTTCACCGTCGCTTCTATGGTGGCGCGGAAGAGCTCCATTGAAAGATCTGAGAGATTTACCATGGCGTTTGAATCCCGTCCCTGTTTCAGCAATATGGTAGAACATAAAATGGCTGTCAGGTCGAGAAGGCTTTGTAAATCTGGATTGTTGGTGTTTGTCGTGCCACATTCCACTCGCAGTCTAGGTAGTGCCTGACATGGAGCACCATAGATACCAGGCCGAGTGATACATGAGCTGATATTTATACGCCTGGTAACATGGGAACACTATCCTCTACGGCATGCACATAAACATCATGTTTGGCTGGGTCGTACCTGTTTCTGGACAAGGCATTCAAGGTCTACGGCGTCCCGTTCCTTGGGATGACACCATCATGTGGACGAGATGGCGACGTAGCAAATTGTATGGCTATACCGGCATGACTCGAGATTCCCGTAAAGCCGTAGGCATGTGTCACGCCGGTGTATATGCGATGGCTTTGGACAAAGGGAGGGTTTTCCACATGATGTTGTCATAGACCAACACAGATCCCGTTGGAGATCAGAGCCATGTCGGACGATGTATGGACTGGAGGGTTGCGTGGTCTCGAGAACAAAACACGTGGCACATGGCATTGCCATCAGGATGCTTTGAGATGACTTCCCATATCAAGTAGCGCCGCAAGTCACAGCAAGTCTGGCCCGGTCAAAGAAGCCGTGAGATGAAGTTGAAACTAGTGGGAGGACGTGTGGCGGTGCAGATGGAGAGGTGGCTTAGTTGGTGCTGGTGCCGGTGTTGTGACGTTTTAGCGCTCTGGCCACCGGGGCCAGGCTGACGGGCGGCGCGTTGCGGTGGGCTGCCTTGAGCTTTGGGGGGGAAGGGGGAGCTCCCAGCTGTTGTTTGGCGCCAGGGCCGGCCGTTCGACAAGGGGACCCGGAGCTTCGTAACTTCTGGCAGCCTTGCGTTTGGGAGAGTTGACATCAATCAGTCCATTCAGCCCAGTCCATCCAGCAATCAATCCAGCAATCAATCCATCCTCACTGACCACGCCGCCCGCCAGTCCACATCACCACCGCGCAGATCCTCCGGCCCTTCCCTCCCTCCCTGGAAGCCGAATACCTTCGTTGACCGCCCCAGCTCCTCCGGCTTCTCACATTCAACATGGCGTCTGGCTACGACAGAGCGCTCTCAGGTAAGTGTGCCATGCCGTGCTCCGTCGTCTGCTGGCCAGCTGAGCTAACATGCGTCTTCCCCAGTCTTCAGGTTCGCATCGACCCTCTCCCTCCCGGCCCGCGACCCCTTCTAACAAGCTGCAGTCCCGATGGACACGTCTTCCAAGTCGAATATGCCGGCGAAGCCGTAAAGAGAGGTACGCCCGTGGTGCCCCAGCCCCAGCCTTCCCGCTGCGCCTGCTTCCGCGGTGCATTCCATGACATCTGACACCCGCACCTCCAGGTACCTGCGCCGTCGGCGTCAAGGGGAGCGACATCGTGGTGCTGGGCTGCGAGAAGCGCTCGGCCATGAAGCTGCAGGACACGCGCATCACGCCGTCCAAGATCTGCCTCGTCGACACACACGTATGCCTGGCCTTTGCCGGGCTCAACGCCGACGCCCGCATCCTGGTCGACAAGGCCCGCCTCGAGGCCCAGTCGCATCGCCTGACGGTCGAGGACCCCGTCTCCATCGAGTACATCACCAAGTACGTCGCCGGCGTCCAGCAGCGCTACACCCAGAGCGGTGGTGTCCGCCCCTTCGGCATCAGCACCATGATCGTCGGCTTCGACAAGAACACAAAGACCCCGCGCCTCTACCAGACCGAGCCCAGCGGCATCTACAGCGCATGGTAAGAACCAGACCGAGACCTACTTGCCTCCTTCCTCTACCATTCACACGTCAGCATGAGTGTATATTGATCGTTTACTAAACTCTGTGTTTGCCCCCCCAACAGGAAGGCAAACGCCATCGGCCGATCTAGCAAGACCGTCCGCGAGTTCCTGGAGCGCAACTACAAGGAGGACATGGACCGCGAGGCCACCATCCGGCTGGCCGTCAAGTCGCTGCTCGAGGTCGTCCAGACGGGCGCCAAGAACATCGAGATCGCCATCATGGCGCCCGGCAAGACCATCGAGATGCTGCCCGAGGAGGACATCGAGGGCTACGTCAAGAACATCGAGCAGGAGAAGCAGGAGGAGGCCGCCAAGAAGAAGACGGGCCGGACGCCGGGGACCGGCAGCGCCGCCATCCTGACGAGAAGCTCGGATGACGCATAGACCAGACGGCAGAGCGTGTTGAAGACGTGCGGGAGAGCGGGACGGCGGGACGGAAAGGATGGCGCGCCTGCTGCCTGCTGCCTGCTCCCTGCTCCCTGCTCCCATGAATGTGATGACCCAGCCATAGAGTGACCCCGTCATGATCACGGAAACTGTACACTATATCATTGCAGAGATGGCGTTTTTTTCTGATGTCTCGATGTGGTTTTCAGTTTCCCCTCGTGCCTTGCTCCTCTCCTGAAGTGAAGTCTAAATGGTATCATGCTCCCCCGCCCATGCATCCGCTGGACCTTTCCAGCTTATATTTATATCTCCCCCGCAGCTTGTGCGATATCGCCAAGTTTTTCATGTTCTCGCCTGCCCCCTTGCCAGCCCCTTGCCACCCCTCGCCCGTATCAACCCAGGCGGTCGGCGTCCTTGTCGATATCAAAGACGGTGCGCAGCTCGTCGCGGTGCTCGCGGGCGCGGTCGTCCTTGAGCATGCGGTTGTCGACGCGGGCGTCCTCGCCCTCGACGCGCAGGGCGGGCTTGGGCACGACGGCCTCGAGCACGAAGTGGTTGTCGCAGTGCGGGCAGTACTCGTCGGCCTCCTCGAACTGCTCGACCTCCTTGCGGAAGCACTTGCGGCACTTCTTGCACGCGAACGTCATCTCCAGCGTCGGCCGCAGCGCGTGCGTCTCGTTCTCGTGGTGGCACTCGGCGCAGTCGAACCACTTGCGGCAGCACGGCGACCGGATGCTGACCTGCGCGTTCAGGACGTGCTTGCTGCGGGCGGACGACGACGGGTCAGTTCGGGTTCGGTTGCCCACCCCAGCGATGCTTGGAGAGCAGGGATGATGAACAGGACCCCAGGGAGGGAAAGACGCCTCACTTACCACATTGTGTCTGAGTACTGCGCCGCGGCGGGAAGAGGTAGCTCGTGAGAGTTCAAGGCCGTCGATCCAGACGAGTTGCGATCTGGGCGGTGGGATGGTCGTTCGCCGAATTTCGATGTCGGCGCCCCCCTAAATTTGGCACTGGGCGATTACGAGAACGCGGGGCGAAGCGTGCTAAAACTATTGGGGATCCCTGTCAATGTTCCCCTGGGCCCGGCTACCGGTAGGGTGGGTCGCCGGCCCGTGGAAGTTTGATGCTGTGTTAACTGGCAACGGTGATCGGGTTTTCAGGCATCTCGTTGTCTAAGGAAGGCAGGGGAATTTGGATGCCTCTAATTGATTTTGCCCTTGAGGTAAATGTATTAAAGCTCTACTTATTTGACCCATGTGCTACTACTGTGTGAAACACCGGTTTTGGACCGGGTCTTTAAATTCCAGCCATTTCCCATCGTTTTACAATGCGTCTATAATTTCAAAATGGTCTTGAGTCGAGCGACGAGAAAAGGGTATCCCACGAACTTGTATCAAGACCTATGTCGGGCTGTTCCGCAAACTGCCACAAGTCGTCAAAGGAAGGACCGATCCCCAGACCCGGATCCGCTGCGCCTTGTCCAGATACTGCAATGGACGAAAAAAAATCATGTTGTGATTCAGCCGATGCGTGCGGCCTGTTGAAGTCACTCACATCGTGGCCCAACGATGTCTCCGCTTTGTCAAGCTCAATCCCGTGTTTCTGCAAGACCTCGTGCAGCGCGTTCAGAGAACGTTCGACCAGAGGGGAGACGTGCCTTGCAGCCTCTAGCATACCCAAAGCCTCCTTGACTTCAGCCCGTCTCTGCCCGTGGTCCGCTTCGGTCTTATTGAAGCACAGATCCATCACCATGATCACGAGCGCCAGGTGCGTGTAATGTACGGCCATGGCCATGCGCGCCGTGGCAGTGGTCGGCGAGGGTGCGTCAGGGCCGCCCCCGGCGTCGTGGTAGCACTGCACGACGGCGCGCGCCGACGCCAGACATGCCCGCCGCGAATACCCGTACCGCGGGTCGGACGAGAGTCGGAGCAGGAATCTGTGGTGCAGTCGGCAGCGCCGGCTGTGGGCCGCTGCGGCGATGCAGTACCGCATGATCGGGATCTTGGGGAACACGGTCTCGAGGACCCGGCTCCTCGCGCGGCTTTCGTTGTCGAGTCGGAGGTAGAACGGGAGGTCGCAGAGGAAGTCCTCGAGCTTCTGGTCCAGAACCAAGATGTGGTCATAAGGTATACGCATGAGTGCGGACGTCTCCAGGGGTATCGTGTCGGCCATCTGGCGGCAGATATGGGCTAGTCGAACTCTCGCCAAGTAAAAGGTCATGCTGGTCGGCCGGGTCACTCCAATTGCTTCTGGAGACTGACCCAAAGAAATCTCGTTATCGTTGCAATCCAGAGGAAGCCGAACGCTCACTTGATTCAGCTGTATGAAGTACATCCCTTCTTGTGGACCTGAAATCGTCGCATGTAACCTGGTGCGTCTGTGTAAGCAGGCCGTCAACGATACTATGCTGAGTATATACTGTCTCACCAATCTGTCGCAGTCAAGTGCCAGAACACTCGTCTCTTGACCTCGCGATCTATCTTGTCTCGAGGGCTTAGCCGGCTTTCATCAATCGATCCAGCCTCAGTATCTAGCCGATGGAGACGGAGTTCCCGAGCCCCTGAAATAGCGGCTGTCGACATATAGCGCCCCTTGGCTGAGAACCCATCCAGATGGTAAGTGACGAACGAGAGTAGGATGTACGTTTGTACATGCTCCAGGGTCCACGAGAGGGTCCTTTGCTGTGATTGATGCAACACCTCCAAGGCACAGGTGCTCCAATACCTCGACAGGCCCACAGCATCGCGCTCTGTGATTGATGTCTCGGAGCTCGGCGAAGGAGGGTAAAAGAAAGAACTGAGCGCCAGGATAGACAAGAACAGAGCAGCCTCTGCTGGTGCGACGGGCTCCTGCTGGCTGATGTTCAGGTAGAAGGTCTGCATGCGGGACTGGACCGTCGGGTTGTGCAGTATGCGGCAGACATGATCCACATTGGTCTCGTAGTTGTCGAATAACAAGGAAGCACTTCTGAAAGGAGGGAAAGCGACAGGCCTATCGCTAAAAGCAATAACTTCGGAGGCAGGATCGGGGGTTTCCGCCCGGCCTTGTGTCTCGAGGATATCGTGGATGCCGCTAATCATGAAAGCCGGGTCCTTCGACAACGTGAGGAACTTGAGTACTTTCAGATTTCTGACAACTTTATTTGTGCGTCAGCGTGTAACTCACTGCAGATATGTCCCCAGTCCCGATGTTTTCAAGGGCCTGTAAGTCCTGATCTGGGCCCTGATCTAGTCCGGAGGCAGTGGCCTCAGCAATAACGGGCTCAGGCGCCGAACGACTCGTCTTGGGTGTGGTGTTCGAGGTGTTTCCCGAAAGAATGAGAGCCTCAAGACGATCAATACGCTTCGAAAGGATATCTATGTTGTTTGATGGTGCCGAACTTTGCTGGGCACGTTTCTGTAATGGCGCGCGGAAGCTGCAAGTGAGGTCCCGAGTTGCGCAGTTCGAGCATGGCTGGACTCGATTACACTTGAGCTTTTTCGAGCGGCAAGATTCACATGATACCGGGTCGGGGCGAGTTCTTCGCTTCTGCATAATTGATCACTTACTGGTGATGGTGCCTAATGAAGAGGATGACACTATATGCTCCGTGGAGAGTTACTATGACGTTCCGCGGAGGTCCGAGCAGAAAAATCAGCACTAGTACTCACAAGTAACGTAAGGATAGCTATTAACTAGAGGATACGCATATAAGTCGACTTGACTCCGATCACGAGTTAGAATTAGTAAGCCGACCTTTTGAACGGCTACTCAGTCCATGGATGGTGATCAGTTGGCAGCGGACGTCCGCGCACCGACCCGCTCTGGTGGCTTAAATCAACAGTATAATAATACGTGGATCTCCTACGATTCTCATCAATGAGCGGAATGCAACATCGTAGACAATTTACCGTTTCAATTTAATTATTCACTGAAAATGCCTAAACAAGCAATCATCGAACCTTCGATTGAGGCAATTAATATCATCGATACCCCTATTACCACCCCTGGAAATCGGGAGGTCGTCATTAGAGTAGTCGTCGCCGGCACAAACCCAAAAGATTGGAAATACCCCTTATGGTAAGTCATCCAAGTCCCACAGGATGACAATGCTAACACGACTTTCAGGAAGAACTGGGCCCACAACAGCGGCGACGATATGGCCGGATTCGTTCACTCCGTGGGCGCAGACGTCTATGAATTCAACCCGGGCGACCGCGTTGCTGCGTATCATGAGTCTGGAAAGCAACATGGCACTTTCGCAGAATATGCCGTCGCCCCCGACTGGACGATCTTCCACATTCCGGAGAAGCTGTCTTTTGAGGAGGCTGCTACCGTCCCGACTGCCGCGCTTACTGCTGCCGTTGCCCTCTATGCCGACATGAGGCTCCCGCCGCCATATGAAGGCGGCGATGGGAATACCGTGCAGAGAAACAAGGTCCCTTTACTGATATACGGCATCTCATCAGCAGTCGGGGCATTTGCTGCCAAACTTGCAAGGCTCTCCGGCCTCGGTCCCATCATTGGCATCGCTGGCCGAGCGACTGAATTTGCCAATAGCTTGGCTGACCACGTCGTTGATTACCGTCAAGGCGAAGATGGAGTTGTCTTCGCCATAGAGGCGATCCTTGCCAAGGAAGGACTGGCTACCAAGATGCCCTATGTCTTCGATGCCATTAGCGAGAATGGGTCACTAGAAACTACCCTTCGTCTCATTGACCCCGACGGCGGAGTTGTGAGCACAGTTCTGCCACCAAAGCTGTTTGCCCGAGATAGAGACAATTACGCATATCCAGACGGCGTCAAAGGCATCAACAGTGCCGTTCCGACAGTGCACTCCACAGACAAGGACTTTGGATATCTCTGGTCCCGCTACTTGGGACGGCTCCTGGAGGACGGCAGATTGAGAGGCCATCCGTATGAGGTCATGCCCGGTGGTTTGAGCGGTGTCTTGACAGCGCTACAGAAGCTGAAGAATGGAGAAGCCAGTGCGGTCAAGTATGTTTGCAGGATCGACGAGACTCAGGATTTGCTCAGGTCCAATGTGCTCGTTGGCAAGCAGGTTTCAGGAGCTGAAGATCGACCACAGTCGCATACGAGCTCTCACGCATTGAGAGATTTCCCATTTCCTTCGTGAACGCTTCGGGGCTGCTTCATGACGGTGCAGTCGAAAGTTCCCTCTAATCCGATACCTAATCCAATACGTTAGAATTCATCAAGTTTGATGAAACAAGCTGATAAAACAGCCTGTCTCTGGTGACTTGCAGTTGTTGCATATGTTACTGACCGTAAAGCCTTTGGAAGCATAATCAAAGTGATATCATCTCTCTGAACCTCGCGTACACATGTTGAGCTGACACATTGCTGTGCAGCCTTACTCCTATATACCAAAAGAATTCGCTTGATGTTACTTGTGACGTCTAACGCTCAATGACGCGGTTTTATTAAGCCAAGATGTGATCCTCTCTTCACCATCCATAACAGGAGCAATCCGGTGAAGAAAAGAGAGACGGTGGAGAGCCCGATCAACACATGAAGCTGTTGCCGTGCTGCACCGTTGCCAACCAGCCGGTATTGTCCGTTCACTTTCACCTGGCACCACACGATATTGATCCATTGCCCGAAACCATCGCTCGTCAGAACAGTATCCCAGTACTTGGCGTTGGCGCATTTGAACCACGCCTGAGGATCGCCGTTGCCTGGCATATAGACCACGTTACGGTCCCAATACGACAGCACGGCGATTGCAGCAGCCCACCCGGCTGCGCATAATCCGTCGAGCCCAATCACTGCCCATATGTTGTAAGGGAGGCAGGTAAAGACGGCTACCGTGACGTAGGTTTGGACGGCCATAGCAAGGCCACCGATGCCAATCGTTACGCAGATGGCCGTGACTTTGGACATCTCTTGTGGCGTGACGGCGCCGTAAGCCATAATCACAACCAGGTTGGCGAAAAGAACTATGCGACCGAAGACTCCGCCAACCTTGGGTTTCTTGCCTGAGGGCATGTTGCTGATTATAGTTTGAAAGCAATGACGACTCGCAGGAAGTGTATTGCGTTTATGGTGAGAAGACGTTGAATATGAATGTGATGTTTGCTGCGACAGTGTGCACATATATGCAGGTTGGGAACCCGAGGGTTGAAGAGCGATTTTGGTGCACTGATTGCACTGCCGTCTCAGCTTATACGCTTAAGATTTCCCGATTGAGTGACTCGGTCAGAGAAATGGTTCGTAAAGCCCCACTTCGCCTTGAGAAGATCGGCAGAGTGGAGTCGGGGCCCCGTCTCCCATCCCCTGCGCTTGTGTGAAAAAGGGTTCAGCTGAACCTGCTGTACGTATGAATGGGCCCCGCTTGAAATTTCCGTTCCAACCGGCGGCGGACCGAGTGTTGTATCACCAGAGCGTCGAGAGTATTGCGTGAGAATACACGTGTGCTCACATATACAGCCATACTCTTGAGTGCCTTTGTAATACCCTCTGCCAACTGGTTTTCGTTTCGTCTTAAAAGTATTAGAGTATAGATATTAAGCTTCGTGGTAAATCTTTTTCTTCAAGCACAAGTATAGGATCAAGCTTCGACTACGCTATGATTGGAACCTAGCTGAACCTTATTTGACCCACTATTTAACACCCTTCGGAACGCGCCTGGGATATCAGTCATCATATAGTACCAGACAACGTGTCTCAATGGAGCGGCGCCGTGGGACCTTCTTCGGGGCGTTGTGGTCCTCGAAGGCGCCATGTGCCATGCCGACCACCGTCCCATTGCTACCGCTCGACGCCGAATCGTAGTCGACGAACAGCAGGGCCTCGTCCGGCGCTAAGTTGCTCACGTAGTAGAAGTCGAAATGTGACTGCGGCTTCAAGGCCGTGAAGTGCGTCTTGTAGTTGTTGAGAGTGTATATGGGCACGGTATCTCGGCCGTATCGAACAGTGCGGGAATCGACAAGGGCAAGCGGCCACTGTCGCACAACATCGCCTACCGGCCGCCATACATTGACGATACCCCAGCGCTTCCCCGTCCAGACGGATGCTTCTTCGTCTCCAAGGACTCGACGGAGATTCACCTCCGCCGTTTCTGCATCGTTGTCCATGTGGAAATTAGGCAGGGGCTTTCCCGAGAACTTGTACGGGTCAAGGAGGTTTGTGTCCTACAGTGAAAGGTGAGTCTCTCTCTTGTTGAAAATGGGGATTAATGGCCTTTCCCACTCACAATTTCGATCCGTCGATGCCGAAAGTTATAGGCGACTACCTTCGTTGCCCCAGTTTTCTCTTTGACTAGCTGTGCGCACTCGTCAAAATAGGCGCCTCGAACGAACGTCTCCATGGCTTCCTTGTCGGGCAGCAACAGTTTGTCTTCCGACAACACAGTCGGTGAGTACACGAACTCTATGCCTTCAACTCCTAAGGTTGTCCGGGGCTCGAAGTGACGAAGATCTGTGATGGAGACCTCTCTCTCCAGACTGGGCCCAAAGTTGGTCTGATGCTCCTCTCCTTTTTTGAAGTTAAGAAATGCCGCTTTTCCGTCTTTGGTTGGGCCAAGGAAGCGAACAGTGCCCTGCGTCTTAGGAGGGTTATTCCAGGGGTAATGTTCGAAAGGCCTTCCTTTGCTCCAAACTTCAGGTGTCAATTCTCCATTACTATTGACTGTCTGTTGTAGGGGAACAGTAGCTAAGAATCGGGTGCTGGCCAGGCTTGTACGGGAGCGACTAGCAGAAGCCCCGAAAGGGCGAACCAATTTGGAAAGCATGTCACGACTAGGTACTAGAATGATGGGCGGATTAATAATTCAAGGCGTGTGGGTTGATCGATGCCAGCTCTTAGTCTCAGTAGCGGTAGGTCAGTTTTATACACATATTTAATGGAGATATTTCCCCTCTTTTCCATGGAAATGGTTCTCGCCCCTGATTGAGTGATCAGCCGAACGACCGTGTGGAGAGCAGATACTTCGTAATGTAGTATTGATACAGGATGGCAGCCGCTTACATGTCGTAAGAACAATCTTTTGCCAATCAGTTCCAAGCCGAGTCGAGGGGTAGACGTGGCCACAAGAAGAACCGGCACCTGTAGGCCCCTTGCATGTAGCTATCGCTCGAGGCCTCGAGACCAAACTTTCGTCTGTGACATTTTTACTTGCATGATTCCATATGTCAATCACGGAATCCTTCCAATACCCTGTTAGCTAAATCGACTGGTCAAAAGGTGCCTTACTTCCCCACGCGGGAATCTGCTTGATTGCCATTTGTTCAGCACGCTTGACTGCGTCGAAATCTGGGCAGAGGTACACTGGAAAGTCATAGATGCATGGTTAATTTTACGCCGGTTCCGGAAGTACGAGGTCACCCGCATGCTTGCTTGCACGTTGATTAATAATGCTACGTATAAGTAATGAGCAATGCTTGTGCGGACTAAAGCCCTGAGAATTGCAAGCAATAGATATTTACTTTTGAATATTCACTGTTGCATGCTTGGAATATGTAGAGGGGTTAAAAGTTAATTTGTACCTTCTATAACGAATTTCCATCAAACAAAGCTCGCAGGCTGACCTCAAGTCTCTACTACCTCGATGCCTAGTGCTCCTCTCGATATCCACATGTAGTGAGCAAGCTTCATCTCACCTGGCCTCCTTTTCGTTTAGTGTGTCCCCTCCCAGAATGTGACACTTGAATGCACGAAGATCCTTTGATCTCTATCCCTCTATTACCAAGCATGGCCCTGCAGATGATCACTTCCTCAGTTGAAGCCTGAAGGTCCTTTTGGTTATCACAGCAACTATTCTATCATGTAGTTCTTTGCCAAGTGCATATGAGTAGCCACCCGACAAGGAATGTGGTGCGATCACTATTAAAAGTGGCCAAAGTGACCTGCAGCGAGTCATGTATCCCCTAACAGGAAGCTCAAGCAAATCATCATTCAACAGGCATCCCCTATGCCTCATGATTCGTAAAGACACGAAAGGGATAACCTTTGGTAACGCGAACACTAAAGTTTGATCATTTAATTCATCTCGTAGAGACGTACAATTAACATATTGCTTCAAATTCAGCCAGGTCTCTTCTCAGTGCAATGGAATCTCCAGGGTTGGACAAGCACTTGCAAGCCAAGCCTTCCACTACTGGGCGTTTCGCGCCCTAAACTCCAAACAAGGCTTGGCGCATTCATAGGCTATCTAAAATGTGTATACCTGTCGGAATTACGCTCTGATTCGGTCTTGGGTTTTGCTTATCCGCGTAGCATATCCGACGCGCCAATACCGATATCCATAGCCGGGGTCTTCCTCGTAACAGTACCTTGATTTACTGCAGTGGCGCCTTGTTGCCAAGACGCTTCATCCCGCTGCAGGTTCCTTATTTCAGAGCCAAATACCGCGAAGATATGGCCTCGATCAGCCGTTACACGAGATTTGCAGGCTGCAAGTCAGGACCAGGTTGTGCCCCACAACCACCACCCCCACGACATGCATGCAACCTACTTCGCTAAAGCGGCCAGTCATCAGAGAAGCTCATTAGAGGTAACTACGAATAGTGCCCTTCCTTAGCACCCCACTCAGGGCGGCGCTACTGCCGGTCCTATCCGTGCGTTGTGAGGCTCTGCCAAAGCTGTTTAAACCCACGAATCATCATGGCAGATTTCACATTTACCAGGGGACACGGTGTTGGTCTTGCATCAGTGCCGGACTTCCGGTGGGTGAACGTGGCCATGGCGATACCCTACGATGATGTACAATATGTTCATCGAAGAGACTTGCCAATGGAACAATCCTTGTTTCCCCACGGAGGTCGATATGGCAGCGATGCCAATGCTGGGCATAAGCACTAATTGCAAACAATGAACTTGCATCAGACCATATGTAGTTTTCTACATATCATGGCACTGCCCAGACACGAGACAAGGCATAACTTACGTATAGCCGCTCCTACAATGTAACGCTATGCAAGATTTGCTGGGTTCTATGAGCTCTCACTGGTTTAAATCTAGCATCAATCATACCTGGGGCGGATTCATTGTGAGGACGTCCGCCAAGGTAGGCGGCCCGGGCTCTCCCGTATTTCGCTTGTGCGCGGACACACATACTAGGATGATGAAAAGTATCTCCAACTTGTCGACGACGAAGAAGCACTCTCTGACTGTGTTGCCAGCCCTCAGACGGGATTAATGTGATCACGGGCCCACTGACGAAGTAACGTGACAGCGGAGAGAAGAGGCGCGATAAGCGGAAAATGATTGCTTCTGCGTGTCCTGATGGTTAAGTCATTGATTGCTATTCACCAAGGTTCCTATGGCCTAAACGTTATTAGTCGCCGTGATATGTGAGGGAAAACCTTAAGCACCTTGGATCTATATTTCCGGGTAATGGTTCGAATGAGTCTTACTAGAATCATATGATCCGATGACTTTATCTGAAGTTGGCTCTCTATCAGTTCTATTCTATCATCCCCAAAGCTTATGCTTGTAATGTCTCAGCGACCTCCTATACTGACAGAAGATCCTCTTGCAATGATGGATCGAGGTTCTCACCTACCTGCGGCAGCTCCAGAGGGCTCAACTACCAAGCACGAGAATTCAGTGACGGCGGAACAGCCTTTGTATTCGATATACTCGCAACGTCAAAAGAACTTCATAGTATTCATGTCGGGGCTGGGAGGCTTCTTCTCGCCGCTGTCCGCCAATACATACCTTCCAAGTATTCCCGTTCTCGCCAGCTCACTCAACGTGTCGACTTCCTTGATCAATCTCACTGTAACCGCATTCCTAATTTTCCAGGGGCTGGCTCCATCTTTTTACGGAGATCTCGCGGACATGGCCGGCCGACGTCCCGCATACCTCGTCTCATTTGTCATCTACATTGCTGCAAACATAGGTCTTGCACTTCAGTCCTCGTATCCAGCACTTTTCATCTTACGCTGTCTGCAGGTATGGCATTGTTTAGACATAACTTCCTTCATTGAAACCGCTAACGCGACGCCAGAGCTCTGGGTCAGGCGGTACGTATGCCCTAAATAGTGGGGTGATCGCAGATATATCAACGACAGCCGAGCGCGGAAAATACATGGGCGCTGCGCAAAGTGGCATCATGGTATAACTTACTCCTCGATATATACCAAATTCCCCGCTGACACAGATGTAGCTCGGACCGGCAATTGGTAAGCTTTGAAATCTTGGCTCAAGGTAGCCCATCTAACGTTGGTGATTCTCAGGACCCATTCTTGGTGGCCTACTCGCTGAGTATCTTGGGTGGAGATCCATCTTCTGGTAAGCGTCCACTAAACCCTAGTCATTTTGAGCAAAACTAAGAGCTTCGCAGGTTTCTCACTATAGTAGGTAACTAGTTATATACCTTGTCATTTCTAGTGAGATAACCTTGGGCAGTGTGGTGGAGTATATCTCCTGGTATTCGCTGTCGCCGTTCCAGAGACTGGGCGCAAAGTTGTCGGGAACGGGTCTGTTCCCCCAGCCACTTGGTGGAGTCGCTCCGTGCTGAACGAGTTGGCCCGGCGGAAGGCTTTACGAGAAACTCCAAACCTCGTTGGAACGAGCGACAAACTACCGGCTCGTCAAAAGTTGCGATTCCCAAATCCACTAAAAGCTCTTTTAATCATTGGAGAGAAAGACTGCGCCGTGATTCTTTTGTATAATGCCATCATCTATGCGTCATGGTACACTGTGACCGCGAATCTGTCCAATCTCCTCGAAGGGATCTATCATCTCAACACCCTCCAAATCGGACTGTGCTACGTGTAAGTTACCAAATGGCATGATTGAAACGAATTACAAAGCTAACAGTGGAAGACCGTTCGGTGTGGGTGCAGCACTCTCCATCATAGTCAACGGGCGGGTTCAGGACTGGAATTATGCTCGTGTTGCACGCGCCAACGGTTTCACAATTGACAAGAAGCGTGGTGATGATCTGGCCAAGTTCCCTATCGAAAAGGCCCGAATCGATATCGTATGGCCATTTGTATACGTAGGCTCCCTGGCGGCGATAGGCTTCGGCTGGGCAGCGCAGAGGGAGGTACACCTCTCTGCGCTCCTGATTCTAACGTTTTTGATGGCGCTTTTTCTCACGGCGTGCTACAATAGCATGAATCTTTTGCTGGTGGACCTGTACCCTAATTCACCATCCACGGCGTCTGCCGCAAACAACTTGACTCGATGCCTCATGGCAGCCGGAGGGTCAGCAGTTATTGAACCTATGATTCATGCTATCGGGTTGGGGTGGGCGTATACTCTCATAGGCCTGTTGAGCATTGCACTGAGCCCAATGCTTTATATTGTCACTAGATATGGACCGAGATGGAGAGAGGAGCGCAGGGTGAGGCTCGCAAGAAGGAAAACCGAGAAAGAGCAAAATGTTGAAGTAAAATGCTGATGTTAGTGGTATGGAAAATAAGGGAGCCAATGCTGCCTGGCTGAAGAGTTAACACCTAGACATGATTACACTAGACAAAGAACGAATATCAGATTTACTCAAGTCTGACCTCAATACAGCAGTCGGTGCAATATGGAGCAGTAGATTGCCAAGCCACTGCGGCGATCCTCATGCTATTCTATGTAAAACATCCTTCCCGTCAAGCCAGCGCTCTACATTCTCGGCCGTTTCAGCATACCACGTGTTCATTAAACCTTCATCGACGTAGCCCATATGAGGAGTCGTAAGAAGGTGGGAGCGTCCGTCGCGGCCCCAGTACCCATCTTGTCTCCAAGGGCTCTCCGACGGTAGTGGTTCAGTGTCAAAAACGTCCAGGGCCGCCCCTCTGATTCCTCCGCGTTCCAGCACATCGAGCAGGGCTGCATGATCGATCAGGGGGCCCCTTGAGGCGTTCACTAGAAGCCCTGACTGCTTCATGAGAGCCAGTTCCCTCTCTCCGACGAGTCCCCGCGATCGCTCACTCAACACATAATGCAGAGAAACGACATCCGCAGTTCGGAACAGTTCGTCTTTGCTGACGACTTGGAACGTCTTGCTGGTGGCGTCCCCGCCCGGAACCCCTGCCTGCGGATCCAACCCCACCTCAGCAGCCATCCGGTCCGCCTTCTCCTGCGTCAGGTTGGCGCTCCAGCACACGACTTGCATGCCCCATGCGAGGTGCCCGATTCGTGCCACCGCGGCCCCAAGACGTCCAAGTCCGACGATGCCGAGGGTAAGGCCTGTTAGCCCCGTCGCGAGACCGCTCTGCCACCCGCCACGCTTCATCGTGGCATCGTCAATAGCCACGTTGCGGGCCAGAGCTAGAATCAGTGCCCACGTGTGCTGAGTCGTGGGATGTGCGCCGCCCTTCTTGATGTTTGGACGCGGCGGGATGGAGGTGTTAGCCAGCTGGTCAGTCCGCCCCAGGCCTGGGGCGGCGGCGACAGGAAGCCCAAGCTCACGGGCTGTGGCGAGGTCGAAGGTCTCGAACTGGGTGCCTGTAGCTAGCAGTAGTCTGAGATTGGGCAGCCTGCGCAGTACTGAACTGGGAAATGGCGTGCGCTCACGCACTGTAGAAATGGCATCGAAAGGCTGTAGCCGTTCGACGAGGCGATTGAGCTCCACCTCATTGTTTGGGACGATAGTGTCCTTGAATGTGGTGATGGAGATACGTTCAGGTGGTAAGTTGGCGAAATGAGGCTTTGACACGCCGAGATAGTCGTCGATTATTGCAAGTGATGGCTGCCGTTTTGGACCTGGCTGGCCGGCCATTTTGGCAAACGACCTTGTCATGGGATGCAATATCCGCAAGACCATACTGAGATAGAACTCGTGCAAGATTCGACGTTAATAGAGTTCGGAATATGAATGCTTCTGACGATGACAATTTGAATTGTTCTGCGTACTTTCCAATAGAATGAGTTGTAGCTTATATTACAGGTATGCTTAACGAAAGTCGTTGAAATAGAAATATGGTGTAATGGTCTAGCGAAAGCCACGAAAGGTTAGGTTAAGCATGGGCCATGGCTAATGCACGGATGGGCCGAGGCTGGGCAGGGATCGCGGTTTAGAAGCGACAACTCACGCTAACAGTCACTGTTTCTTCAGCACGAGTCTGCCCAAAAATGTAGCCACGAGTGAAGTATATATTCGGTCAACCTCCATTATATACAGATTTTCCTAGTACGCAACTTGACTGAAATTCGGCTCGGCCGCGCTCAGGTTGCTTCAGTTACAGTTCAGCTTTGATTAAGGCCACCCGTGACCTACCCGTGACCTACATTGTGATAGCCTGTCCTCCAACATAGGCCAAGCTTTAACATATGCTGCCCTTATTATAGGCCACACCCTAGCCAGGGTAATCCCTAATTGCTAGCCGATAAAGTCAGCGCGAATCTGTAGCTACCTAGCAGCGACGTTGTTGATTGGTTGTGCATACGAAATAACGACATATCTATAAAGAGATGTAGGCCGAGTCGGCCGCGTTCTTAACATGAAAGTGAACTGTAGGGTTGTATTAGCCCGTATTTGATCTGCTCAGCTGAACTTGAGATCTATGGAACGTCAGGTTTTGCAGGATTGCGGCGCTGACATAGAAAGTACGCAGTAAGTTATCGTGCTACATGGCTGTGGGCAAAAACCCACATAAACCCAACCTGGGTAGGTACTATTCTCTTGCTCTAAACTCGAACGGATGGTGTAGAGATACACCTCCCCGGTTGATCTGCACACCACCCGCATGAGACAAACAAAAGTAAGGGAGACGCTGCCCCGCCAACTTTGTTCAGGAACTACCAACTGCATATGGCACATGCACGGGACTAGCAGTTTCTGTTTTGCCTGTAATTGCTCCTTGTCTAATGGACTTATAGTACATCCCCGCCGCGGCTCTGTGCATCTCATTCGTCCTTCTAGCATTCTGTAGGGGTGCCTCCACGAAGACGAAGCAGGTCGTGGAGAGTCGGAGGGCAAGGAAGACCAGAAAGAGCCATCTTGAGTTGTGTGGGCTCATGACTTCCAGCATTTTGGCCTAGTTTGACAGTAGTGGTCATAATGTCAATACTCAGTCCGGTTATCTTCCATGATTAGCATCCACGTGATCACGCCATGTGTACTGCCACCTTGACAATTGCCTTGAAAATGAATCAATGCATTTGGATCACGAAGCAGCCTGATAACCTACGGTAATGCGCTGGTGCATCATAATTCTGTTGTGCCACGGGGGCATGAAATGAGCAATGCCAACTGACTTGGATCTGGACTATGTTTATCTGCGTATCTCTTCATCCTCGCCATGAGAAACAACTATAGCCCGATTACGCGTCCGTGTTCTCGCCCCTCGCAATGGCTTCCTCGTATTCCTGGTGCGACTTGAAACGAGCCGGCCGGCCGGTGTCATTCTGCAAGCCTTGCTCACCCATGAGCACGCTACGGCGCTTCATGGCCCTCTGCCACGCCGGGCGCACGGTCATGCGTTCATGCCATGCCTGGACGTTTGGAAAACCAGCAAACTTGTCCTCCGGCGCGCATCAGATGACGGAATCAACGCGATCGTTCCACGGTGCAAAAGCCAAATCCGCATATGTGATCTTGTCGCCAACCAGCCACTGACGGCCTTCCAACCACTGGTTAAGGACGCCGAGGACGCGCCTTAGCTGGTCATTGTACCGCTCAATAGCCGACGGGATCTTTTCTTGGTGTAAGACATTAAACCTAAGGATATGATAAGCAATTCTACTTACGTAAAAGCCTAAAGGCACAGGGAGTATCTTACCACGCCGCGACGCCGTAATAAGGGCCCTGGCCGCTCATCTGGAACTGAAGCCATTGGTTGAGGTGTTGTTTCTCTGCGAACGTGTCGTAAGTGAGAGTTTTGTCGATGTCGTACTTCTCAATCAGGTACTGGATGATGGCGCCCGACTCCCAGAGAGTGAGGCCCGTATTCGGGTCCTCGATGGCTGGCGTACGGCCGTTGGGGTTGATGTGGGTAAAGGGCTTCTTCTTGACATCGTCAAACCTGATGGATTGTATCTCGTAAGGTACACCAAGCTCCTCGAGAATAACAATTACCTGCACACATCACATCAGTCTACTAGACGGCCCATGCAGGGCAGCTAGGTCTGGCGCACCTTCCAGGGGTTCGGGCCCGGGGCTCGACGTGATCAGCGGCGTAAGATGTTACGGGCGGGCCCAACCTACGGGTAATCCATACGCGGACGGGCTTCATGGTGGGCAATAGTGCGTGTTGACGAGGGTAGCCGGCCGGTGTCTGGAGCCCTAAGAAGATCCTATTACTTGGAGGTTTGTCCTGCAACGAGCTGCTGTAAGAGGGGCTGCCTGTAGGGCGAGCTTGAGGAAGTTTTCAATGCAGACAATTTCGGCCGGGCATGCAAGTTATGGGTGCTCGGCACCCCGTAGGTATGTACCGAGGTATCCAGGCAACCTGTCGTGGTTCGTAGCATGGGAGCCACTTAGAGGCTGCTGTAGGTGGGATGTCACATGTTGCAGTGCATGGGGTGCGCATAGTATTGGTCATATGGGCATCGGGCCGGTAAGGATAACAACGGCAATGGCATAACTGCGACAGGAGTTAGTAGCAACCTATATACCTATGTAGGTACGTGTGTTTAGCGAAAGCCATTGTAATGGGATTATGGTACAACTAGTACAGCGTAAGCTACTAAATGTTAAGCATGGCTAATACCATTGGGGGATTCAATGGTTAGCTATCCAAGTTCTAGTAACTTATTGGCCAAACTGGCAAATCTCAGACTACTCTCAACAGAGATCGCGTTCTCTCATTGGATGATGCCTATGATGGTCATGTTTCATTTACCCTATACCCAGCGAGTGATCGGGCAACCCCAACTAATGTTCGGGATTCAATCTATGGGAATTACTGTCTTAGTGTTCCCCACGCTTATGCTCTCGCTGAACAAACTATTGCATGTCCTCTCGTGCGCGTCATTCCAGTCACGATCAACGTAGCTAAGAAGCACAGGAAAAATAATACCTTGAAGACAAGAATTCTTTCCCTTCATTCACTTCATCATCCTTTCAAACGACGCCACCAACTTATGCAAACCTCGCATCCCACCACCCACCATGCCTTCTTCCTTCCTGAAAGGAAAGCCCACAAATCGACCAAGCAGCAGCCGCGAGGCTACGCCCATGACGACGCCAGGTCCCAGTACCAGAGCTCCAGACACCACCCGAAACAGCCCTGTCCTGTCCGCGGCAGTTACTGAGGGTAACGGAAATGCCACTTCCAACATCGAGGGTGCTTCGAAAGACAGGCCCAACTACATCAACCTCAAGTTCAAGGAAAGCGCCCGGTACCAGCGCGAGACCATGGTGCGCGTGGAAAGAACCGCAGCCATTGGCGGCACGCTAGAGGAGTACGCCCGACAGGTTGGCAAGCACCTGGACGTCCTCCGTTTCATCACCTACGATGGGCAGAGGATCGGAAGCGATGATAGTCCTGCTGATGTAAGTGCGCTTGACATCGTGACAATGACTCGCTGGGTTCTTGCCTGAAGCGTCGTGCCTCTGATGGCGGTGGGCTAACACGGTCCTCGTAGCTAGAACTCGAGGAAGGGGACATCGTCGATGTGCTGATTCCCCAGCATGGGGGCATGGGAGAACCTTCAGGCCTTACGTCGCAGTGGTGATAATTAATGAGACGAGGAGTGCCAGGCTTTGATGATGCAAGCAAGCAAGCTCAAACACTAAATAAAACCAACGTACTTGCCACCCGAAGATTGCAAGTACGGCACCTTCACCTCCGGAGAAAATGTTCTTACAAATGGCCACTTCCCTGGATTTCCGTCTCCTCACAATTGCAACCAGATATGGGAGGATCAACAAGACTCGTATCTACGATCAGGGAGGAAGCAGGTGATATAGCTGACGGGGTTGTATCACAACTCAATAGAACAGGCTTCAAGTTTCTTCATTTGCACCAATTCATGAAGTTGCCGGGGAAATGTGTCAATTCATTCTCGGCTAAATCAACCCGTCAAGGTGAACAATGGCCATGGCCCTTCATACCCTAGTGTCTTGTTCTGAGTGAACACCTGGCCAAGCTGGCTGAGATCATGTCATGTCATAGCTGAAAGCCGCCCTTTAGGAATGTGACACTATACATCATTCCGACTGCGATAAATATTCCGCACAATATGTGGCCCACACATGCCAGAGCACGTGGTGTAGACCCCTCAAGTATCACCCTCATCCTCCCCCATCTCAAAGTCATCATCCGAAATTTCCACTACCTCATTCATTGGCTGCTGAGGCTCGACTGCCCCATGGGACTCCAGAATGCATCGAATCTGATCTCTGGATCTGTCAACCTGGTCGCTCACATCTTCTCCGTCTTGGTCATCCCAGTTGGGTATAGTGGAGCGACAGATCTTCAATACATGAAGATCATACCACTCCTAATCCACATATTCGGTATACCAGGGGTGTTCGCCGTACTTCTCACCGACGGCGTTCGGGTTTGGGTACTCAGCCATCAAGGCGTGGACCCATTGCTCCTCAAGATTTCTTACTGCAAGCTGCAGAGGTGTGAACCTAAAACCCGCGGGATTGGGGTTCGCACCTGCTTCCAGGAGCAAAGTGAGGAGTCGCCCGGTGGTGGAACCGTCACCGTCCTCATAAGGCTTGCTGAGAGCGAGAAACACAATGTTTGGCTCTCTGGAGACATCCGCACCGGCGTCGATAAGGATATCCAAGAGGGTAGGAAGCTGTAGCCAGACACAAAGTTGCAATACTGTTTGTGGTCGCCGCTCTTCATAGTTTTCTGTAACCTTCGGATTCTGCATGAGAAAGTGATCAAGAAAGATTTGCATTCTGGTATCAGGCGTCAGTGATCCTAGGAAGAGCTTGGTGAGCTCTGGCCACTTCAGCAGTATCAAGTTGATGAGAGTGCTTGTCTCAGCAAATGCTGGAATTTCGCTGCTTTCAAAAGTCACAAGTTTACCCCACGTAGGAAATTTTCTGCGTATTTTTCCACTGATCTTTCCACTTGTAAGGGCTTGGAAGTGTGGGCTTCTTGCTCGAAGGCAGGGGATCACAGCTTCCCAGACTTCTCGGTGTTCTGTGATACTCCCACGACGGTCTCGGAGTGCCGTCTCTGTCATTTTCAGGCAATATTCTTCGAATCGAGTTGGGATTCTAGGTTGTCGCATCCCTGCATACCTCTGCAAACCATGGAAAACGACTTGTAGCTCGAGTGTCTGGGTTTTTTTCTTGGTCAAGACAAATTCGTCTGCGATAGTACAATCTCCTGCACGCTTCGCAAACATGAATTCTTTGACAGTATAATGGGCAGGGCTGATACGCTGCATGCATGAGGCATCCTCATCATCTCGTTGCCAGACGGTTTGCGGCTTCTTTCTTAGTGGAGTGACCTGGATCAAGCAGCCAAGAATCTCAGACAGCCGATCGACAGTGGTCCTCCCTATTGCTCCAAGTGGAACATTGAAGCGTGACGCCTCGGCCAAGACACCGGCATCGGGTATCTCCGCAGAGTCGCTGCATACCAGAGCAAGTGCTGTTCTTGCAAATGTCTCGTCATGGCTAGATCTGGTAGCGCCTGTCGTCATTTGACTAATGATGCGTTCGTACGTCTCGAAGACGGTCGCAGGCAAGTTGGACAGTAAGTCATCCAGACTTTGCTTGGTGTACAAGCGCCGCGTTTGGATCAAATCAATCTGACAAGCAGCCCACCGAAACCTTCAAAGTCAGCCTAGTACGTGTCGTGGAACACATTACTACACTTACATTCCTTTAGCTCCTCGAACCAGTTTGTCCTCAACTTGTTGAGCTTGATCTGGCGTGATATTGCTTTTATACTCTCGCAATCTGGAAAGTCTGCGCTGGATGTAGGTCTGAATAGCTGCAGCTACCATTGAATTGGACATGCTTAAAATTGTGCAGGTTTGACGATTGATTGCAACCTTGCTCACCGAGAAGGATGGTCGATCGTCTTTGAGCAGAATCGGACGATCCTGGCCAATATAGGAGGGAGTTTCTGTTGGGTAGAAAGACTCACTGCTCGACATGTCGGAGTATGCTGGCGAGGAGTTTCCCCGCGGTCGTTGAACTACGCTCGATCCAACAGTCAAGCGCCGTTCCTCATGTGTCCATGGAAATGTAGGGACAGGTCCAGGAGATGATTGTCTGACCACTTGAGAAGAACCTTGAAGTGAAGACATATCGACGCGATATTTGGTACGGTGTGGTGACATAGAACTAGGACGAGCATGGATTCCCCGACTCCATGAAGAACTGTGCCGTTTAGTACGCCTGTCATCATTTTCATGGCTAGGAGCAGAACGTTTGGGGCTTGGGGGGACGACAGATTGACTGGAATTCTGACTGTGATGCCCATCAGACTCCGGAATAGCAGCATCGATTGATTGTTCAATGTCTGGCTCCTTGCGGCTGACCATCAAGAGGGATACACGGCTAAACTCATCCCGTGTGCCGATGGTAGTAAGAACGTTAAGCAACGGGCCACGAGGTGTTTTGCTTTCGTCAATTCCATCGATGATGATTTGAACGGTCTTGCGTGCCAGCAGATCAGCAAGAGCTTCCGAGATAGCCTGCAGACATTCCAGCAGAGATCCAGTGCCTAGATCTCGGGATCGATGATGATCAATGATCTTTTGGGGCAAAGGGCCATGGAGTTGGCGACAGAAATCCCAGATGATCCAGCGCAAGAAGAACCGAGTTTCATCTCGAAGATTCTCAAAGGAGCAGTAATAGTAGGCAACTCCTCTATTTCCACAGTATTTGCGCGCGTCGTCAATTAGGCAGGATGCCAAGATTGTTTTGCCGGAACCAGCAATGCCGTGAATCCAGAGGAAGCGGCGACAGTGATGATCGAGGGCCTTCCCGCCGGCTAGCCATTGTTTCCAGAGATCCGAGTCGGTCATCCAGTTACAGGTCTCGTCCTCCTGAATATCCTGCTTCAGAAGGTGGACTTCATACATGTCCTGAATTTTGGGTTTGAGCCATTTCCAAACAGCTCGAGTCGATAGGTCTGTGAGTCATTGTCAGCTCACTCTTGATGGATGTTTCAGATCCCTTTGAACTAGGAGAAAAGCCGGGGTGGGGGACTAACCTAGTACACCTTTCTTTACTTCGTGCCTATATAACGTCAGTTGATTTGCCAGCGAAGTACCCCCTCCATCCAGCATCACATACTGAGTGGTATGCATGTCGAGAACAAGTACCGAACCGATGTTGCTCCTGTGGCGCTCAAGCTGTTGTAGAATCTCTTTGGCCTTTCTGGAGTCAGCCATCAGCCACTTGCTTGCTATCCGCATCCTCTGCGCTGTGGAAGCTGGTTCATCTTGGCACCGAGGCTCGGCGAGCACATTCAGTTGAGCAAGACATTTGTCAGCTTCCTCTAGAACCTTGCTTCTGGATAGCGCCGTGACTAGAGCATCGGAGCCCCCAGCCCGATCTCGAAGTATGCTTCTCAGGCAGCGGAGCTGCGGCTCGAAAATCGATATATCGGCGACAATCTTGGTCACTATCTCCGGAGCCTCGCAGTGAGAACTAAGGTAGCCCTACACATTCCAAGCAGTGTCTCAGCCAATGAGATAGTTGCAGTGACCGTCTGGATGACAGGAACCACCTCCATCCTGCCTCAGATACACTGACAGCCGAACCGGGCTGTGCTGAGGATGATGAGACAAGGGATGATATCAAGGAAAATCTTGATGCAAACCTCTTGCAAGACGTGACTTGAGAGAAACTTGGGATGCGGTGTGAATTTGGTTGAGCAGAAGGTGACCGCAGCAGAGGGGTTGCAGGTCAATATTTATAATTCAATGCGAACATTTGGCCAGGCGGCCAGGCAGGTTGCCAGCGGCATCCAGGGGATACCGTCCCCAGCACAACATGCCTTAGCTTGCAAAAAAATTTAAAGCAAGGCTGAATGAGGGATGGTACACAGGTCACCTGAGGCAGCCCTTGGTTGTCCTGGATGCCATCTCGGACGGAGGGCGAACGGATGATCACCAGTGTCCCGTCTAGCTTATAAAGAAACCGACGTAGTGGGCAAACACGAGGGCAACAGATGCTGCATATTGGCAAAGGCAAGGAAGCCGAACATGATCATGACAGCTTTACGACATATTTTCTAGGTTCAGTCGTCGAAATCCGTGAGGCTTGGTGCAAGTCGATTCTCGCATGCATTGAGGTCGGGTGGCAGTCTATCGGATCAGGCCGGTCCGCATCGGACTGTTGGAATGCTATGGGAGAAGTTGCGACTGTATGAGACACCAACGCATTTCCGATATGACAAATTGCCCTCTTAAGTACTGTACCGAACTCTCAACATGCTGCTGTATTAAACAACGGCTACAGTACTCCGTAAGTAAACGCCAAGCCGTTCGTGGTGTTGCTGATGTCCAATACCTGCTTTCGGCATGGCATCCACTAATACGATTTGGGCCAAACCTTTACCCTGGCGCCTTGCCGTGCCCCCCAACCGGCCGGTGTGCCGAGGTAGGTCTGGCTAAGTAAGTAATGATAGACGCGTGCTCCAGGACCTCCCTCCCACACACGCGGCGCGGCCACCATAGACAAGGACAGACATCCAGTCTATATGCATCGCATGAATCCGCCTAATCTCGCGGAAATTGTCCAGACTGCGGAGGTTTAAGCAATTGTCTTTGCAATTCCTCTTTCGCACCAACCATCGCTGCATATACCTGCAGCTACCGGCAACTATATGACCAGTGGTTCTTCCCCGGATTTCCCTGATCGCTCTCTGGCCTGGCCTAGCCCCCAAAACTTTTGGATTCTCACTGGACCCAAAAAAAAGGTGCGCGACACCCGTGCAGTCCCAGCGCTCTCCAGCCTAGCTGCCTAGGTATTACTCGCACCTGGACCCCGGAAAAGCCCCATCCCACCCCCCAGGCCAAACCCCACAGCGCTAAACCCCAACGTCATTCGGCAGCTCTATCGCCTATCAGACAACCTCGGGACTTCTTTGGGACAGAACCCCGAAAGCGCAGTAAAGTGCAGACATAGTCAAACTTCGACAGCAGACTTTCGACACCTCCCGAAATCTGTTCCCCTACCCACCCCCCTCGCCGCATACAACCCGCCCAGCATGTCTTCCGTAGCAGAGGTCCAGCCGGCCACGACCGACCTGCCGTCGGGGGACCCCGTCCCCTCCGCCGGCGCCGCGCCGCCCTCGAAGCCCAAGCCGCTCCCGCTCCGGGAGCTGCTGGCGGCGGCCCCGTCCAACGTCGACGCCTTCCTCGCACACCTGCAGCGCGCGCTGAGCACGCCGTCGGGCATCGACACGGTGCTGCTGTTCCTGTGCTACAGCTCGCGGCTGACGTCGGCGCTGCTGGAGCTGGCCACGGGCCCCGTCATCAAGAGCCGCGCCAACGCCCTGCTGGCCCTCGCCGCCTCGCTGCCCCCGCGCACCACCCTCGTCTTCACCTCCAAGGCCTTCCCCTCGCCCAGCGCCGCGCTCCTGCTGGCCCTGTCCAAGCGCCTCAAGACCTTCAGCGGCCTGCTCTCCGAGACCCGCACCTTCCTGCGCCTGTGGGGCCTGCTGGGCATGTACTTCTGGGGCAAGGGCCTGGTGCTGCGGCTGCGGGCGGCGCGGGCGGCGGCGCAGTCGAGCGACCCGGAGAAGCGCGCGGCGGCGCCCCGGCTCGACACGCTCGAGACCACGCTGGCCGTGTCGCAGCTCGTGGCCTGCGTCGTGTTCCAGGCGCTGGAGAACGGGGCGTTCCTGGCGCAGAAGAGCGTGCTGGCGTGGCAGCCGGCCAGCATCGGGGCGGCGTACCGGTGGAGCGCGCGCTTCTGGGGCGCCTTCGTCGGGCTCAAGCTGGGCGAGCTGTTCCTCGAGTCGCGGCGCCGCGCCGCCGTGCCCGCGCGCCAGCGCATGGGCGACAAGACGGTCGCCGTCTTCGAGCGCGAGGAGCAGGAGTGGGCCGCCGAGTGGCGCAAGATGGTCGGCCGCAACATGGCCTGGTTCCCGCTGACCATCCACTGGAGCCTGGAGCAGGGCCTGTTCAGCGAGCTGGCCGTCGGTGCCATTGCGAGCGTGCCCGGAGTGATCCAGATCAGGGACCTGTGGAGGAGGACTGCCGAATAGGTCGGTTAGCGTGGCTTAGGTCTTTAGCGTTCCAGAGAGCGATGGGCGGGCGATGGGCGGGTCAGAGGGTTTTAACGGGATACGATGAAAATAACAAAGCATCATGCTGGTGGTAAAGTGATGAACTGGTGGGCAAAGTGCCGTACAATATTGTTTAGTCGCAAAGTCGACCAAACCAGCCATGTCTGGTGTCCAACTCAATATTCAATATACCTTTTAGTTTCTGATCCAAGTGAAGGGTATATGTTACTTGATCTTCGCTGTTTCGACAAGTAAGACAAGACCTTTATGGACTTGAATCAAAGCCCTCACATGCACTGTAATCATCAGCCGAAAGACTATAGTGGATAATGTATATTACATTCGAACTATTATGCGCAATGTTCTCAACGGCTTCTATTCCTGGCCAAGCCTTGAACAGGCTTGTTGTCATCTCAAGGTGGTCAACCCCTAGCTCTTGACGGCCCACTTCATGCCAAGTTAGCATAATAATCAACCACAAGCCACCAGCTTTTGTTCTTCCTGCTTCTGTATGGCACTCCAAAATACCACCCAAGCGCCTCGCAATGCGGATATCAAATTTCAAATATGTAACCATTCAGTGTCGATAGTTTAGACATTAGCTGTGCGCTCCATTATGCACGATTGGTGGCATGCTCCGCCCGAAGTAATGAGGCACAAAGTGCCAGTTTGACTATAATGTCAATAATAGCGCGACACCCGCGGCCAAGAACAATGGGTTCGTAGTCCGAACTATAGAGGACACTGCGGCTTGGGCCTGTACGACGGTGTCGAATGGGCTTCCTCCTCCTGGCTCGGTAGCTCCAGTCGGCCCGTCGGTTGGTGGGTTATTAGACTGTGTGTTTGTCACTTGTGTGACCTGTGACGAGGCGCTCGTGGTTGTCGCAGTAACTTCTGATGTTTGCACCGCGGTGCTGGTCTCAGTTGGCGGGTCATCGCCCCCATCGCTCGAGGTGGTCTCGATATCTGTTGATGTGGTAGCCGGGGGTGGGACTTCGGAAGTGATGATCGCGGGTGGCGGGCTTGAGGTCGTCGCTATTGAGCTAGTCCTCGAAGGCTGAACAGTCACTCTCACTGTTGTCGTGTCGACGTTTGACCCCGGACAGAGGGTTTCCAACAGCAACCCGTCCAGCGTCAAGCCTAGTAAGGATTGCGGGTTGACGTTGAGACCACCACAGATGGCGTTGACGATTGACGACACGCTCGCCAAGCCATTAATGCAGCTGTTCGAACATCTGTTGCCATTGGTGAAATCGGTGTTCGTACATCCACTGATCTGTGAGTTGTATGCCACTATGCATGGAGACGGTATCGCGTTCGACGTAATAAGTTGGAAGTTGGCCAGCGACAAGGCCGATGCAGTCGAGGCCACGGCGAGGATCTGGAGCACCCTTGGCGGCCGCCTACTTGGCCGCCTCTTCCTCAAAACTCTGCCCATTGTGAAGAACGCCTCCGCGATGACTGAAGATTTTCCTTCCACCAGTTGGACAGCCTTCCTTGATATGTAGGCTTTCTTTCGTCTTTAGACTTGTGGGGTATGATGATGGTAAGAGGTAGGATTGAGGCAACTTCTCGGAAATGGACCAGGCGAAAGTAATTAGCCCCAACGGCTTGATGCGAACACCTGGAGGGATCCGTCTCCAGACACTTATGCCGTTGGATTGATGTTAAGAGGAAGCGGCCAAATGCAGACGTCAGGGTCGAATTGATGTGCGCCGTGAGACACGAGGTGTGTCAGGATGTGGTTATGCCGGGGTAGGTAACGCCTGGGCCAATCGCAATGAGCCAAAGTCTGGAAGCAGGTCAAGCCGGGTGTCAATGCGGCTGCTATATCGATGTAACCCCGTGTGGTCCGATCTCTTGGCTTTCATCCGAAGGTTGAGAAATATGACGACTGTGTTCTGGTCGAGGATCCGGTCATGCCAGCGACACTCAAGTGTATGGTCGAGACAACCCGTTTTTGAACTAAGATCATGCGACAACTCGGAGGGTCAAACCAGCAACAGGCTAGCCATTGGGCAGCCCAGATAGTAAGATCGGAAGGGAGCCAGGACAACTTGTCAATGCTTGCCTCAGATTGTCACCGCGCTGCCGGGTTTAGATCTAGTAGGCGAGGCAGTTCTTGCAGAGCGCAAGTCAGAGGGCGCAGGACGTAAAGGAACTATGAGAGGCAGTGGCGGGCGAGGTAAAGGGGAAAGAAGGGCCGGGAGAGAAGCGGCTTGTCGTGATGCAAACGCAGAACCGCCCAGCCGAAATGCCTCGAACGGAACGGGAGAGACTGAATTCAGTTAATGCGGAAGCCCGTCGTGAGATGAGTGAGGACGGACGTAGCACGGTGTTGACCTTGTCCTGAAACCCGCTACGAGCACGATAGTGAGAAGGACTTTGCACAAGAAAGTACGCGAACGGCAAGTTCGAAGCTATACCCTCTACTTATGAGAGATAGCGGATCTGTCGCCCTTCGAGGACAGAGTGAGACGATTGACTAGGACAGCAGATCTCCTGCATCATCGGCCAGCCTGTCATGGGGACCATCTTCCCTCACTAGAGGCAGGAGGTAACACTCGTTACCCCGTTTTGAGGAGGGATGCGCAGCGGGTGTCTTGTTGGCTGATCTTCAACGTCGAGCGCAGCGCCCAAGAGCCGCATCTGTCCAACCCGAGGCGCCCGAGGCGAGAAGGTGTCCGTCACCCCAGTCTCCCTCGTGGCATGTTTTGTGTCACGACCTTGCGATAGGCTCGCCGATGTTGCGCGATGCCGTTCGAGAGGCTGGGCCCCTACATGCTGCGCCGGCCAATGGCGGCGAGGGATGGTAGTGAAACAGAGAAAACGAAACACTCGTCGCGTTTGAAGTGTGAGACCCTGACATCACGAGCGGCCGATCTGATTGGCGCACTGATCCCCTGGGGCGGAAGGCAGCCGCTAGCTGGTAGCTTAGGGTAGACGGGAGCCAGCGGTTTGGGCCAGCAGGTGGCCCCCGGCGGGTTGTTGGCGGGAACCCCGCCGCCAAGAGGTTCCATTCGCTCCCGACGAAGATGTGAGCTTCATTGCCGATCCGCTTCACCATTCCTAAAAGCTTCGAATTGCGGTTGGTCGGCCCCACGAGGGAGCTTCTGCACGATGGCCATAGATATGTATTCCTCCCGTACTTTTTTAAATGTCAAAACCGGAGCTGAACCTCACGATGGCACCTCCCTGAGCCGGTCAGCGGATAGGGTACCCGGTACGGACGGTTCATTCATTGGCGTCGCTTCCTTATCTAATGCAGTAGCCTAGATGAATCAGAATGATGTGCAGGTACTAGGCTACAATTGATAAACACCAAAATATCTGACATAAAGATATCTTCGTGGCTGACCAGGCAGACATCTTCGGGCCTGAAGAGAGGACAACAATTGAGGTGATCGTACATTTTGCGTGAAATCCAACTGAGCAGTGGAACGAAACCGGAGATTTCACTTTCAGTCGCAATTCCCGCAGTCATCCCAGCACACTGCACGCAGGCTAGTAAGCATGGCAACAGAGACAGCGGAGCAGATGCAGGCCAAAGTCCTCAAGTCGCTCGAAGGCACGCGCTACGCCGCTGCCTCCCTCGAACGCCTATCGGGCGGCGTGGGCAACTTTTTGTACCGCGCACAGCTCGTGACGCCCCTTGACGACGGCACGGCGGAAGTCGTTGTCAAGCATGGGGAGGGCTATATAGCTAGGTCGCCCGAGAATTCGTTGACACTGGATCGATGTGTATGCATAACTCAGTTCCAGTAATTTGCTAGCCCCCCAGTGGCAGAAAATTGAATACCGTTCTGGTAGCTGACCATGCACACGCTCTCTGCAGAAAGTTGAAGAGGAATGCCTGAAGGCCCTCTCCTCCTTCCGCGTGACGGGGCAGCAGGACTCGGTCAAATACGTGGTGCGCACGCCGCACTGCTACTTCTACGACGAGAAGAGCAACTCGCAGATCCTCGAGTACCTGCCCAACGGTATCGACCTCAAGAACTACGCACTGAAGAACTTCGCCGCGCCGAGCCCGGACAGCCTCAAGCCGCAGTGCCACGAGCTCGGGAGGGAGCTGGCGCAGTGGCTCGTGGGCTTCCACCGGCAGTCGGAGCAGGAGGCCAGGGCGGCGCGGGAGAAGGGCGGGAAATCGGCGCTGTTTGCCCAGCTCGAGCCCTGCCGCGAGATGCAGCAGCTCAAGCACATGATTAACTACGACTGGATGGTGCAGCGGATCGCCAAGTTCCCAGATGTCCTGGCCGAAGCCAGGGAAGTGTTCGAAGAGTTCAAGGCCGCGGCGCTGGATGAGTTGAAAGGGGAGCTGATGCCCATCCATGGAGACTTCTGGACTGGAAAGTGAGTACCATCAATCGCTAGATTCAATAACGTGGTATTTATGTCTTTATAGCATCGTGCTGGCGAATATCGCTGTCGAAGAAGGCGCTGAGATCCCTCTGTTCGTCATCGACTGGGAGATGGCCCAGCTCGGCGTACGCGAACTAGACTACGGCCAGATGCTGGCCGAAATGTACCAGCTGTGGCTATACAAGAATATCGATGCCGGGCTATGGATGGTGCAAGGCTTCGCAGAGGGCTTGCAACTACAGAGCGAGCGCGTGGCATTCCGTACTGCAGCCCAGCTGGGTTGTCACCTGGTGGCCTTTGGATGCGTGACCCCAGGTTGGGGAACACCTGAGCAGGGTCGGGAAGTCGCGCGCGTCGGAAGAGACGTCATTGTGAATGCGCGAAACGGGAACCGGGAGTGGTTTGAGAAGAGCGAGTTGGCATGTTTGTTCAGTCACGTCAGGTAACGACGTTGCTAGCCGCGATAGTCATACCAAATAAGACAACGAAAATGAGGAACATGAATAGATGACACTATTTCGATGAAAAAGAAAGATGCGCATATGAACGTATCAGTATAAAATTGCTGGTCGATGATCTGGCTGTCACTTATACGTCGTTTTGTTAGTCCGTGGTCGACGCAGCCTACCTGAGACCAATTTTCAGGGTGAGAGTCTCAACCTCCAAAAACTCAGTTTGTCTAACCCAGCCGTCCCCACCCCCAGCGATGAGATGAGTCAAGAATCTTCGCCTCTTCGCCAGCAGCTCTCAAAAGGCAGAAGCATACTCTAATGAACACCGGCTCACAGTTCATCTATCTTCAAATAAGAGCTGACTTGATTTGATCCACACCCACGCGCGACCATGGCTGAAGACGCCGCAGCCCTCTGCGTGCGCTGCAAAACTGAGCCCGCAGCCCACGACCTGCGCACGGAAAACGTCTGCTCGTGAGTGCACACCACAACCCCGCCCCCTATTTCAAAGGGCCTGCCCCCTTATTCATGCTCCAGCATCCCCATTCGCCTATACAACACCGGCACCATTCCATCTGGGAACAAACCCAAGATTCCCGTTTTCTCCGTGTCAACGCAGCTGAACTAAGACCCTCCCGCCACAGGAAATGCTTCACCCCCTTCATCAGCGCCAAGACCATCAAGCGCATCGAGCAGCTGCAGCGCTCGACGCGGGCCTTGGGCCGGCCGGCCGCCGACGCCCAGCGGTACCTGGTCGCGCTGCGACCCGGCGGCGTCAGCTCGACGGCCCTGCTCAGCGTACTGTGGGACAACGTGCGGCAGCAGCGGGCGCGCGGCCAGCGCGTCAAGTTCGACGTCGTCGTTGCCGTGGTGGACACGGACCTATCCGTGGAGGCTGATGATGTTGAACGCGATGACGCTGGCAGCGGTATTGTGGAAGAGGGCAGGGAGGACGGACAGGCAACAAGGCGCAGGTCAGAGACCGAGGTCCTGCTGGACGCCTACCGGGCGCGGTTCCCGGACGTCGAGTTCACGCGGATCCCGCTGGCCGACGCGCTGACGCTGGACACGGTTTCGTGGGCCGCGCTGCCGCGCGACTCCTCGGAATCCTCCCCCGTAGCCAGCGCCCCAGCGCGGCGCTTGGCGGGCCTGCTGGCCCGCCTGCCGTCGACGACGTCGCGCGCCGACGTGGTGCGCCTGCTGACGCGGCACCTGCTGGTGCGGGCGGCGGGGCGCGCGCGCTGCGACGTGCTGCTGCTGGGCTACAACACGACGTCGCTGGCGGCGCTGACGCTGGCCGAGACGGCCAAGGGCCGCGGGTTCGGCGTGCCGTGGGCGGTGCAGGACGGCGAGATTTCGCTGCCGTCGTGGACGGTCGATGGTGATGACACTCGCAATGAGGCGGATAACGACGACACGAAAGAGAACGGCGAGACTCACAGCAGCAGCAGCAGCAGCATCCCCGTCTACCACCCGCTGCGCGAGCTGTTCCGCAAGGAGCTCGTGACGTACACGGGGCTGACCGACCCACCGCTGACGCCGCTGCTCCCCTCGCTCGCCGGGTCGTCCTCTTCGTCGGCGCGCGCCGTGGTCTCGCATAAGGACCTCAGCATCGACGACGTCATGACGCGGTACTTTGGCGAGGTCGAGGCGAGCTACCCGTCCGTGGTGGCCAACGTGGTGCGGACGACGGGCAAGCTGGAGCGGCGGGCGGCGACGACGGCGACGGCTGGGGAGAGCGGCAGCAGCTGCGGGCTGTGCGGCATGGGGCTGGACGAGGCGGGCGACGAGCGGTGGAGGGGCGAGCTTGGGGAGCCGGCGGCTGCGAGGTCCGGGGACGGCGGCGGCGGCCAGGCTGGTAATGATGATGATTATGATGGGAGGAAGCGGCTGTGTTATGGCTGCGAGAGGTCGGTGTACGGGTAGCGTAGGACGGCATAGCACCCAACGAAATAAGACTTGCATGAAATACTACAGGATCATGATGACAACGCGTGCGATGGCGAGGCGGAGGCTGCGTAGTTTTCAAGATGTTTGATTTGAATGCTTTGGATCATGCTATATGCCGGTCGCTTTTCCGCATCTCTATGATCAACAGCCCACGATTCCCTCGTTTCCGCTTTCTTACCTTCTATATCGAAAGAGCAAATATAGCCAGGGTTGCTGGCGTTAAGCTGCCGCCCGTCTATGCATTTTCCCCCTTTGATATGCGTCGAAAAAAATCACTAGTTTTCACATATATACAGGATTCGGTTCGAATCGTCGCTGCTATCCTCGCTGTTTTCGGCGTCGCCTCATCCCTCTCACTTATCATGCCTTGTCCACAGCGGTGGCCGGCAGGATCTTGCTCTCGAGCTTGCGCACCAGCTTGTTGGTCTGCTCCGCCAGACTCAGCGTGAGGATGGTGTGCGGTAATATCCTGGCCAGATGCGGCACGAAGCCCTTGTAGATGGCGAAGAAGCCCTCGGTCCTGATGGTCTTGGCTAGGCAGTCGAAGAGACCGTTGTACAGGTTGCCGTTCTGGTTGTAGAGACGGGACATGACGGTGTCTGCCAGCGCTTGTCAGTGACTATCGCTGTTTGTCTCGCCGACTGGCAAACGGCACTGCACGGGAATAAGGGAAGGGGAAACTCACCAGGCGGGTGCATGAAGCAGCAGACCACGAAGCCGCTGATGGCACTGCTGGTCAGGTGCAGCGGCGCGCCCTCCTGCATGCCGAGGTGCTTCTGGAGGCGGCGCTTGGCGAAGAAGTAGGTGGGCAGCTGGACGCTGCTGCCGAAGCCGGTGCGGATCATGGCGGCCGACATGCCGCGGTAGAGGCCGCGGAAGCCCTCGGCGCCGTAGATCTGGCGCAGGCCGTCGAGGGCGTTGCGGTACTCGTGCTGGGTGCCGACGGCGACGAACTTGCTGTAGCTCTGCAGGCGGGTCTTGACGAGGAAGAAGGGCGAGCCGGCGGCGGCGCCGATGATGCCCGACGAGGCGCCGCAGAACATGTTGATGCCCAGGTTCTGCTTGGCGCCGTCCTTGAGCAGCACCGAGGCCAGCGTCTGGCGCATGGGCTCGTAGAAGCCCAGCCGGCAGCCGTTGAGCAGCACCTGGTAGATGTAGGCGCAGCCGATGCCGCGGTAGATGCCGCGCAGGCCCTCGTTGCGCACGATCATGCTGACGGCCTGGAAGGGCCCGCGGTAGTGGTGCGGCTGGTGGCCTTTCGACTGGAGCTCGCCCTGGAGCTGCATTCTGTGGGATCACCGGAAGCTGTTAGCCACTGACTCGATTGTTCGCCTGCCCGCCCGTCCGTCCGTCTGTTGATTCCATCCCTTGCGCCGCGCTGCGCCCTGCGACACCACCCTTGGGGTCTATGTTCTGCTGTCTCCGCATCGCAGGCTTGCAGGAGAGCGAGCGACCTGACGCATTGCGCGCAGAGGGTTCCCATCGGAAATGTGTAAAAACGTAGCTAGGACAATTCGTACCGTATCTTGACCGTCTCGAAGGGGTGGGTGGCCGTGACCGCACCGCAGGCGGCGATGCCGCCGGCTAAGAAGGCACTGTATTCAAGCTCACATCAGCATCCCGTCCCGTCCCGTCCCGTCCGATCCCATCTTTGTGTATCGCGAGGGGGCAAGACTAACCCCGCTGTCGTCGACATGTCTGCTGCCGTCGGAGCTCCTGTGCGCGCCGCAGATCGCGCTCTGGTGGGCTCGTCGTCGGTGGTCTGTCGCCGAGTGTGCTGTGCTGTGCTGTGCTGCGTGGTATGTATTGTATGTCGGGTTCGCGTCTGGAGCTTGGGACTCGGCGGCGCGGGAGTCGTGCGACTTAGACAGAGCTCCGAACTTAGGGGGCAGACCACTTTAATTTTTTAGACTTTTCGGGGCGGCTCACGTCACCGCCGGTCAAATTCCAGGGCGCCCCAAGTCAGTCGGCGTCGGCCCCAAGTCTTGTCTGGTCTCTGCTACAGAAAATCAATCCAATTGGGTGGGGGGTTTTGTCTCAAATCTCAAATGACAAGACAGCCGAGGAGTCAAGCACGGGATGGATGGAGAAGAGAGAGGACAAAACGAATGGCACTCCGCACGTCTTACGTTGCTTACGCGATCAGCAATAGGTACAACCCAATGGGCGGTGGGATTCCCAGGGACCATCAGCAGCACTGTCGGGTAAGGCTGGTAGTCAGGTAGTCCAGCTGCACTTCTATGCGGCTCTCCCTCTCCAGGCCTCTCGCGCTTGGCCTGTCCGACCTCGCTCCCCAGCTCCCAAGGGCGGTGGCACCCGACCCCGGTGTCCCCATCCCCTAGCCTCGACGCCAGGCACCCCCAGTAGACCGACGCCGGCCCGGCCGGTGCGCTCAGTATCGGCATCTGTCGCCCACCAATAGCCGCTGCGATATTTGCACTAGAGTTCCAGGTCACCAAGCTACCTCCCTCCACTGTTCCGTGTCTTGCTCTACGGTATATGGCTTCTGTAACTGCGGGCTGGCCTCGCAACATCCGCTGCTTACTCCGATGGAGAGTCCAACTGCTCGTCGTCTCTGGTTGTCTTTCACATTGCCATTGAGGGGATACTCTGTGGTCGCCGTCTTGTGCTGTGTGATATCTTCTTTTCGACCCAGTCTAGTAGTCCCGTCTGCCAAAGTCACGTCACCGCACCAGTTCTCACGATTTCTGTCCCTTCTTTCTCTCTCTGTTTCCGTTCCATTTCATTCCATTCCCTTGATATCCTTACCCATCTACCTAAGTTCGCAGCGCTGTAAATGCAGATTATCCGTATCGGATGCATGCCCCGCGATTTCAAAAGCTCACGCACGCCCCCAATATCCCTTTGCTTCCCCCTCCTCTCCACCAATTATGTCGTCCTGTTCATGTAGATAAATTAAAAACAAACTCCCAACCATGCTGATGATGACGAAAAATACCAGATGCATTATATCTTCCCCAGTGGTTCCCTGTCTGGCGCCTCGAAACCACGCTCTTTTAACGCCGACTGTGACATATGTTCTCCAAAACAGATCTCTCGCTCCTCTGGCTGTAGGCGCCGCGTTGGGTATATGGATGGTTTGAACCCCCCGACACATGCCACCGCTGATCCCAGAGCTGTCGATGCAAAATTGATAATGCAGTGCTGCCGACTTACACCGGTACCGACCATTGGCCACTCCTCCAAGCGGTACTAATCTGAGCCCAGTTCCAGTTCACGGACATCCAGCAGGACATGGCGGATAAGCCACCTCCCGCGTGGCCCCCACGGACGGCGGCTCGGTCGTCATGGTTGAAAGTTGCAACGGACTGGGGACGGGGGTGTCATCGGCAACGGAGTCTTCGAAATAGGGGTCCTAGCTCGCGTTCGTGGCAGCCGCAGCATCGAGATTGACCATGGCACCAGGCCTCGATACGTCCTGAGACGACCTTCCGGCGTCGCCGTCGAACACCCAAGGGCCGGCGTCGTTGCGCGGCGTCAGGGGCCCCTCATGCACGTTGACAACGGGGACACCGTTCGGCGACGGTGTCCGCACGCCGCGTGCTTGACCCGACCCTGGCGTGCTGGTCCGCGGTATGGGCATCGGGCTTGCCGGCGTTGGTTCGGGTGCCGGTTCCTGGGCTGTCGTCACGCGGTCAAGCATTATGGTAGCGTCCCCAGCATCTCCTTCGCGGGATGATGTCTGCGAAACGGCACTGTCGGCGGCACCGTCTGGCAGGTTCTGACTCGAATCCCCGGCGTGGACTGGCTGCGGCTCGACGCCTTTGCTTTCCTCCATGTTGTCGTCCTCAGCGCCGGAATCCAGCTGCCAGTCCTCGTCCGGCTCCTCTATGTCGGCATCCAAATCCGCAGCGGCTCTGCAGTTCGGGCAGGTAAATATGGGGTACGAGGGGCCCATCAATAAGCCCCGTATACACTTGTAGTGCCACGTGTGACTGCAAGGAGCTACGAAGAGCGATTGACATGGCTAACGGGGGAGATTCTGTCAGCACTCTTCTTCAAGGAGAAAAAGAGGGGGGGAAAAAGACATGGACAAGGGACACCAACCGCTATCGCATTTAGACATATCGAGCAGTCTTGGGCATGCGAGGTGCTCGAAGACGTTGACGTCAGATTCCTCAGTCGTTTATGCGTTGCCATGCTGGAAATCAGGGGTTAGCCCACAGGGTCTTAGGAAGTGGGAAGGAGGGCGACTTGCTTGAAATTGTTGGGCTTTGCTTGCCATCCCCGGTTGAGCTCGATCCGCATCTTGACACAGCGGAAGATCATCTCCTCGCCGCCGCGGAAGTCGATGCCCAGCTGCACAATGTCGCCGTCGTTGACAATGTACGGCTTAGATTCATTGCCAGGAGGGCTGAGGCGGATGTGGTTGAGAAAGGTGCCGGACGAGCTCTTGACGTCGCGGATGTACCACTTGCCGTTCTCGTGCCAGAACTCGCAGTGCCTCCTGCTGACGACCTTGCTCTTAAAGCCTACGGGGGCCGCCGACGGGGCATTGGCCGGGACGTGCTGCTGCTGCTGCTCCCTCTCCGAGTAGCGGCCGACCTTGATGACCTCCTTGCCGGTGGGCAGCGTGCGGGCGAGCGGCGTGAAGGCCAGCGACTGGCGCGTGGACCGCGGGTCGTAGTGTGCCGAGAAGCGGATGGTGGGCAGCATGTCGAGGGACAGGTCGCCCGTGGTGGCCGATCGTGTGCGCGTCATCGCTGCTGCAGACTCGGCGGTCGTCTCCTCTGCCGGCTCGCCGGCTGTGGTGTGCTTCTTGCTCCGTCGGTCCTCCGCGTCCGAGGCCGTGTCTGCTGGCAGGCTGTGGAAGGAGTCGTTGCTGGCCTGCGCAGCCTGGGCAGGTGCAGATGTGGTTTGGTGGACGCGGTCTTGTGGTGGGCTGATGTAAGATGTCAGCAAGCAACGGTGCCTGGTGCACACGAACTTGGGGAACTCTACCTTAGTGGGTCGTCGAGGGTCACTACCTGACGTAGACGTCGTCGGCTGCCGGAGGAGGGGTTCGGCGGGTGGGTGTCTGTCGAGGACGCAGCACGGGTGAGGGCCGGGAGTGGTGACGAGTGAGAGCCCGACGCATTCGTAGGGGTTGCTGTGGTGCTGTCTTGGGTTTGTGCCTGTGATTGTGTCTGTGCCTGTGTCTGTGCCGGGGCCTGGGACTGTGCGCTGCTCGTACTGGCACTGCCGCCGCCGCCGCCGCCGCCGATGCTGCTGCTGCTGCTGCTGCTGTCACGCGACAACAGGTGGGTGTGGGTATAATTGCGGAGGTAACTGAGCCCGCGTAGACGACTCCCTCGCGGATGACTATTGCTCGACTGCTGCGTGGCCGAGGCGGTTGCGACCGAGGCGGGCGAGAGGAGGCCTGTGGACGGAGGCGCCGGTTGAGAAAACATCTATCTGATGGGCCGCTGTGCCAGTTCGCCAGTGGGGATTTGGGGGGCCCTTAGGCCTAGGAGTGATGTGCAAGGCGTGCAGATCTGGCAGGCCTGGCAGCTTGTCTGGCGGACGGGTGTTCCTTGCGTCAACAGTGCAATAAGCTGCCGAGACAGACCAGACGACCAAGGCGCCCAAGTGTAGGCTCTTTCGTTGGTTTAGGTTGCAGCGGTGATGCGCGCCTGATCGATCAGTCTGAAATCGCAGGCCAGATGGAGATAGCTAAGGTATAGGTAGTTAGGTAGTAATATTCGGAGCCGGGCATGTGCGGCGAATCAGTTCTCTACTGTTGATGAACCAGGGCGCTTTCAGAGCCGGAATTCGGCTGCGTTGCTATTATTGTGTCGCTGCCGTCGTTAGGCGGATGGCCCAGGCGTTTCAGGGACCCAGGTCGATACTAATAGGCCTGCCCTGCAACCCTGCTCTGAGTCTTTTGCTTTGCTGAGGCTGTCGGCCTTAAAAATGGAATTAACTTGGGGGATCGATCGTCAGCACCCACTGGAGCGTTGGCTGCAGGTGGGGTTTCGGCCAGATCCTGGCTTGCTGGCCGGTCGTCGTACCAGAGAGAGGGATCTCCTCTACACAGCACAGTAGAAGAGGGAGGACGGCCCGAGGCGATGATGTAGTCGGCGGCGCGCGTGTGTGTGGACAAAAGTTCGAGTCGTCGCAAAGGGAAGAAACCCAACTCGTCCGGGAACAGAAAGACTCGGCTTCCCCCAGGTCGAATACGGCAGAGCAGATGAGCAAGGACGTGCGTCTCTCTCTCCTAAGTTTACGACTTTTTTATTTTTGTGGAATTCGGCGATAGAGTAAAATGAAAGAATCTCCCAGCTACCAAGCATCGCTGACAGACGAACAAGATAACTACAGGTCCCCCTCGTCCCCCAGTCCCCCAAGCCCGACAAGCCTGACAAGCCGGGTCACGTTCGTGCAATGATCCTGGTATCAGAACGGGGTGACACCACTGCCCAGGTGCAGCATCCTGCGAAGGACTAGAATCGGCAGCCCTTCAGATCTCGACATTGGATGGATCTCTCCCCACTGCCCCTTGTCCTGCACCCGGGTGGCTTCTCTTCATGCACTTGATGCACTCTAGTCTACCCCATTACTCTGTCGTACATGAGAGCATCCGCGTGGGGCTTCAACGCCCGACGCTCTCCCTCTCGACTGCGTCTTACCTGATGCAGTGAGGCCGCTGGGCCTAGGATCAGGCCCAGACCCTGATTCACCGTCTCTCTCAGCTCTAGCCAACTAGCACCCAAGACTACTGAAAATCCAGCCCATCAGCCCTTACCGCGTCTGGGGGAAACTAACAATCGTGTCCGGGGTTGGCAAGCCTAGAACCTCCGGGACAAGTATCTCCCTACACTTTGGTGACGCGGCATGTGCAATCACCTCTCGCGGCCTTGTATCGTAGCTGTCGTTCACTTTCGGGATCCTGTCAACGGACCCAAGTCCCTGGGTAACGACCTCGGGAATGTCCAGAGTTGCAGGTGGCACGATTTGGCTCGTACTGCGCATCTGGATATTAACTAAGTACATTGCATCCGCTTCGCCACAGTAAGCAGGCGGCAGGATACAGAGACCAGACAGCTTTGACCGCAACTCTCTGCAACCCTCTGCGGCAGCTCAACCATCCCATGTCGGACTGAGTTTCATAGAAATGCGACGAAGACTGAATGACTTTGACCATGATGCTGACTGAGTTCACTGCGCCTGAGTCAGGGGTCGCATTCTCATGCCGGAGCATGGTAACGTCATCTCCGAGGCTGCGGAACTCAATTATACGAGGCGGTGCGCTTTCAACCTTAATTCAACAACTCCTGCGCCTACCAGAGTGCGATACTCTCCCGTGACAAGATGCTATCTGCTTATCGACTGTCGCAGTTCTACGTTGCATTCTGCTCGATCGCTTTGTTATTAGATACAATATGCATACGCTGAGTGTTGCAAGGAAGGGTTTCCTGGCGTATAAGCTGTTCTGCAGAGTTGCCATTCCGCGCTTGGCAATATCTATCTCCTCATTATGATGCGCCAAATCACCACAGGTCGCTTGACTTCTCAACCAGGGCATGGCTTGGCGCAATAGGGTTACGTCGGATCCCCGCGACACGGTCCTCACGTTATCGTATCAAATATTATAGAGAGTCACGCAAACTATCAATCGCACTGCCACAAGCAGCACTGGCCTTGCATATTGGTTACGTCTGCAAGTGGACCCACCAAATACACTGGATCTATAATGCAGCTGCGCCATCTCTCTACGTAGCACGACCAGACGAAAAGTAACACTCAGCCCGCATCCCTTCCCTCCTCCCTCAGCAGCGTCCCCCACTCACGAAGACTACCAGAACAGCAGCGTATGCCGCACAGGCACCCAAACCTCAGCTCTTCTCGCATCTGTCATGGCCACGATGCCGCAAGCCAGCAGTACCGTGAACAGTGCAATGAGGCTGAGCGTGGCGACTGGCTGCAGCCTGGAATCGTGATAGAGGGTGTACACGGGGAAGAACGGCAGCATGGTCGGTGTCCATTGCTGCGCTCGATTGCGAAGGTGGAAAGCTCACAGTTCCCAAAGACACGAGAAATTCTGTGTTGCGCTTGCAGATGAGCATGTTGAGCAGCTTGCCGGCTATGTGGAAGCAAGGCTGTTCCGTTAACGACACTGGCATGTTAATGAAATTCTATGTTCTCGGGGATCTGGTGTGGCACGTAGTAGTGGGCAATGCAACTCTTTGAGTCCCTAGATGTCCTTTAAGAAGTGCAGAGACGCTTTTCCCAGTCTAGGTCACTATTTAGGCTCGTTTTGTAAAAGCACCGACTCGGAGCGTATTTACAGGTCAACTTATACCTCCATTTGGAGCCTTTACCGTTATTAATGCCTCCGTACCACCTCGCTTCTATTGTATACTATTTTTATACTTTGCCATCAGTCCTACACTATAACGATAACTCGTTGATTCTCTGTTGCCGTTGGTAATAGACTCCGCCAGTCGTTCGAATAGTCGGCCCCATGGAGATCGGGCCGTGACGAAAGCGAGACATGACCACAACGCACAAATGGCTGATCAGCTGGTACCTTGTCACAAGTCTTCAACACAATTCCCTTCATGTTGTAAATGCCTGATACCCCCGCAGCCTGAATTTCTGTTTCATAAATGGGCGCGACATAGTACGCCACTCCATCCGCGTCGACACACTCGCCAGGGGTGTCCATAACCAACTCCTGCGAGCACTTCTTTTCTGCACCGTCCAGAAAAATTCCTTTCAATCCACTTTCGACCGCGACCTTACACAAGAAGCACTGAAGGTGGAGCACGCCAACGTGAAGCTGTCCTGTATCAGAGCGGTCTTGCGAATACACGGTGACTACACCCGCCAACAGGGTGTAGGTGTAGTAGTGCGTGGGTGGTGAGTGTATTTCAATAGGTCCGTCAACAGAAGCCCATGACCAGGACGGGGCAATAGAGTTTCGATTCGCCTCGAAGTTCTGCAGGGTTCTTGAGCGCCAGCAAAGTTGAACCTCCATATGCAGCCTCCAGAGCCCATAATGGTATTCCGACTCAATGTAAGGGGCAATCCAGTCTTTCACTCCGTTCAAGGCAATGAATTTGTCGGAACCATAAGCTAGCTGGCAACAGGTGTAAGTTACCACTATCGCCACCCACTGGTATATCGCTTCGTCACGCGTATTTGTAGAATTCAAAGACGCCATACTTCGCTTGGGGCCTATGTTGACCGTCAAGAGTCGCCGACGAATCATCTCGCCAGAAGGTAAAGTCTCCGCGGCGGATGCTTCGGCACAGTCCCAAATAATCTGATTTGACAAAAAGTGGATTGAGCGCGGCGAGAGTATACGCTCTTGAAGGACCCAACCCCGTCTGTTGAGAGGCGCCTCCTCGAGTTCGGCGTCCCAAGCTGCCGTATCCAGAATGGATTCGGCAGCTTGAAACATCCCCGATAAGTGTCCATTCGACACGTGAAACAGATCAGAAATCAAGTGCTTTGACGAGCGCTTGTTGAACAATGCAGGTTCGTCGTCCAATGACCATGTCGCTGCGATGTTGATCTGCGCTTGTTGGTAAACTGAAGTCATAGTGTGTGCTTCGTGTGCCCAATCCTCCTTAGAATCCTGTATAATGCAGACTGAGTCGATCCATATATACGTGATACCCAGGGCTTTAATCACATCAAAAGCTTGCTTGAAAGTTGTTGGCAACGCTTCAAGTGGTAGCTTATTCCGGAGTTCGTTAAAATTCCCTTGTAGACATCGGAACATCTTGCTACTACCCCATCGGTGACTGAGAGTGGCATAAGGTCCCGCTGGCTCCACGTCTCTCGTGACAAGAAGGCGAGGTCCAGTCCGAGCAATCTCAATTAGCCGCGTAGGATACCAGGCTGTTTTCATGGCCAGACGACCGCACTTCGTATGTGCCGCGTGACAGGTCTGCAAAAGCCCTTCGACAAATCGCAGTGCCTCAATGCTTCCTGTGCTATCGCCGCTGACTGGTGCTATGATCCTTCCTTCGAAGATGTCAGTACTTATCTTTGAGTCATCTACAGTCTACCTACGCTGCCGGGTGACATTTTCAACCCGAAACTCCACGCGGAAGTGCCGCGTGCTTTCTGCTTTCCCTTGGATGGTAAGGCCGGCATCATCAATGCCGGACCCTAGCTGAACAAAATGAAACTTAAGATTGATGGTTTCTTCTGGGCCGGACTCTGCTACTGCGTATTGTTTGGCTCTGCGTAAGAGAGCGGAGCAGATTAAGCACCTCTCAGCCGAGTTTTTCAGTGCGGGAAACGTTATCTTGGCGCACCACTCGCTGAACCATCCATCCTTTTCGATGCAGAACCCGTCCTTGTCCTGGCCGATAGATGCAGGTGTTTGCAACCCGCTCATGCATGACCCACATATCATAATTGGGCTATCGCGTGACTGTCACGCGCAAACTCTGCAAAATGGACTTGGGACATCAAGTTCTATCTCAAGGGTGAAGGTTTGTCGCACTTCATGTTTGTAAGAGACATGGTAGTTATAACATTAGTAAGCAGCTTGAAAATTGATGTGCTGTGATGAGTCAATTGTCATTTGTCAGACCTGCTCAGGTGGGGTTGTTCGTTCTTTATAGTTCTCGATAGGTAGTGGGTGATCCACAGGAGCAATTTCCTATGTTTTTCGGGTGGACTGTTCTGTTCCGGCAGTTTGGCTCAGTATGTCATTGACCAAAGAAGGGGCACTCTGATAGCGCAGGATTGAGGTTGCTGCATGCTTTTTCTCGTGCTCCTGCAGGAAGTTGCACTAGCTTACGTGACAACCATCGGTGTTACCCACGCTTCTGGGATATGAAGATCTCAATTAGTCAAATGGATAGGTGAAGGATGCCTTACCAGAAGTAGTACAGTGACACGCAAAACGTATTGGTCACGTGCTCCAATTCATTCGATGCTGGTCGCATTACATGTAAATCACTCAGCTTGTCAAGGTCCAGCAGTTTTTCGTAATGCCTATCCTCACTTCCTGTAAGCCAAGCTGTACGGGTGGCCGAGTGTTTTTCGGCAACTTCGTTGTACTGCATGGTGCCAACGGAGTTAATTAAGCCGTCCATGGGACCGTTCCCCGCAGACAATCGCCTGGGCGACTTAGCCACTTCAGGTTATCGTTAGGCGTCGCGATATCACGGCGGGCCCGTTCATTGGTGCATTTGCAGAATGTATTGCTGTTATAGGCTATGGGGCTCAGATTCCGGGCTGAAATTGTGCTGCTCTGTATACCACGACTTGTGCCGAATACCTTCAACCGCCCCTATCAAACCACGGGAAAGGGTGGATTCCCAGACACTATGCAAGGCATTTTTCTACTATATAATGGACGGCTTTCTTTCACTTGATAAACACGCTTGAGATACAGACTTCTGGTGCAGGGCGAAGGAATTTGACACTGACAGATATCCCTCCGGGCAGTCATACATACAGAGGTTGACAGAATTGCCCAGTTGAACCATTGGTAGCATCGCGGTACATGATGCGGGAACTCTCGATCCTGGCCGTAGCCTGTCTAGGGGCCTTGGCAGCGGCCAGTCCAGTCGAACAAAGGGCCACGAACTACGTTGGTTACTTGGTTTCCACCTTTACCGACGCCAACCCCAAGGTGCAGCAGTATCTTTCTAACGGCAACAATGCATACAGTTTCAGGTTCTTGAACAAAGGCAGCCCTGTCCTCTCTTCGACTGTTGGCACTAAGGCCGTGCGCGACATCTTCCTTGCCACTAACACGGCACGCTCTGAATATCATTTGCTTGCAACAGGTATGCGGGTTTTCTCACATGGTCACTGGGACCCACTTATTGACTGAGCCAACAGACCTAGACATCAACGCCCCGGGCTTCTCCTGGGACGCTGCAACACGGACCGGCAGCCGAGGAATTGTAGTATGGAAATCTACCGACCTGGTGACTTGGTCGGCGAGCAGCCTGCGCACCATCGAAGTATCGACAGCTGGCATGGTTTGGGCTCCATCAGCCGTCTGGGATGACGCTACATCGCAGTACTACGTTTTCTGGTCGTCACGCCACTACGCCACGTCCGACGCCAGACATACGGGCACGGCCTCGCTCGACCGGATTCGCTACGCGACCACCAAGGACTTCGTTACGTTTAGTTCACCCTCCGATTACCTGGCTCCCAGCGGCACGCCGGTCATCGACCAGGAGTTCCAGTATCTTGGGACTGCGGGAAGCTTTGCCCGGTTCGTCAAGAATGAGACAACGCTTCAGGTGTACGAGGAGAGGACCACCGGCGGGCTTTTTGGGTCTTGGTCTCGTGTCGGCACTTATGTTACCACACAGACCCCGCGGGAGGGCCCAGCTAGCTTCGCAGACAATACCACACCTGGGTTGTATCATCTCTGGTTAGACAACTATACTCAGTATGTTCCATACAAGACAAACAGCATCACAACTGGAGGCTGGAGCGCGGAAAGCGTTAGTGGGTTTCCCTCAGGGCTAAAGCATGGTAGCATTACACCGTTGACTCAGGTCGAATACAACGCACTTGGTGCCAAGTATCCTTCTTAAGCACAACAGAACACCTTCCCTTTGACCTTCTACAAGCGGCCCAAGCTACTTGATCAAGGCTTTTTGAGAGTATCATTCCAGGAAAATGACTGTGGGATAATGTGGTGAAGAGCTCAAGATACAATTGTATCCGAAGCAGAGAAGCTAGTAAGATAAACATGCAGGGGGAAGACACGTATCATAATTCTTCTGCTAGGATCATAATGTTGATATTATAATGCATTTTCAGATGAATAGTCGATCTTCTCCGAACTTTTAAGATTTATCACATGGCTCGGCTATTTGAACTGTGGGATAGTCGCCCAGTGTTGTGTTGTGCAACCAGGACCTAAACTGTCAGTGGCGTCATGGATATCAGTGAGGCCGGCAATAGTATGTTTGCTGCTGTCGTAATGAGTCCAGTCACGCAGACAGAACTCTCTATGGGAAAATAGGTCGGCGAAACCATCATCATACCTATTAGAGGAAACAAACGAATACTTCTTAGTCCATGGGCTTTTAAATTATTCATGTGACACCAGAGATCAGTTGTTACGTGTATCAGGTCTCATACGCACAATTGGTTGAGAGAGTTGTAACGATCGTGGCTTTATGGGAATCGGGCACTGTTAAGCAGCCATTCTGAGATTGTGAGGGAGTAGACTTTCAAGACGCACAGTCGGAAATGGGCCAGATAATTCACACCGACGAATTTGGAGCCACGCGTGTTCTTTCACACAGTGAGGCAGAGCCGGCGCTAGCACAGAGCAGACGCATATTAGGTGGAACAAATATCGATGGCTCTCTTCAAAAGTACACATTCCTTCAGACTTTGAGCCCCTGGCCCAGCATAACACCAAACGGTTGGAAGATAGCCGGCAACTCATACTTGCGCATGCTCCTCCGCTTCACATCTCCTGGGGTTCTCTATGCAATACTCGCCGGCGCAGTCACCATGGGTAAGCTGAAGCATTTAATTGTCTTCCGACGAATTGCCTTCTAAAAAGTCTGTGAAAGGTTGTGCCCAGGGTATGGGCGTTACGATTGCCGTAACTTTGACCCGGTATTACCACTGGCCGTCAAACAACGTTGGCCTCTATAATGTAAGTGCTGTGCGATATGTCTAAGCTTTCTGAGCTGATTACGTCGTACCTTGGCACTGTTCCCGCCGCCCTGGTTGCGCTCCTCTATTCCGGTTGGGTCGCTGATAAGGTTTCTGTCTTTCTGGCAAAGCGAAACGATGGTGTACACAGACCCGAGATGCGATTAATTCCGCTCATCTTCCCATTCATTGTGGGACTCGTATCTTTAATGGTCTATGGCGTGTGTGTCGAGTATCCCGGACGATACACCTGGGTCGGACCTGTTTTGGGTAAGTGCTCCATGTTCCAAAGTAAGACATTTCTGATCTGATCACCTCCAGCCTGGAACATCTACATGTTTACGTTTGTCAGTGTTCTGGTCCTGGTGACTACATTCGCGGCCGAGATCAGGCCTCTGGATCCCGGTCCAGCGCTGGTAGTCGCTGCTGCCAGCAAGAACTTTATTTCCTTCAGTATTCAATACGGAATGGTTCCGCTAGTGGACTCTCAAGGATATCTCTGGGCTATGGGCATATTGGCCATCATATTCGCTGGCTCCTTTCTACTTGGAATCCCGGTCTACTTCTTCAATCCAGCTGGAGGGCACGTGCAACACGGAAGAAGCAGGCTGGCCACATGTTTAGCGAACAGGATATATACTATAACGCTTGATACTCTGCCCGCGGGTTCCAAATAGCTTACGATATGAGGATGATGCTGCGTTAGTGATACAAGGATCGTACTAATAAAATGTTACATTTAATTCAGTACACGCTACTTAATCACAATTGTTATTCAACCTCCTCTACTAATGGCCAATCTTTTCCCTTCCTTTTCCGCTGCGAATTCTCGCCTTGATCTTCAACACTTTCCACGGTCGGAAAAGTAGACCCTAACAAGAATTAGTAGAAATCAGCGAATGTAGAATCGGGTACTTGCTGCGGGTGATGATCTCAACTTCACTATCGACCTCTAACCTGGGGTTCTCAGCTTGCTTATTAGTAATACTTGACTTCTTTTGGAGATCAAGATGAGATCGTGTTCCTCCATGACCTTGAGGTTCACTGGGAACATCCATACTCCTTGTACGGAGTAGAACTTCGTTTTTTGTAGAACGGCGTGGAATCACAGGCGACGTTGAGTCGGGCTCTCGTTCCAAAGCTCGGTGAGATGCTGTTCTCCCGCTTGCCCGGTGATGTGTCCCATCCCCGGCAGACTTCCCCAGCTTTGAAATAGACCTGGAGATACTCACAGGCTTGCGGGATGGACTTCTTACGCTGTTTGATCGGCTTCGGATGTGGTTGTTGATGATAAGTGAGGTACCTATTGGGAAATCCCGCACCACATTGTCCCCTTTCGAGTGGGTGCGTAAAGTTGCAGACTGGCCAGCTTGCCAGCTTTTCGCCCTGCCAGGAACCTTGTGCAACTCTGGCTCTTCAGTAAATGTACGGCCTTGTGCACCTTGATTTTTATCCTGCGAGAAACTGACGGCTCTTTTGATCTTCAAGTCCGGCCCTTCTTTCCTTGATCCTTGGCCCCCCTGCTGAGGGCGAATGTCGTTGACAGTAATAGTAGGGGTTTTTGTCTCTTGACTCCTACTTCCTTCTGGTCTAGTATGTCTGTACTCTTTGGAAACTCCCGAGGTGTTCTCCTCCGGGTTAGATGCCTCCCCTGCCGAGTGAACCTCGCGTCCGAACCTTTTCATCGGAATGTCAAAAACCCGCTCACCTATCTGAACCGAGCTTCCACCAACAATTTTTGGTACCAGGTCATTACTACTTCCGCCTACATCGAAGTGTGGCAGAAAATCATTGTCCACGGGCCTTCTAATTTTGAGCGCTTCAGGCAAGCCGAGCGTACTGATCTGGTATGAATCTAGCTCGGCAGGAGCGTTGCCAGCATTTGTGTGGTCGGAGTTTAAATCCCGATTCTCTTCACCTCCTTCAATATTCGCATGACGTATAATTGGGGATGGGTGAATACTGCTTCCAAATGATATCTGACATGGGGCAAGGGATTCAGCAAATCCGTGGAAACCGTCCATTTGTGTCCCCCGAGACCGGTAAAAGTCTGTTGGCTTCTTTTTGTTATTGGGGTTTTGGGGATCGACCTTTCCTTTAGTACCAAGCTCACGTTCAGGATTGGAACATGGTGTTCTGGCCAGCTCTGATTCAGTGTTGTTTCTCGGTGGGCTCGGAAAATTCTCTCGCTGCATGGAGCTTACACTGGAACCAATGAAGCTGCTCGTCTCATTTTCTTCATCGTTGTATCCTTCCGATTGTATATCTCGATGATCTACGGGTGTTGTATCGAGCGAGTGGTCGGCGACCTTTGGCAACTCGATGTCGTTGTCCGGCAGGCGTTGATCTGCAGAGGCGAATTTGACCAGAGCACGGCGATCATTCACACGTTGCTTGAGGCTCGGCATGATGTGGTCCGCTAAAGTTCGAAGCTCATCGTCGATAATGTCGTATTGCTCATCAGCCAAACGAGCAGCCGCGTTCGCCTCGGGCCCTTCGTTGCCAATGGCGGAGAAAAGCATACTAGCCAGCCATACTTTGTTGTGTGAGAAGAAATGTGCGAATCCAGGTGCAGATGTATATTCACCAAGTTCATTCTGCAGACGGAAAATCGATTCTTGTGTGTCACAGACAAGGTAACTGGAGATAAGTGTCTCAAGACAACCGTCGATGTCACCTTGATCCAGTTTTTGCAGTTCAACAAGCTCCCGGAACGGAACCACTGGGTCTTTTGAAAGCTGTATCAGACATTTCAAGGCCAGGACTTCCGTCTTAAAGTCTCCCATACTCCTTGAGGTATTCACAACAAGCTTCACTGGCTCGAGAAGATATGTAGGTGCCTCGGGCTGTTTCCAACCTGGATTGTTAGCACTTGCTGGTATATACTGTGGAAGTGAGTACCCTGCTGGCTGCCATAGCATGCCACCTGACTCATGAAGGTGATCAAGGAGGGAACCGGATATTCCAGGAGTAAGTCCGTATGCCTTGGCAAGAACCCATCGCATGTATGGCCGAGATTTGGTCTTTTCTTTGTGCTTCTGTGCTATAGATGTAGCAATCGGCGTGGCCAAGTCTAATAGCCCCATACCGGTGGTAATAAGCGACGGAGGGAGTGCATCAAAAATGATGAACATTATCAAGTCAAGTAGTGCAAGAGCAGTCGACACATCCGTCTCTACTGGCCTCTCCCACTGCGTAACAAGCTTTTGTATACCACTTTGTACGTCGTGTTGATCGAAAATATGATACAGAAATCCAGGAAGATTGCCACTCTCGACAATAGCTTCTGTTAGATCGTGCATATCCCACACACGACCCTGTCGAAGTAGACTGCCGTAAATTGGCTTGAGAAGGTCAATTGAGAACAATTGAGATACTGGGGCGCTCGCGAGTCTATATAAACTGACGTGTGGTCGTTGGTCTAATCGGACTAGAAGCAAAAGTAGTTTTATCTACTATTCATTAGCGATATCAGGTCAAAGTCTCCTAGTTCTTACTTCTGTAGACCCAATTACTCTTCCCGGAATGCGAATAGTATCATACAGGTCTCTGACTACTCGTAGAATTTTCTCTGCTTGCACTTGAAGAGAAAGGGGCTGGTGGCTTTGTGCGAAGATAACAATCAAGTCCCAGTACGATATGAGGAGGCGACTTTCCATGTCTTCTTTCAGATGTGTCCTCAGGTTATGCATAGGAGTTTCGTCGACATCCAATACCCCGAGGTAGTCGCCTTGTTGCAGTAAGATCTCTGCATAAGATACCAGAACGTAAGGTTGATCTTGATAGGGTGCAAGATTGTCTGCAAAATACTCGCGCGCAGCATTGTAGTCTCCAATCCGACTCAGGGCATGGAAGTCTTCCAGAACATCTTTTATATCATCCTTGACTCCCATTTCCAGATGGACAGTAAAGTCGGAATTTTGGGTCGGGTTCCATACTCCGCTCACTTTTCTATCAGAAAGCAAACGCCCAGCATCAGGTACATTCAATGATTTGACATAGTGCCCGCCCCCCGGTGTTCTTTGAACTTCGACTATGCGTGGTGTAGAAACTGTTTCTCGCATAAGTGGCTCTGCCTGCTGGGCAGGATCATGGCTATCACGCAGTATGAGCTGCTGACTTTGAATCCGATTGTCCTGATCCATTTCGTCCCAAAAGCGCTGAGGTTTAGGAGGGCGCTGAGTTACAAAAGCCATGGCAGCATTTCGTTGTCTAGAACCAAGCTCGTCAGCTGACACATCGGTACTCGCAGGCAGGGTATGACATTGAACATAAGAAACCATTCTAAGTCGTCAGGCACCACTGTTCACTTCAACATGCAACAACGCAAGGCAAATCTCCTAGCTTGAGGAGCTGCGTGCTGCGTACTTACGTTTGAGAATCCGAGCCACCAGACTTGATAACCCCTCTTGACAAACATGCCCGAGATGATTGTCCTGCCCACCTCGAGATGACGGTCAGTTGGGGGCCAAAACGAGGCTGTGCCAAATTTAGCAAATCTGTTTCATACTAAGTGATGGAGCTCCTTCAATGGTACGATGGCTGCAGAATAAGCGATGAACTTGGCCAATCAGTCTTCCCAAACCTACCGAAGCTTCCAGGATTTCCGCCACTGTATGGCTCGAGGGGTCTTGAACGTAAATACCAGAATGCTGACACCCCCTGGTCCGCCTCATGGGCTGGCCATGCATGATGCGCAAGTAAAATGACCAACAAAGTCTTTCCCAAGTGCTCAGTCCATCAGATTCCACATCGGTTCATGAAATCATGTTCATCCCGATGTCAAACGTCTAAAGTTTGGCTACAATGCCGGTGAATGTCCCCGAAATCAGCCATAGGGGCTATGGAAAACAAGACTTCGAGCGATTCGATAACCTCGGCGTGAAGCATGCGTCCATTGCGACGTCGTCGATTGGAAAAGTCAAAGTCAACTGCAAGTTTCTCTTTGCCAAATCACAATGGGGCGTGCTCTCGGAAGATGAGAATCCCGCTGGGGTCATCTACCTAGACCTCAGCTTCATCCAACCCGATGATTGCCGGCTGAAAAGCGCGGTTGTAACGGTTTCTTTGGACGAGGAACATGATGGTCTGCGTGCACTGTCGTCATCAGAGCAGCCCAAACCAAGCATTCCTGTACAGATAAGCTCTTATGGACCCCAGCAATTCCAAGGACAGGCCAAACGCGCAATCAGGACAGATCGCATCAGTCTGAAACCAGAAGTTACAGCAATGGGTTTTGGCGGAGGAGGAATTGGACCCGAATCCGAAAAGACATCCATCGAAGAAGGCATGTGGCAATTTTCGAGCCAGCTTCTTCCCAATGAGAAGAACAAAAAGAACCATTGGGCGTATCAAGTTCTCCGATGGGAACTTACAGAGAACCATCTGGCAAGGTCTTCCGATCACAGCAATACCATCCATACGGCATTTTCTTTTGAGCACGATGGGCAGCCCTTCTTCATGCAAGTGGAAGTAAGCGGTCGGTTAGAAAGCCGTAAGGCCAATTTGAAGAGAAGCTTAAAAGAGGTAAAGGGGAAATTGGTTTTCCCGGCTGACCCAAGGAATGCCCCATCTGCCACAACATTAATCAACTTCGGAGGCCGCGATAGGTTTCTTAAACCGTTAGATGAGCTGTCAAGAGACCTTCCTTACGCCATGGAGATGGAGAATCTGGACTCAGTACCAACCCGAATTCCGACTTCACAACGACCAGTTTTTCACGGTGGAGAAACTAGCGGGCGACAGGAAGACTATTCCATCACATTTCCAAACACCAACACTCAAGGTTATGGTGAAGTACCTACGGCTAGTGAAAGATACTCATCCCATTTGGAATACGTACCCAATAGAGCACCACTATTGCAGCAGCCAAAAATGCCTGGCCAATTTCTCGAGGGAGATGTTACACCGGTGAACGACCGAATGAACAACAACCAACCGTCCACACTTCATTCCTCAAGGGATGGAAGTAATGTTGGGCACAAGACTCAAATCCACGATCGTACGGAACCAACCACAGACAACTTGGCTTACTTTGCTTTTAACTCTATATCGCCACCACCTACCCGCAGTGCACGAATACGACCGACAGCACGAAGCACGCGAGCTTCCCGTTATAGGAAAGCAGAACCAGTCGGTGGGGATAAAACAATGCCAGTTAGGCGAGATCTATCTGCCAATTTATCCGCATTTCTCCGGAATGAAGACACTGAAGTGTCAGAGATATCCTCTGTCACCGTTGTGGACCACAGCCAAGTCGGGAGCACAGGGCAGTCTGATGGTGCATGGCCAAAAAGGTCCGAGGGCGATTCTGAACCCGAGTCCCTTCTTATATTTCTAATCTCTTGGCTTCTCAAACAGATTCCGGGCCTACTTCTCGTGTTCTCAAGCTCTTGGGGCGTAAACCTAGCGCACTTTGTAGGTAATAGTGCACCAGGAATGCCGTTGAACCGAGAGCTTAAAAACACGCAGGACTATGGACTCGACAACCCAACACACCACCAGAAGTAGTAGGAAGTTTCTATCAAAGCCAAAGTTCAATTTAATATGAGAGGTGCAGGATTTTGGGTAATGCTGTGTGAATGTAGCATAACCATGTTTGCACTGAAGTCTCACACGTAATTAATACAGCCTTGCATATCTTGAATGGTCGCCACGGCCAGTCTGGTTTTCGTGAAGTATGTAGTCGCGATATGCATCGTGAGCATGTTATACTGCCATGGCCTAACATAATAGTGTTCGTAACGAGAAGACTACAATGACTACTTATTAGTACTTACTCGTATGGACCTTGACTCGGTTCTCTTGACTAATCGGCACTTGTCCGCCCACGGGTCCACTGGCGGAGAACCCCGCCAATCTCCAGGCTTGGATCTGACTCGATTGAATATCGTGGTCTGTGTCACAAATGAATATTTATAGCGGGTCACTAGGTAGATCTCGTCACCGAGAAAATCAAGAGGATATGCGCAAGAATTCCACGTGGCAGCGGGTACGTCAAGACGCCATCGGAATTTTGAAAATTCCACGATATTATTCAAACTGATATTACATTAGTAGGCCTTCGCCAAAAACCAACGCCGATAATTCCTCGGCGATGTTGTGTTCTCGCGATTCTTGGACTGCGTGGCTTTCCATGTCATTGGCGATGGGTGCAACGAAACACACAATACCTTGCTGAATAGGGATTCGCATCATGAGGATGATGGTTCCAGCTGATTGGGGCAAAGTTATTATGGAGAACAGCTGTGGCACCCTTTGACTCCGGATAATTATCATCGGAATGGTGATGATGTAATTTCACCATGGTCACTACCTATATTGCGTCGCATCTTTCCGATTAACTGATTTGTTCAGCTCATCGGAAACGCGAGCAGCATCATGTAGTAGTAATTGCACATTTAGGTGAGCCTGTCTCCCTGCCAGACAAGTGAACAAGGAATGGTGTAATCAAGGTCGTTGGGTAGACTGATAAACACGAGACCTGAAAACCAGCGTAAACTCTAACCAGCGGCCGACTAGCTTGGTTGTGCTTAGCCTGATTCCCCTGGCAGACGTGGCTCGTGGAAGTGTCGTTATCCGGCTGGCCACCAAGGCGCCGATCTGGCTAGCGTTTTCCTTGTGAACGAACGCTAGACGTTTTGCAGGCTGTATGAGATCAAGGGTCACCCTGCAGGACACTCGGCTGTCGGAAATCTTCATTACAGTGGCTGACAAGAAAGATACTGGAAGCCGCCCCAGAGTCGCGGACAAATGCATTGATGGGCCCGACTTTTCGGGCTACCATCAGCACTTCAAGTTACTGATACCTGTTTCGCATTGTTGGCTACCTGTAACACTACCACAGGACAAAAAGAAAGTCAGATTCCAAGCGGCGGGCTTGCTTGATGCAGAGTGGTTACAGTAGTGCATGCAGCCTCTTACTTGACAGAAGCATCAAGCTTCTGTTGGAAAATTCTATGAGGTACCCGAGAGTAATGAGGGTTCAGGAGAACCACCTGCCCGAGGAGCCGAGGAATGATAACATCCCAGCGGAAAGGTCAGTCTTAGTCTGAGACTAAATCTTTGAAGCCACGCTACTAAGTCCCCCCACGCGCCAATGAAAGCCATGCTTCCTGTTACGCAATGACTCGGTCGATATTCAAGCGTTGTCGATCACTCGCCCAAACTGACGAACTTCTGATTGAGTTTGTGGATCGGTTAATGCAGCCGACAGCGCGACAGCTCCCAAAGCAACCAAGATTGCAGCTGGAAGGGGCAGATGGAATGAGGCGGCTGAGATGTCAACCTTAAAACTCGTCGAAACCCTGGCTGATCGTCGCCTACCACGTCGTTCTTATCTGCTATTTGACCCCAGCCTGTATCTGTGATCACCGTCTCCAACGTATTGGCATGCTCCAGAGCGTAACACCGTAGTCGCCACCACCATGGATGACAGGAGCTCTCGACTTCTTGCCTCGTGCTGGTCACTGGTGGCTGCGAGCGCCATATTCCTCACCTTGCGTGTCTACTGCAAGTTATGGCGTGGCAGAGGATTGTGGTGGGACGACCATCTGATGATCGTTGCCTGGGTATGTGTGCACCGCTCTCTCGGAACCAGCGCCCTGTCTTGCTAATTACGACGACCTTTCTTTTAGTTGGCTTTGGCAATTGCAGTATCGATAAATACGTATATTGTATCCCTTGGATTCGGTCGCCACATATGGACGATAAGTGACGAGAACCTGAAAACGATCAATCTAAACACGATTCTTGTTGCCGCCTTTGGACTCATGTCAACTTCTATCAGCAAAACGTCGTTCGCAGTTACCTTGTACCGAATTGTTACAAACATATGGGTGAAGCGGTTTCTTATCTTTGTCATCGTGACAATAAATCTATCGATGAATCTGGTTTGGGTTTTCGGCTTCGCCAAATGTACACCTATCGAAAAGGTGTGGGATAGCAGCGTGCCTGGCACATGCTGGAACAAGACAAGTCTGAACAAATATCAGCTTTTTGCAGCCTGTAAGCTGAACGTGGTCCTGTGGCATTTCGGTAGTACTAACTACCACTGAGACTATTCCTCGATCCTAGATTTTGTGCTGGCCTTTCTTCCCTGGAAAATACTCATGGGTATGACAATGCTTCGTCGCGAGAAGTTCGGAGTAGCTGTTGCAATGAGTATGGGAGCGATGTGAGTTCACAGTAACCATTGTGCATTCAACGTTGATGTTTGCTGATGCGATGACAGAGCTGGTGCGACTGGTATTGTTAAGGCAGTTCTGGTGGTCAGCATGACAAGCACTGATATCACCTACGATCGTGTTGACCTTACCATATGGACGCTTGCGGAACCTGCGGTCACTATCATGGCTGCTTCTATACCAGTATTGTAAGTGTTTCCCGAGCTGTGGTGGATTCGATTACTCGTTCCACCCGCATTGTAGAACCCGTCATACTAACAATAAAGCAGGAGAATGCTGTACCACGAGCTCAAGTCAAGTCAAAAAAGTTACTTCCGAAGCAAATCACAATCAAATACGCAGCCCAATGGCGCAACAGGGAATATTTATGCCAAGAGAGGAACTATGTATGGCCGCAACTCGCACTACGGCCGTAATTCTGTTGTCATCATGTCAACTACAGGGTGGCAGGAGTCCCAAGAGGCGCTACAGGACGTCGGAACTCCTCGAACTGAGGATTCTCCGAATATGAGCGGCATCGTTAAGACAGAGGAGGTCAGCGTGGAGCATCAACGTCTGAGCAAACTCAGTGGTGTGGACTCTGTTGAGATGCACAGTCTGGAACCAATCCACCATAACGGGAAGAGCGACGCGGTTTAATTCCCCCTATTCGATGATACCCCTTACATTGATATCAATTTCCGGACTTTACTCCCCTAAAGCCTGCCTGCTCCCTCTGTGAAATTTGCAATACTAGTAAGACAACAGGACGATGTGAAACACAAGGATTGACGTCGACCATCCCCCGCTAACCTCGTAACTGGTACGAGTGGCTTCGGGAGGCTTTTTCACTACCCGAGGCGACCCCGCGGCGCTGTCGCAGCAACTAGCCAGAATTGGGAGTTCGCGATCCATCCGAAGAATACCAAGCGTCCCGGATGGGGCCAGGAAATTGCCTCGGTACGGCTTTGGCTTAGTCCAGCAGACTACGCGCAAACTAATGGCCGTTGTGAGGCTTCGGGTCGCTTACGTCCTGGCAAGCCTCACTGTATTTCTGAAACGTACGGACAGACACGAAAGAAATCTCGCATAACAGAGAGGGACCTGCCGAGGAGTCTCATTTAAGGCCGGGCCCGATGTCATCTGCCGTACCTGCATCTGGGAAAAGAGCTAACTAATGCACACATTGGAAAGAGTCGCCGTTAAAACCCAGAACCGCTCCATGGCCCGCACAGGGGTCCATTGATCGACAGGTCTATTGAACGTTCTGTCTTAAGCCCGAGGGGAAACTAGAGAAGAATCGCCTCAAGCTGGAAGTCGACTGATCTTTTGCAGATCTGGGTGTGTGGGGACGTGAAGGCGGACTAGTCTCTACTTAGTATATCGGGCATGTCGGACTACCTACTCGTGATGGAGACGACCGCAAGTACTCTTGACTCGCCGCCGTAATTGGCCCGCTGATAGATTTTAATGCGATGGGTCCGGAATTATTGGGCCTGCGTCAGCCCATAGCCGACTATATACGATCGACCACGGGCCGCAGCCCTCGGGCGATCGTCTTCTCTGTCAGGTCGAACCTTGTGCACGAAAAGGCAGCATTTCTCCCAGTCAAGCTTTCGAGATGCCTTCGCCTATATCCTGTTTCCTCCTAGCGGTTCTTCCCGGTCTCGCCCTGTCCCAGCCGCCATGCCCGCGCTCCAGCTCGCATAATGGTACCGCTGTCGCGGCTGGGATCCCGTCAGTGCGCCTTGCCAACGGAACCTACCACGGTGTGCGCAACGATGCGTATGCGCAGGACTTCTTCCTTGGTATGCCATATGCGCAGCCTCCGACAGGATCTCTACGCTTCGCTCCGCCCCAACCATTGACCACGTCCTTCAACGAACCTCGAGCTGCCACCGAATACGGGCAGCTGTGCGTTGGATATGGCTCAGATACCTCGAACCTCGGAAACAATGTTTCCGAGGACTGTTTGACTATCAATGTGGTTCGCCCGGCCGGCACAAAGGAGGGAGACAACCTACCCGTCGGTGTCTGGGTTCATGGTGGTGTAAGTATACGAGTGTCCCAGATCTGTATTGATCAGTAATTAAATACTAACAATGGCCGTTTAGAGCTACGTTATGGGCGGATCTCGTGACCCGAGGTACAACCTCACCTGGATAGTTGATCAGTCTGTTAAAGAGGGCAAGCCAATGATTGCCGCATCGATCAACTACCGGCTGTCGTACTGGGGCTTCTTGTTCAGCGAAGAGATGGAGGAAGCCGGTGCTGGCAACATTGCCTTCAAGGACCAGCGTATGGCACTACGTTGGGTCCAGGACAACATCGCTGCATTTGGCGGAAGCTCTGACAAGGTTACGATCTGGGGCGAGTCAGCCGGCGCTCGATCCCTGGGCATGCAGCTTGTCGCGCATGAGGGCAAGCACGATGGCCTTTTCCGCGGTGCCATCCTCGAGAGCGGAAGCCCGGTGGCCAAATTCGTCAATGCTAGCACGTGGCAGCCGTACTTTGATGCTCTGGTCGCGAAGGCCGGTTGTGCCAGCGCCACAGACCGCCTGAGCTGCTTGAGGGGGCTCGACTGGCATGTCCTTAACAATATCTTCAATGGCACTACACCGCTTGGTGTGGTATCGCCTACGCTTAGTGCTGTGCTCGACGGCGACTTCATCACGGACCAGGGCTCGAACCTTCTCCGCCAGGGTAAATTCGCCCACGTGCCGCTCCTGCTTGGCAACAACTTCGACGAGGGCACTGCGTACGCCAAGTCGGGCATCAACACCACGGAGCAGTTCGCAGCCTGGCTCGCTACCCTCGGCCTAAACAGCGACCAAACTACGAGCATTTTGGACTTGTACCCAGACGACCCTGCTCTGGGTATTCCCGCTTCTTATGTAGGCCGCCCTCCAGCTAACCCTTGGGGTCTGCAGTACAAGCGCTCCGCAGCTTTCGCAGGTGACTACCAACAACATGCCGGGAGGAGACTCACTGCCGAGTCGTATGCCGGTGCCAGTTTACCCGTGTTTTCTTACATGTGGAATGTCTACGTGAACGGGATCGCAGCGATCTACGGTGCAACCCACTTCCAGGAAGTCGCCTTCGTTTTTGACAACACTCAGGGGCTCGGCTACGCCACCAACCCATTCGAGGGAAAACCCGAAACGTTCAAGGAGCTGGCGGACTTGATGAGCAAAATGTGGGTTGCTTTCATCCACAACAGCAACCCCAATCTGGAGAGTACTTCGTCTCAAAGTGTCGCATGGCCTTTGTACAGCCTCGACAAGCCCGATAACTTGGTGTTCGATGTTAACGTCACTGGTCTATCGTACATCGCAACAGATGATTACAGAAAGGCAAACATTGCCTACCTTCAAAAGAGCGTATTCATTTAAAGTTGAGATACCCTTCATATAGACTTCTATAGATTATAATACATAGACTTGATCCTTCAATAATCTCGGCATACGTAGCGGCACGTAAGTCAGGGTGCCTTCCTGAGTCAAATATACTCCCCCGCTTGACTTGATCGTAAGTAACTACAGCTGTTTGTTTCAGTGTTATGATTTATTAAGTCGGTGTCATAACTAAACGAAGACCGCGGTAGACTGTCGTTTCTCCAGATGTAACGACAGCTTCGATCAGTTACGGAAAAAACTCTGAATTACATCGTCAACGCCGGTATAAATCTACTGATCGTTTGGTACCTCTAGCATCCGGTACCCCCGCTTGCGCCCTCTACTCTAACTTGTATCATGCCATCCATCAAAGTAGCTCTCTGGGAATCAGTACTCTTGCCATCCCAAATAACCTGCCCGTTAACCACCACCTCGCTCGCCTCGAATGCTGTATGTAGGACTCCCACTATGCCCTGTGTCTGTGGTGGCGCGTCGACACAGATGGTAATACCACCCGTGCTCTCATCAATGACCCATGATACACTAATCGCACCATTCGGGGTAGGTACGACGCCTCGTGCCCAGGTCAAGTCGCCTGGACTGGGCTGAACGGTCCATTCGGCGAACCCGGGTTTGAGCGGCTTGACGCCCAGAACATAGTTGCTCATGAGCGGCACGATACCCGTGCTCCAGCCATGGGCCATGCTCGTGAATCCATCCTCGTATGGCGCACCCCCGGCACCAATGCCTTCCCAGAATGTAGCTCCTGGTTCGTGTGCAGCCATCCAGCCGTACATCCGACGAATCTGCTCAAGAGCTGAGGACGGCTGGCCCGCCTCGAAACGCGCTGCAAGCTCAAAGTATGACATGAACGCGTACACCCGTTGCGAGTAGCCTTCACCGCCAGCTAGCGCTTCACCCCCCGTGTCGTAGAAGGAGTTGCCGTACGGACGAGCATTGGCAGCGCCCAAGTAGGCCAATAACGATGCAGCTGCTGTCGAGTTAGGCGCCACGATACCGGCGAGCACTGCCAGGCTGTTTCCGTCCTGGGCATGCGCATTGCAGCCGCTGCCAGCGCACTTGCGATCGAAGAATGCGTCGACTGTGGGATCCCAGAGCTCTGTGACGAAGGACTTGGAAACTGCGGAGGCGCGCTGGCGCCAGCTCACAGAGTCTGTGGTCTGAGAGAGGAGCTCCGCAAGGTCAGCAGCACGGTCGAGAGCCAAAACGTATAACGCGCTGTAGTACGCTGCTGATCCAGGTCTTTGAATGAAGGCGAAATCCCCATATCCATCAGGCCGTACCAGAAGCGATGTGTTGGTGGACGTATGTGATGGGTAATAGCTTTCGAGCAATAGTTTCATGTTTGCGTAGTACGACTCTATGTAGGATAGATTCCCCGAATAGTAGACGTACTCCCAGCTGCAGGATATCCACCACAATGGATAATCAAACAAGGCCAAGCTGTAGTTATTGCTGCATTACTTAGTTCCGGACTTATCTTGAGGCAGGTATCTGGACTCACATGCTCGCGGGAGGAAGCCAACCGTCACTTCGCTGATGCTGTGCGAGGTCTTCCATAACGTTTCGCGTAGCCTCGAAGATATCGTGAGTCAGGTAGCTGGTGAGTCCTGCCACAGCTAGATCTCCCATGTATGGATCACGATCCCGTTTTGCACCGTCATGCAGAACCACCTTATCTAGAAGCGATGGACTTGTGGCATATCGAGGCTCCGTGTCGTTGGCTCGGAAGATGTCAATGTTCGTCTCCGTGGTATATGCCCCGTCATACCACCATTGGGTGATGTTTGGATCTGAGCACTCGAACCAACCGGTGAAGGTATCGGGAGTCCCTAGATATCCTGACCATTGAAGACCAACGGAGGCTATTGCGACAGATCCGACGCTTGAGGTATACGGCGCGTCGCTCGGAAGCGCATCCAACTGAATCTTGACATATCGAAATCCGTGCAAGCCGTCTGAACAGACTTGATTATCGTACTCACACCCCCACTGATCCAGCCATGTGTAAGCTTGAGGTCGAACGGCAATCTGTATCCAGGTTAAAGACTGCACGTTTGACAACTGTGACCATCTGACGACCACATGATAAGCGTCATTGAAAATCCTACCTGGTCAGTTCCATCAGGCACAATCTTGAGTTCCGGCTATTCCTGGTCAGCATATCTCTAGGACCAGGTTTTCGAAGGACCTCACCGTCGGGGCATTGTCCGACCTCGTGAAGTCGCTCCTGTTCGTCAGGAACTCCAGAGTCTCCGAGAAGCTCAGCCGAAGCCCTGGGTACCCCTGGGCATAACTCGTCGAGTCTGCAAATGTGATTGTCAAAAGCCCGACCACATTCTGGCCGAAGTCGACAACGATGGTCGGAATCTCATCCGGGCTATTCTGGCGGGTCAAGTGGGCCGGACTCCGGTTATTGATTATGCCCTCCGGATTAGTCACGTTCCCTTTCGAGTATTGCGGCAGGATGGCCTTTGGGGTCACGAATCGGCTGGGCGGCGCGCGGACATACTGATGCCAGCTGGGACTATCATTGTCACTCGCCTTCGACACAAGGCCCGTAGGAGCCAGCACGTGGAGAAACGTCCAAAGGGCTGTGAGGCGCGATAGTATGAGCATCTTGTATCCAAACGAGTAGAACAGGAGCGGTCACGGCTCACAAGAAGCAATCAGGCACAGGATCAAGACGAGCGGGTGCCTTGCCCTGAATATGTATGGCCGGCGTGATGCCGCTAGACTGCAGGATTCCTGCAGTGCAACCCTCTGGAGGAGGTGCACGGTGGCTGGCAGGGCAGGCACGCCCATGGAGCCTTTCGCATCAATGCCATCGGACATCCTCGACTGCGGGGAAGCGGTAACTGTCCACGGGTGCGGCTTCAAGGCAGGCAGCTGCTGGTCATCGGGTGTTCATCATTCCTGGTCTCGGCGTTGAAGGAGCGAGCCATCGGACTGTCTCAGTGTCTGTGCTGCAGCATTCCCCGCAAGCAGCACCCCGACAGTAGCACCTCCGCAATCCTGCATGCCACTTAGGCTACTAGACCAGGGTCAACAGGATCGATATGATTGGCGGACAGCAGGTGTGCGTGCCTGGATTGGGAAAGCAATAGTCTGATGGAATCGTCTCGATCGAGGTTAGTCCGGGGAACTTAGGCGTATCGATGAAGGGATCTGACTGGGTTTCCCGTTACCGCTAAGGGCTGCGAGGCTTCAGTATCGAGGTGCCCTACGACCACCATAATCACGCCTGAGCTTAACAGCCTAGAGATGTGGTGTCCGTATCCGATACACATGTTGCAAGAGTGAGTGAGTTGATACGCAGTCGCAGAGACGATAGACAGCGATGGCCAATGTTTAGTTAAACTGCAGACCGCGTTGGTCTATGGCCTTGGTAGGCTTGTATATTATGATGCAAGGCGCAATCGTCTGTTGCCCATGTTGTGATAGGATGTAGTTAAAGTACTTTTATCCGTCTAATTGAACCCCCTGTACGCCATTGAAACAAGAAAGCACCACTTCAAGGGGCCTCTCGGACTTTTTCCAGCAGATGGACTTCCATCGCGATCTATTTATATAAACTTGCTCGAAATCATTGAGCAGAGGCCATTCTCTTCGACATACTATGCGGATGTTAGTATAGTGGCCACAAGTAGAGCGAAACAAGGATAACTTACAAGTCGTAAAATGCGAATTGACTTGGGCTGCTGCCGAACTCGTACACGAAGCGAGAGGCAAGGTAGCTTCCGAAAATGGCACGAAGATAGGCGTCGGGAACACGTTCAATGATGGTGTCGAGGCCAATCTTGTCAATCAGGAGGTTTGGCAGGGCGTCCGCAAGAACAGCGCGTCGAGTCCTCTCGTCCTTCCACAAGTCGGACTTTTGCAGCTCCTCATCAAGCTTCGTGATCGCCTCCGAAAGCTTGTCAGATAGTATGGAGCGAGGAATGCCAGTCTCCTCGTGCTCACGCCAGAGGGCTTCGAACTCGAGCCGAGCGTTGTCGCAGATCTTGGCCTGAACCTGCTTGACATAGGCCTTGTAGAACTCGGGGGCCTGTCCGTACTTGTCGTGGCACATGTTGTTGACGAAGCCTTCGTCGTCGAAGCTGAGGGAGGCGAGAACCTCGAGTGATGACGAAGTGACACCACCCTTGTTCGCGGACGCATCCTTGTAGATGATGCAGCCAGCTTCTTCCAGTCGAAGCTTCGCGTCCTGGGTGATGAACAAGTTCGCGCCTTCGACAATGTACGGAATCTTCGACTTGCCATCATGGATCAGCTTGGCGACAGTCACCAGATCGATCGACTCCGGACGGCCACCACATGGGACGAAACAATCAGTCAAACCAGTGTCGCGCAGGTGGAATGTGTTGCGGAAAGCCGTTCCATTGGAGACAACCTCGCCAGTAGGGAGCTGGAAGTTGGAGTCCTCGCAGAGCACACGGTATCCGTCCTTGGAAAGCTTGGAAATGTCGAACTGCGAGATCATGGCGCGGCTCTTGGCCAGACGTCGGAGCTCTTCCTGGTCAAGGCCATTGGGGTCAACGAGAACACCCGAACCATCAATGATGGAAGTGTACTTTTCGTTGCTCAACAAAATCTCATTGCTGCCAAGGTCTCCATCGGGACCACCGGTCTGCATCTTCTTGACAGTAGCGGGGTCAAGTTGCTTCTTGCGGTAAATGCCCTTGACATACTCGCGCACAGAAAGGGTGGTCATGCCATAAGTGTCATGCGGAATGCCACCGAGTTTCGGAGACTTTCCAGTGAAGAAGGACTTCCACCAAGGCGCGTTACGAGCTCGCGCGTGCTCGGTGGCCCAGTTGACGAGGTCGGCGGTGTTCTCATCGGGACCCATGAACAGGATCTCCTCCTTGCCGTATAGATCGACAATCGGGTTCTTGATTCCTGGAGTCTCGGCTGGCAACAGCAGATCCATGATACTGTCAATATATTTCTCAAATGCCTCCTGGCCCCTGTCTTGTTGCTTGGGGTCAAGCAGGATCACACCCTTCGAGCCACCCTCGGGAATGTCCTTGTTCTTGCGTTGCTGAGTGCTGGCAAGACCGTAGTTCTCGTCGAAGAGGTTCCTGGCGTTGATAGAGTAGGCTTCCTTTGATCGAGACTTGACAATGCGGATTCCACCACGCGCAACATCTCTGAAGCGCAGATGGAAACCACGAGCCTCAGAACTGATCACGAGGAACATACCGTACAGCCTTTTGGGGTATTCGATCTCGGGTAGGAAAGATGGGTCAAGGCGGAAGCTGAGTGCAACCTTGGTCGGGGTGAAGTAGTTGGTCTTCAGAATGGACATGTTGAAGACTCTGAATGCGGTCATCACCATCTCCTCGTGCTCATTAGACACATCTCGCGAGATCTTCTCCTTAAGCTTGGCATCGGAGAGTACTTCAGCAGCTGGAGTAGGTGCGATCGAGTGTCTTTCATAACCAGGCCCAACACTAAGGTGAACACTGGCGAACGAAGCGTACAGTGCCCGAACCAGTTCTGGGTATGCCAGGATGATCTCGAGAATGTAATCCGGTGTGAAGGTCTCCGTACGCAGACGACGCTTGAGCTTGGATAGAATTTCAGCGTGCAGACTGTTCTTGGGATCCAAGGCTTGTTGCAATGAGGCGTATTCGGTTCCGAGTCGGTTGAGGAAATGCTGCACGAACACCCAGACACAGTGTCCGTAGATGGCCTCCTGCAGACTAAGATCGCCAGTCGCAAACAGGGTGTGAAGCTTGTTCTGGGGGATGCAGTACAGCAGCGAGATCTCCTTGGTGATCTGGTGGATCGATTGCTCAATGGGAAGCTGCTTCGCGTCCGAGTCGGGCGAGGGCTTCAGGTAGATACAAATAACAGTGATTCCGTTCGAAAACTGCTCAACGTACTTTCTGGTGCTAGTAACACCATAGTAGTGGTAGAGATCACTGAGGGCACTGAACATGCCCCTAGCGGTGCGAGACCGGAAGGCGACAACCAAGCGCTTCTCTTGCGAATCCTCGATGTCAAAGACCTCGATCACGGGACCAGTCCTGCTGACCGCGAGGGAAATGATATCTGCGTAGATTTGCTTGGTGTTCTTAGTCGCCTTAGTCAGGAACATACGATCGCTGATCACCTCCAGGCGGGTCTCGTCCGGCGAAGGGTTGGCATCGACGAACTGGCACTGGTAAACGAAGTAGCAGCGTAGTGACGCATTGGATGAGGTGTGCTCGGAAATGGTGCCAGGAGATCGGAAAGTCTCAACGCGGAACCTTGTTCTACCGGTGTGGTCAAGGTACTTGGCCTCCAGTCTCTGCTCGTATCTGGGGCCGCCCAACTCTGTCCTTCCCGGCTCACTAGTATCGATGTAGATGGCGTGGTCGGATGCTTCCATATCGAGGCGGATGGCGTCTTGCTGGTTTGCACGGTTGCGAGCTGCAACCTTGGCAGCATATAGCGAAGTGATGTGGGTCGCAATGACCTCGACGCTCTCCAGCTGGAAGTAGACATCGTCAATCCCAAGCGAGGTGTAGAACCACTCGACTTGATCGTGGATGTGTGTTTCTGGTATCCAACCACCTTTGGCGAGAATATCCTTCACTGCGGTACGTTAATAGCACGCCCTTGGGACCACGAATATAGCAGCCTACCCTGTTTCATCTGTTCTACCTTGCCAGCAAACTCCGGTGCAATGTATCCCACAGTGGCAGAGCGCAGAACTCTGTGACCATTTCCATTGACCTTCTGTGGTACCGAGAAGTGTGTCGGCTGAGGAGAGGGTTGGCGACTCGGCTCGTCCGAGAGCCGAGTCACCAGCTTGTTGGCTAAGCCATTGACAGCCATGGTTGTCGAGTTGAGGAGTTGGAACGGATCCGTATATTCAGGAAATCTGTCGGGTGGTAAGTGAGTCGTTTGGATCTTTAACATCGTGGAAAGAATAGAGTGGGACCGTAGAAGCAAAAGATTGTATGATGAGGAACGCCAGTGTTGGCGGGAGGGCACATGGATATAGATGGGTTACGTGAAATCTGCCTCCAAGAGAAAACACAGGTGATCGTATCTTTTGGGGCTAGGGAATGGGACAAGGATAGACCAGAGGACTTCTAGCAGTGTATACAATTCAGGGTTCGCGCTTCGACTCGTGTTATTGCGGCTCGTAAACCTGCTCGTGTACCGGGCAGCAGCACGAAGCCGCAACAACGCAAATGGAGCCGGTTGGCACCAGCGTGATAGGCCAGGGGGCTAGCGATTCGCGAGGGACAACGATGCCCAACGCCAGTACTACAGAGAAGCTTGGACATGTTCCTTATCTCGTGTTTACGACACGAGCAATCTTCACCGCTGGTGTTGATGTGCTCGTGCTTCTGATAAGGGGGGCCCAAATGCGCACAAGCCAAGGTAGGGTTAGAAACGTACCAGAGGAAGTTTTATCCGGCTCGATCAGCGCGGTTGGTCCGCTAAAGACTTAAATGTGGACGTATACCAATCTGGCGAGTTGAAGGCCCTGGCTGATCTCTGAACGGCGAGGATGGCGTTCAGAGTTGTGTTGGCTCAAGGAGCTTCCGTGGTTCACTCAAGCTGCTGTGGCGGGCCAAGTGTGACGTCGGACGGTAATGTAGGCTTTTGGAGGGGGAGATGGGCTACCGTGGTGGGGTTGCCGGGGTTCAATTGGTGTTGGTGAGGATGAACAATTCAATGTCAGGCCTCAAGGAGCAAACTGATGTCGAAGTTGCCAATACAAGGAGTATTGCCGGGTCTGGGACCAGGTTTTCTGACAAGACAGAAGAATGACCTAGGACTGACTGGTCGTCAAAAGTGATGCTGTCAGCTCCAAGCTGGATACGTAACAGGGTTTCTGGACGATAAGCACTGCCCGGAAGCATAGACTGGGGCTAAGGGAGGATGGGTGGATGACGGCAGTAAGGCGAGGCCGAAAGGCTAAAGATAAGGGATTTCAGCTGCTAGGAATTGAGGGAATCGCCCCATGACATGGACCTCCTGCTCGTGTCTCTGACAATGATGATGGTGATGCTCAGCGACCCCGGGCCACCTGTCCAGTGGAGGCCGCTTCCTTTTTATACCCCCCCGCGCACATTGAGGCAGGTTACGGTTCCCTAGTTGGGAGAGCACCTCATCACAACAAAAAATTCTGTCAAAAGCATGATGCCTCCGGTCACGATGAGCTATCCTGGGTAGCTGCTCCATCCACACTGCAGCCGATCACCCTTGGGACCGCCCGTGTATTGCGGGCGCCGCCATGATTGGCCGCGTACCTGAATTCAGGACACTTTCTGGTGGGCTGCCTCGCCGTCGTCTGGCGTGCCTAGGTTGCATCGGGCAAGGCCTGGCAAGATTCGACGGTTATTCGAGGCTGTTTCCCGTGACCCACCGCGCTCCATGTTGGCCGGGGGCTGGCCAAGCCCCCAGGCTCGTTCTGGGCTGGCGTGCCTCTGCCCTGCCATCCTTGCGCCCATCACTCCCTGAGCGGCCATGCATTAACTTGTTTTCTAGAAGGCCCCCAGTGGACTTGCAGGTCTTGTATGGCAAACAATGACCTGTTTTCCATCGCCCCCTTTCCCCGTAGCTATGTATGCCTGGAACACCTTTGCCCTTTGCCCTTGGCCCTCTACGACGACCCGGCCTTCGGATCATGGCAGCACGGCATTGACCCGACTGCAGTCCCAGGATACGAAGCGACGGCGTCTACCCGGTCTGGCGCACCCCTAAACCTTGGCCCAAGGTACCGGCAGGTACCTGCTGAAAGGCCGGCCGCCTTACCGCCTCTTTGCTTTCGTCCCCATGCGGACAGGCAGTTAAGGATCCCGAGGGCTGTCCAACGCTGTTATCTAATAGCTCCATATTTCACTGGCCACGATGGCTGCAATTGGCACGACATGTCCTGGCAATGATTCGCAAGAGATTGCCAGAGGTATCCCGTGATGGCCCAAAGCTGAAGCCATGAACCACTGGTGGTTGGCGACTGCTTTGGGAGCTGCAACCTGCAACCCGGCAGGCTTCGTGACCCACTTGCCCCGCGATTTCCAGTCTCGTCGGGTCCGGGTACGTACAATCTCTTACCCCCATTTTACTTAATCGTGCAGTGCACCTTCAACCCACGAGGTCACTTGGTTTGACGCCAGACGGAACCCAGGACTCTATAAGGCAACTTTGTGTCTCTTGCTGACAGCATCAATGTCGGCAATCGAAGATTGAACTTTCTATTACGAAATCCACACCCAACAGCAACCGGCTGCCGGCTACCCCAGACAAGCCAAGAGGCGGGAGACGGTGCACCATGGGGCCCAGGACCACGTCACGAGTCTTGTCGAATATCTCAGAGAAATTGCGCAAGTCTGGGGGACGACGTGGCCGGCCTGGCCTCGTTCTCCGGAGTCGAGACCGTGGCATGCCGTAGTTGTTTGAATGACACTTGCCTCTAGTTAGAGCTGGGGGTGAGACCCCGTGATACAGTAGGAACCCTCGGCTGCTGAATCCGAGATTAGACACTCCTCAAACTGCTCCGTGACTCAGTTGTCTGGACAGCAAAGGGAAGTTCCTATGTTCATCCCTTCCGGGGCTTTTCATTGCGCGTCTACGGCCTTCTAGAAACTACAATGGCTGAGACCTGGGCAGTATTCCCTACCTTATTCTAGGTTGATCAAGTCCAGATATTGTCGACGTTGGCGATCCCCCTGGCAAGCCTGGCTGCTGGCCTGGCCTGGTTCTATTTTTATTCCCACGCGCTACTGAACGGCAAACCTCCTGAATGACAGATAAGCACCGCCACAAGCTGTGGGCCCGAAAGCAACTGACACGAGCTCTCATCGTATTCTAAGCAGGTTGAGGTTGTCCAAGTACGAGCATCGGTTTGGGCAAGTTTCCAATAGTATATCCTTGCCACATGGCCTGATATCCAGGTGCTGTATGCAGGCAAACCGACGATAAGATCTCCGGAAGAGCCGCATCTTGTCGCGACTGAATTCAACCAGAGGGCACGTGCACGCGGCAGCCGATGCGCTTGAAAATTCACCTACTACATACAAACACACTTGCCTCATTCTCTGGATAATCGCAAATGGAAGCTGATAACGAGGGATATTTCACATCAACATTATTGATGAAAAGGCTGTCTCTGACGGTGCAACCCAATGTCTTTCATCTATCCTACGCATCGACTTGCCCAATGTAGAACTAGAACATAGTCGGTTCTATCCGCGGCTCCGCTTAACGCCGGCTAGTTTTTGTGGAAGCATCGGCTTGCTATCTGCGAGTCATCAATGTCTCCAGATGTACTGCACAGGACCCCAAAGAGGGGACGATTATCACGATACGCATGAATTATCCCAAACTCTTTAGTAATGAGTTTGCATGTTGAAACAGGAATAATGGCAACATCGGGAGCCTTTGAACACAAGCATTGCAAGGTGTTCATAGCTCAGATGGTTGCGGCAGTACCACCACTTGCCTTGCCACCATCCTTGAGCACACAAATCCCATCCTACACAACTTCAATCCAGCCGAGTCAGCTTGCTGTGACTAGCTTGCTGGAGCTCCTATACGATACTTTTGCAGTTCTAGAATGCTTCTTGGAAGTATTTGCTCATGTCTTGTCATCCAGCATGCAGGTCGATCCTGTATACGTACACTGAGATATGCGCCCTAAATTGCTAGAGAGTAGGTAGGCTTTCAATGCGCCACAACTGCACGCCACAAATGCAGCACGTCGGTCCCTCCCCCACATTGTACCATTGAGATGCCAAGGCATCTTCGCGGCTTGTCGCGGGGTTCCATGAAGCCATCTGACGGAAGATCACGACCACGCCAGCAAAGCGTCACTATTTGACATAGGTTTCTCCTCTTGGCGCCCAAGCGATCGGAGAGCATCGAGTAAGAGCAGCTTAGCAGTCCCCGCCCTGGGCCCAAAACCTCGTGCACCATGAGCGGCCCCCTAGAGAACGGCAAACTGCTGGATCTTGATGCACAAGCCGCAGCGCTAGACCAAGACGACGGGCTGAAACAACTCCGGGACGAGTTCGTAATACCGTCGATAGCTGACATAAAGCGTCAAACGATACAAAAGGGTATGTTCCTCTGTTAGCTGAATATTACAGAAGCGGGCTCACCCCTCCCCAGATGATACCACGGAAGCAAACGCCAGGGCCTGCACTTATCTCTGCGGGAATTCCCTGGGTCTCCAGCCGAAGAGGACATCAACTCGCATCAAGCAGTACCTCGACACATGGGGCACCCAAGGAGTGCAGGGTCATTTCAAGCCTCTAGATGACTCTCCTCTGCCGACCTGGCTTGATGCCGACGCCCATGTAGCCAAGCAGATGGCTCCGATTGTAGGGGCGGATGAATCAGAGGTTGCCGTGATGCAGACACTGACAGCAAACTTGCACTTGCTGATGACGGCCTTCTACCATCCTGATCCCAAAGGCAAACACAAGATCATCCTGGAAAGTAAAGCCTTCCCAAGCGACCATGTGAGTCTTACCTCTAGTCACCCTTGATGACAGCGGGCTGACTCCTGACAACCAGTTTGCCGTTCTCAGTCAGATCCACCACCATGGCCTATCGCCGGAGACGTCCATGGTCGAGATCCAGGCCCCGTCTTCGGAGGACAACGTGCTCACCACAGATGACATCGTATCTCTGATCTCAAAGCATGCATCTGACACAGCCTTGATTCTTCTCCCAGGCATTCAATACTACACTGGCCAGCTCCTCGACATATCTACCATCACTGCCTTTGCACATAAGCATGGCATCTTCATCATCTGGGACCTTGCCCACGCTGTCGGCAACGTGCCGTTGCACCTGCACGAATGGGATGTAGACGCGGCGGCGTGGTGCACGTATAAGTATCTGAACGGCGGTCCGGGATGCATCGGTGGCATGTTCATCAACTCAAAGCACAGCCTGGTGGCCACGGAGATCAACGATCCCAACCCTGAGCGTGGTTACGGAAAGCGATTATCGGGATGGTGGGGGAACGACAAGGGCACACGCTTCGCGATGGAGACGAAGTTCCACCCCGTCAAGGGAGCCGCTGGCTTTCAGCTAAGCAACCCGAGCATCCTCGACATCACCAGCCTCGGCGCTTCCCTCGAGGTGTTCGACCTGGCTGGCGGTGTAGCACCACTGAGAGAGAAGTCCAAGCGGCTCACCGCGTTCCTAGAGCATTGTCTGGCATCGCTATCAGATAATGCCAGGCGACTGTTCCGCACGATCACGCCCACAGATCCGGAGCAGCGCGGGGCTCAGCTGAGTCTGCTGCTTGGGGACGGGCTGCTCCACGTGGTGATGCAGGAGCTCGAGGCTCGCGGTGTTATCGTGGACGAGCGCAAGCCCGATGTCATTCGGGTTGCGCCCGCTCCGTTGTATAACAGCTTTAGCGACTGTGTCGCCTTCGTGCGAGCTTTTGAGCCAGCACTGCTTGCGGCACAAAGAAGCAGGGGAGCATAGAAGGAGGGGTGATTCCATAGAAACGCGTACTGCAAACATAAAGAGCAATAGAAACAAAACTGCATGTAGTGATCTACTGGCATCGTGCGCGTCGCGCAGCAATGTCACGCTGAGATAGTCTGAAAGTGCTCGTGGGCATGCAAATGAGTCCTGAGACTTACTATGCCAAGCGTTGCCAACTTGCCACGGCTTGCGCAAACATTCATGGCTCAGCCCAAGACAGCGTGGGTCAAGGGACAAGAATCTTTGACCAAGTTGATGATAACAGTGGGACGGTTGCATTGCTGTTGTGGCACACGCCACACTTGGCTTCCCTTACAGAGTGTTCATTCATGGAGTGGCGGGCTTTAGTGAGTTGGCATTGTGGCTCAGCAGGCTGGTCTGCGTTCAATACAGGGTCGCACCAGCTGAAACAACTGGCGGCAGGTCTATCACGCCTCGGCGCACGTCATAAAGTGCCCGGAAGGGGCCTCCAGCCTAGCAACCAAGAATCGTGCTGCAACCTGTTGATGAAATAGCCTGAGCCCGCCATTCAACATTGTGCTCGTTTTCCCGAACTCCTACATCCTCATATCTGCATCCTACTGCACCACAAACAATCCCCTTCTGTCAAGTACGCTTTTGCTGAATTCAGCCAACACGCTTGGTGAGCCCCTCCAGACCTGCGACGACAGTCCCCCACCAAACCTAGCTAACTAAACACAACCCCAGATCCAAACCACCATCCCCCAATTAAGCCCAAAAATGCCTTTCTTCTACTCAAAGGGAGTCGGTAACCGCCACTTCGGCACTTCCGTCCACGCCTCTCGCCATGGCGTCCACCGCGGGCCCTGGCGGTTCAGCTTTGGCAGATTCAACTGCTTCAAGTCTCACTAGTACTGCTTCAACACCTAACCCCTGCTGGTGAAGGGCCTGGTGGGCCTATGACCTCACCGGTGCGCCTGCGCCCGAGGGAACGACGAACACGACCTGGAGGACCCGGAGGTTGGGCACATGCACAATGGAACGGGCGACTACTTATTCTGCTATGATTTTCTGCATGGAGTTTGGCTGTCGCGTACAGGGCGAAGGCAATGGTCCCAATGAGATGCATTCCGCGAGCGAACAATAGTTTGATGGCACGGTTTTCTCGCATCCGTTTAATACCAAGAATGGCATTGCTTTATATTGCGAAATACTTGATGATTCTCTCCCATGCTCCTTGTATGCTATGCTGTTGAACCAGAAAAACCAGAAACTTCATTTTTGTCAACACTTTCGGAACGAGCCCCCCGAGCACTGGAGAAAGTGACAATGTTGTCCCCTCCTTCTTCACAATTTCACCCACCAAATCTCTCCAATTGCTATTGTCGAAGACTCCATGTCTATCCAGAGGACATGCAACCCAATTTCCCACGAGAGCTGAAAAACGGCTTCTATCCCGCCCCACAATTCGAACCGAGATGGTGTAGCTATGAGTGAGGGAGATTCCTAATTAAGGCATGATCAACTGTCTGCCAGGAACGTATATCCGTAACTCTGAAGGTTTATACCATGTGTTTCTATCCTCAAACTTGAGAAGTAGAACCTTACTAAGAGGGAATTATGACAAAAGTTCTAAACTTAGACTACACATATGCATAAGATCTTTGCTGATTTCCTACCATGCTTGGGGCATCGCAACTCAGACAACGAGGACTCCATGCCTCGTCGACACAGTAGTCTCGGTTTCTACTGGAGAATTTCAAAGAATGTGTTCAGGTTCCGCTTCCTAATTCACATTCTTTGGAGTGACTCGCCAGGTGAACCGATATATGATATATGCGATCCTGAGCTAGAACTGTGCAAATTAGAATGATGAGTCTTCAGTGACAGAACCTGGTTTGCGTACGGCTTGAATCACATCCTTACCTTCAGACAGGATTTGTGAGTTGAGCAAACTGCAAAAAAACAACGGACTTTGCTATAGCAAATTTGTAAGCTTGTTACCCATTCAGGTCAAGACTGAGAAAGTTATTTTCGACGTGCAGAATCACCATGGTGAAAAGAATATCCTCAGTCTAGAGCGCGACATCTTGAACCACACCGAGTTCACTATCATGATACACCAACTTGTCTACCACGCACGCTTCTTGATTGTTTGGTCAGCTTTCTGTGTCAAATGTTTGACATCTGACTGTTGCACAGCTATGCGTATAAGAAGCCTGAAGGTTTCTTACATATGATTGCAGCCTTCTTGGTGTCAACCATGCAGGTTGAATGGTCAGTCAGTGAGATCTCGTAAACAATGGAAGCTCGGTCTCTGAGGTGATAACTGCTCCGTATTGATATAAAGCTGCACGTGTCTCCACCAGAATCGAAATCCTCCGCATCTAAACCTGTCTTGCCAACAACTTGCTAGTCCGCCTGTTTCGCGTGCTACATTGGCACCCAACTACGATAACATGACAGACGTTATTCTTGCCCCCCAGATCGCGGCCCTCATCAACCAGGCTGGGGATCTTGTGATGTCGTGTTGCGACTTCATGGGCCGCGTGCTTGATGCTCCAGATGATGTCAAGGAGGTTCGAAACGAGGTCGCTGCTTTCCAGAATGACATTCGAAGCCTTGAGTCTTTTGTTTTGAACAATTCCGACGAGTTCAAAGATGTCATGAATCTTAGCAGCAGCAACGGTACTCTAGAGACGGCCAAGAGCATCATTGATGACCTGGCGAAGTATCTCGATCTGAAGCGGTCGTTCCCTCCCGCCCCGGCTAAGCTGGGCAGGTTCCAACTTGACAAAATGATGTGGCTAATGAAAAGTGACCACATACACAAGTTCCTCGACAAGCTGAAGTCGTGTCGCGAGTCTGTCAACCTCACGCTCACCACATTGTTAACGTTAGTCCAGACGGCTACCCAAAGCTTAAATTACTGCTTCGTCAACGACCTGCTGACCATTTAATAGGAAGCAAGTGAAGAAGATTGAGAATGAGGTCACACAAATCGGGTGTAGATTAACTGGTAATTGTGTAACCCGTTTTAGATGAGTACTTAGTAACCATTAGCAGACCAAGAGAAACGAAGGATACTTGCATGGTTTCACGTCAATGACAGTTACATGCGTACTATGCACGCCAACAAACGGCTCCAGTACGAGCAAAACACTTGCGAGTGGATGCATCGAAACCCAGAGTGGGCCAAGTGGCTGTCTGGACCGAGGTGCGGTCACGGACACTGCCGATACATCCACATCGAGGGGATACCGGGTGCTGGAAAGACAGTTCTTGCTTCATACTTGATCGAGAAAAGCGCTGAGCACTGTCGGTCTCTGGGTTCCACGTACTACTATTGTCACTACACAAGAGCACAGGATGAAACTATCCCTTTACTACAGCGCACTATCAAAGATCTGATGGGCCAGCTTGCGATATCAATGGGGGCTCGCTACATTCCGAAGCGCATGAGGGAACGGTACGATGTTGATACAGAACTTGACACTCAAGATCTGCTTGCATGTCTTGAAGATGTCTCTTGCCAATTTGAGGATGGTGTCCGGATCATTGTGGATGCCCTCGACGAGAGCCGAGGCCGGGACAATTTGCTCCGTGTTCTGATCACCATTGGTACTGACGATCGCTTTCGGAATGTCTCCCTTCTCACAACAAGTCGGATTGAACCTGATATTGTTGAGAGTGTGCAGAAGCTGGGCCATCTTTGCACCATCATATCGATGGCCAACCCGGACGTACGAGCTGACATTCGGAAGGTTGTGCACTCCGAGTTGACCAAAAGACACTGGACCCCTAAGTTTACTAAGGAGGTGGAAGATAAACTTGTGAACGGATCAAAAGGCATGTTCCGTTGGGTTGCATGTCAGCTTGACCTGTTGAAGCGTCTTGAGCAGCGTTACATCAGCGACGAACAAGTGATTCGCGGAAAGCTCCAAGACCTGCCCGATGACATCTTCAAAACCTACGAGCGCATTCTACTGGAGATCCCCGAAGACCACAAGGAGTTCGCCCGCACTGCGTTGGCGTTGATATGCAGCAAAAGCCATGATATCCCCACAGCGGAAATCCTCGTCGAGGCATCGTTGCACTATGTCCCCTACGGCAATATCACGAAGTACAATGTTGCCGCCCTGTCAAAGATTTGCGGCTGCTTGATCAATGTCAATGCACTCAACAAGACACCTGACAGCGTCTTCAATCGCGACAACGAAGGCGTAGTCTTCTCAAGGGTATCGCTGGCACATTATACCGTCAAAGAGTACCTTTTCCACCCTGACACGGCCAAAGGACCCGCCAAATTCTTCGCTCTCGAGGAAAAGAATCTGAAAACAGTCTATATGACGGTGGTTTTCAACGGACTCTCCCATTTCCGACCCGGAGGCGGGACCGCGAAGAAAGATCCTGTCACTCGTTTCGACGAGTTCTGTCTGCAAGAGACCGAACGCTTCCTCAGGTCCCGCGAGCGAGCATGCGTCTTGGACAATGACAAGCTCACAAGCATTGTGATATCTTCTCTGAAGCCCTGTGCCCCGCATGCAGCATTTCTCAAGCTACAGAGGGGCATATCACGGGTGATGAGGGATTACTTCAGTACATGGAACGCAATGATACACCAACTAGAGATACAGCCCCTAGGAGAAGCAGAAGTAACAGACCCTGTCGGTGTTCTTGTTAACCTGGTCCATCTTCGGTGGAACGAGATGGCAGAGAGGTATTTGGAGCACTCAGATATCAAGGGTCTTCCTCGACGCACAAGAGACAAACTCTGGACAACAACCTTCAAGTTCAAGGGCAATGAGTATGAGCACGAGACGTTGCTGATGCTCTGTGTCCGCAAGCGCTTGATCTCTTTTCTCGAACTCTTCACTCGCAAAGGTGCTTACTTTGACGAGGAGAGCGAGATACTCTTTGCTGCGATGTATGATCCGTACAGGCACAATTCCTCTGTCGCCCTGGCACTCAGAATGCTACGAACTATGCTTGATCTAGGGAGCGGAGCCAAGCCGGACCCTACGCCCAGCAGACCGGGCGGTCGCTATCCACCGCCCGAAGAGGCTAGTACCCTGAAAGCTCAATTCGCATTCACTCCTCTCCAAGTTGCTACAGTAATCCTGGAGTACGACCTGGTCGAGGCCCTGTTGGATGGAGGAGCAAACCCCAATGGCGTAGGGACAAGAAACGGCCAGATCCCCCACGACTACCACGATAATCCCGACGGCCCTGACTGCAAATACCTCTGCAAAATGGGACTCAAGACGCCACTGGATATCTGCAGACTAACTCAGCCGCCGTGGGCTAATCCGGGCGAGAAGGAGGCACTTGTTGCCAGCAAGCGATGCGATATTGAGCGTTTACTCAAACGCTGGGGAGCTGAAGAGCCCGAAGACAGCGAGGACTCCGAAAGCGGGGAAGTTGATGGCATGGACATCGACAGAGAACTCATTGATTTAACTTCGTGATCATCAACAGTTATGTCTCCACTTATCATATTTCTTCATGGCTTACCTAGCAATTAGTCCACATTTCGCCTTGACGAAACGGTTCATGATTTTTGGGGCTTTGGACTGCATAGACAAAACCGGAATGACACCTACGGCTGTTTGTATGTATGTATTGGGGATTGCTGGTGGTGATATTGGCCTCGACTCCTTGAACAGGGACATGTCTGATCTAGTCGCTACATAGTTGAGTGTTAAGGCGTGAGTGGTATACCAGTAGAGCCGTAGCCGAGGCCTCAGCAGTTGAATTAAGTGTTTCCTGCGACTTGCCGTCCGTATTTGTTAATTTCCAGTATCGGTCGGGTCTGAGAAATCTTTTTCATCTTCCAGCTCCTATGATCCCATTTCGAGTGCCGATTGATGGATCATAAGATTAATAATGAGCCATTTTGATCTTGGAAATGCTGAAGGACTGAGCCGTATAATCCTCCTGTCACGGTCCACTTTTGATTTGCTCTAGGCCAATGATAAAACGGTCTGTAGTTGTTGTCAGAAGCGGTCCAGCACAGGATTCGCATCCTTTCAATAAGTAAGGCCCCCGAAAATTGGGGTCGCAGGCAAGCTGCCTGTGGAAAGGTCCGCTACGGATCCGAAAGTAGTCCGGATCCGAAGCGCAGCCCGACCCGATCCTGCAGTGTATATCGGCCGAGTAAGCACAGTTATACCATTTCGGCCGAATGCCGACTTGTATAAGAGACAGTCTGCTTCATGCGTCAGAATAACATCTTTTGATTCCATGTCGTCAAATCTGAATACCAAAGCTGGTATTACTATTTCAATTCATTTTTAAAATCGGAACGCCTTTTCATCGAAAGCTACAATGAGCAAGGTCGCAATCATAGGAGCTGGCCTGTCTGGCCTGACCCTTGCGCTAGCCCTACATCAGCAATTGATTCCAAGCACCATTTACGAATCCCGCCCCGATGCACCCCTGAACATCGGAGGCGCTGTCATGCTTTCACCAAATGCTTTGCGTGTTCTTGACCGCCTTGGCGTGTATGAGCGGATCCGCACTCGGGGTTATACATTCACCAAAGTAGACTATCGCAATGCCGTTACCGACACTGTGACCGAGATGCAGGAGTTTGGAGGAAAGGACAAGTACGGCTATGATGCGCTACGCATATACCGCTCTGAGCTCATCGATGTTCTGCTGGAGATGCTGGAAGCCGCTGGCGTCTCGATCAAGTACGGACGCAAATTCGCCAAGGTGCTCGAGGAGACCGAGCGACAGGTGACCTGGGAATTCACCGATGGGAGTCGGGAGACCGCACAGCTACTCGTCGGTGCTGATGGCATCCACTCGACCGTGAGGAAGTATCTCTACCCAGATTTAGTTCCCAAGTTCACAGGTTTGGCTGGCATTACGGCGGCCGTCCCAACTGCACAGCTTCAAGCATCAGTGGATCTTCACCTTCCGCTCACGTATGTACTCCCTGGGAAAGGAGGATTCGTCATTGCACCACAGCAGGTTGACGGATCGGAGCAGTTAATTGGGAAGCAACGGCGGGTAGAAAAGGACTTGACGCGAGAGGAGTGGGCTGCTTTTATGGCGGACAAGGAAAGCCAAGTCAAATTCTTGCAAGACATTGACCCAGCCTTCCCAGAAGTTGTACATAGGGCTGTTTCCAATATTCCCCACGACAAGATTAACGTCTGGCCCTTCTACGTGGTGCCAAGGTTGAATGCCTGGTCGAGCGAAGATCAGCACAGGCGTGTTGTGATTCTGGGCGACGCTGCACACGCCATTCCCCCATCAGCAGGGCAAGGCATAAACCAGGCGTTCGAGGACGTATACATGCTGAGCTTGTTACTCAGTGATACCGCTAAAGAGAACAACAAGGACTATTTAGCAGCGTCATTGAAGTGGTGGCAAGAGTCAAGGCAAGCGCGTGTGGACCAAGTTCTGGAGCTTAACAAACAGATTGATCTCAGAAGGTTGCCCCAGTCTCAGGATTCGGATGGACTCGAGAAACTGAACTTCGAAGTGGGATGGCTGTACGACATTGACTTGGATCAGGTTGTCGGAAATTGGCTTAAGGAGTTTCAATAAGATAACACCTGTGTAGACTTGGATGGTAATAGACTGGGATATTAAGAAGCGAAATGATCGGTATTTCATCTTTTTTTATGTAAACAGCGGAAATAATGTTTGGCCTTACATCAGGCTTGAGTGAGTGGCTTCTGAGCGCAGATCACCCAGCTAAATAATCATTAGAATGAATTGCGTATGCATCGAGGTTAAGAACTTACATCCAGCACCAGGTGTGATTTCTTCGGTGTCTCACTTCAGTTCTAACTTCCGAAATCAAAGACTCTATTTCATCAGGCTTCATGCCGGATGCTTCGAGCAGTTTCCATGTTCCATGAGCGATCTCACACACATTAGCCATGTTGTAGCTTCCCACTTTCTTAAGCTTTCTGTTCTCCGGCCAGCTATTCATTGGAAGAGCAAAGCGACGCACAGAGATATTAACGACTTTTGGAGCATTAGCACAAGTATATTAGTTGGAACGTGAAAGAGTGGAATTGTAACGCCCGAGGGCTTATACATAGTACCAGGTTTGTTTGACTCACATCCTAGCTCCTCAAGCCAATCCTTGTACTTGGGAACGACTGTAATATCACGACCCCTGGCAGCTGCTCCTTTATTTATTGCATCGGTCCATCGAATTAAAGCGTTACCTTAAAGTAATGAACAGTTAATTTTGCCCTCTGTGATAGGTGACCACACCTACCTTCATAGTCGTCATTGGACTGGTGGTAATCAAAATTGGATTCCTGGAATTCAACCCAACCACCTGGCGACAGGTTGTTCATGATAGTTTGCATCACCATTCGTGCATCATTCCAAGCAGTGAACATGAGACGTAAGTGAATGTAGTCGAACGAGATCCAGTGTTGACAAGGTCCGTGACACGCGGTGTGGTCCGGCATAGGGTCCGGAAAATACCACGGAGCCTCTCCATCATCTTTAATGAATGAAACGTTTGAGACCCGTGGGGGTGGTTGAATTGCGCTTAGATCTGTCCCGATAACGTACGAGAAAGGGTTTTGTTCAGCTTGTAGGTAAATTGTGAGCTAGATGTGACTCCCAGCATAAAGCTAGCGGGTCGAAATACCGAACTCATGCGCCCAAATACCTGTCGGTTGAATCAGCCACGTTTGGAAAGAAGGAAAGAAGGAGGATAAAAATACCAGTTCCAGTTCCGATATCGAGGACAAATCTCGGGGTTGTTGTCAGTGGAGCCAGTGCTAACCAACCATCGAATAATATGCGGAACATTTCGTGCTGTAGGTCAAGTCTTTCCTGTTCGGCCTGGAAATGGTTAGGTATTGTCGGATGTCAATATCACAAACATACAGCGTCATTAGGTAGAAGATAACTCTGCAGCAATGTGTGTCAGCAAGTTCGTAATCAGACCAGCTTCTACGGCGACTGCATCCCAAGACTGATCTCACCGCAGTAGGTGAAGCAGATAATGAAACTAGATGCTACCTACACCATCCTTGTACCCATGGTAGAGCCTTCCTGATTCACCTAGGACCGAATCAGGCTCTACAACCGATGTCCCACCTGGGGTTCGACCTAAGGCCTGATTGATCATTTCATTCGCAGCTTCGGCGAATGTAGGCTGTTGCAATAACGGACTTGGATACGATTGTGGGTTACCAGTTCCGACAGAGTCTGCGAGAATACGGCTAGCAATTGGTGGGCTTTCGCTGTATATGCGTGCCGGAGGAGGCATTTGACGGTACGACTCGAGGAGCTGGGATGGTAAAACAGTAGCGGGATTCAGCAAGCCGTGATTTGCCGAATACTCATAGGCGGGTAGTTCTGCGGGCGAAACCCTCGCTTGCCGATCATGAAGACCATGGCTTGCTTCTCCTTGTGGTACCTTCGAATGTTGCGCCATGGCTACTTCTGAAGCATAAAGAACATCACTGAAGTATGTAAGGGCGAACGGTGTATTCGCAGTATCTCGGTTCCATACGGTATGCCAATGTTGTGCGGGACCACCGACTAAGTGCTCCGCTTAAAACAATGCGCGAACCACTCAGATACCTCGTTCACCGGCCCAACCCCTGCATGCAGTTGTACCAGACTACCGGGCCGAGCAACTGAATGTGCCTGTGCGGCCCGGATTGGCGTAGAGAATCACGTAGGTAACCAGTGATACCAGGCAGGTATTATTGACGTAGCAAGAGAACGGACATACCACACCAGAAGAACGCTTTATCAAAAGCATGCACTTCAACAATGGCGCGCAATGGTGGCTGCAAGATTGGTCGTATGATCCGAGCCATGAGAAGGTGCGGAATGATAAGAAGAGGCTGAAATGAAAACAGCGTGCCGAGGGCCCTTTGTAACACACTCACACGAGCATTATCACGCGCCATCCGGCGGTGTGAGAACATACTACAAATGTATTAATGGAAAATATCAGGAATGAAGTTCTAAACTAGATAATAACTGCAGGGACAATTCCAAATCATCTCAACTCCGTTAAAGTCACTCTCCAATCCCATCATGTTCTTACCAAAGCAGACCCGCAACAACTGCAATCAAAGCAACGGCATAGGAAAACTGAGCTTTGGGAGCCTCAGCCGTAGCGTACGTCGGCTGAGCTGCAGCAGGTTCGGTGCCTTCGTGTCCAGCGGCATCAGCCTTGGACGAGGCAACCGGGTCAGGCTTGGAGCCAGCGGGTGACACTCCAGTGGCACCAGCAGCTGCAGGTTTGGGAGAAACCTGGAAGGTCGATGCTGGAACAGTTGGAGCGGGATAACCCGGGTCCTTGGCGTCGGTCCCATGGGCAACCGGTGAAAGACTGATGGTCTCGGTAGGCTTCTCCGGCACGACAGGGTGGTTTCCATCTGCCGGAATTGGGTATGGGCCGTTGCCGTGAGCCTCAGGTCCCTCAGGCTCATGGGTTGCCGTGTGAGTTTGTGTATCGATAGTGACACTACCGAGCTCACACTTGGTGACCGTGGGGTGGCACGACGTGATCGTGTAGGTTGTCTTTTGAGTGTACGTCTTTGTCGTAGTTGGGTGCACAGTTGGGTAGTTCTCCACAGGCTTTGCTGGCGACTCGGGATACTCCTTGGCAGGATCCGTCGGCTTCGGTCCAGCATGCGGGTCGACAGGCTTCGTGGGCTCCTCGTCGCCAGGACACCAGGTGGTTGTCAAGGTTTGAGTCTCGCTAGTAAGTTGACCAAGGGCACACTTGGTGACAGTAGGGTGACATGAGGTGACCGTATAAGTAGTCAACTGTTTGTACGTGGATGTGTAAGTCGGCTTCTCAACTGGGTAATTAGGTCCTGGGCCAGGAGCCGGGTCAGTCTGGTAGTGGTCCCCGGTGGGGTATGGCCCAGCCGGATAAGCATCATCGGGGCACCAAGTGGTAGTTCCAGTCTGAGTCTCAGTGACTGCACTGCCTGAGGTGGAATACACTGTTGTGTGAGTGTACGTCGAGGTATATGTCGGCTTTGTGATCGGCGCCTCAGTGTCCGTTGAAGTGGGTACTACATACGTCGAAACTGGCGTAGTGATTGGTTCCTCGGACGCTGTGGATGTTGGAAACTCCGTTGTAACGGGCTCGTCAGTCGCTGTAGAGCTTGGCGGCTCGTAAGTAGGGTAGACAATGGTTCCAGTGTTAGTTGGCTGATTGCTCTGAGTTGAGGCTTCCGTTGTGGTAGGCTCCTCAGTCTGAGTGAGCGTTGGGTATACTACTGTCGTCGGTCCAACCGTCGTGGTTTCTGTAGTCTCGGTACCAGGGCCTGCTGAGCTGGTCGAGGTCTCAGTAGTGGTTATTTCCGTGACAGGACCAACGGATCCGGTTGAAGTCTCGGAGGTGGTTGTCTCTGAGGTGGTTGTCTCAGTAGTGGTTATTTCCGTGACAGGACCAACGGATCCACTTGACGTCTCGGTAGTGGTCACCGTCGTCTCAGTACTTGTAGCCACGGAACTTGTAGAGGTCTCAGTAGTGGTTGTTTCCGTAACAGGGCCTACAGATCCACTAGAGGTCTCGGTAGTGGTGACGGTCGTCTCAGTAGTTGGAGCCACGGAACTTGTAGAGGTCTCAGTAGTGGTTGTTTCCGTAACAGGGCCTACAGATCCACTAGAGGTCTCGGTAGTGGTCACGGTAGTCTCAGTACTCGGGGCTACGGATTCAGTTGAACTCTCGAGGGTTGATGTTGATTCTACAGTTGGTGCGGATGTGTCAGTACTAGTGGGGAAGACAGTCTGGGTGGAAGTAGGGACCACAGATGTGCTGGCCTCAGTGATAGTGAAGCTGAAGGTTGAGAATGAAGTGAACGTGACACTGCCACTAACTGAAAGCGATGTTATGACACTAAACGTGGGGTGAAGACCGTTCGAGCTGGTGTCGAAAGGGCCAGTGGTAGTGGGAGGAAGAGTCGGAGCAACGGACGAGGTGGTAGTGGGGATCCTATCAGTGATAGTGAAGCTGGAGGTTGAGAGTGAAGTGAACGTGACACTGCCACTGACTGAGAGCGATGTTATGATGCTGAATGTGGGGTGAAGTCCATTGGAACTGGTATCTACACGGCCAGTCGTCGTGGGGCGGACAGTGGTAGTGGGCACTGTCCCGCCAATGGTCGAGGTCGAGACGAATGTGAACGTCTGCGTGCCATTGATGGAGAACGAGGTTGACACACTAATGGTTGGCAGTACTGTATTCAGGCTCGTGTCGACACGGGACGTCGCCAGCGACGATGTGGACAGGCTTGTTGAATTGACCGGCCCTGATATTGTCGGTGCGACAGAGCTGGACGACCCAACGGACGAGGTGGATAAGCGAAGCGAAGTTGTAGTCAAGCTCGAGCTGGAAGACCGGCTTGTAGTGGTTGTGTTTGAGAAGGTGAAACTCGACGTGGTTCTACCAGTAGATGGTGCAGTTGTGGGTCCAACGGGTGAAGTAAAAGTTGATGAAAGGGTAGTTTGCGCAAAAGAGGAAGTGGAGGACCGTGTGGTCGTGGAGTTGCCAAAAATGGGAGAGGAAGTGTCAATAGTGCTGGGTGCGACTGATGAGGTGGAAAATGTGCGGGTGGTGGGAACAGAGCTCGCGGTAGTCAATCCCGTAGTGGTTGGTTTCACGGACGAGTTGGACGACGGGATGATTGAGGTAGTCAACTCACCAGTTGTGGTTTCTGTCCCTGTAACCGGTAAGCTGGTTGACCGGGTGTTAGTTCCCTCTGTAGATGTGGTGGACGATTGCGAAGATGTGGTTGTCGTGCTTCCAAACAAGCTTGAGGTTGTGTTAGGGAAAAAGGTGGACGTGGACACCGTAAAGGTAGGTCCAACCGGTCCACTGGAACTGGCGGGCGTGGACGTTGGTTCTGTTGTAACTGGGACAGTGGTATTGGCAGACGACGTGAAGGTGGGCAAGGTCTCAGTGGCGGTGCTAGAAGTGGACTGGGTGTTAGTAGATACAGTACTTGTCGGTCCACTGGATCCGGTTGAGCCAGCTGAAGTTGACTCTGTACTGGTCGTTCCTGTCTGTGTCTCTGTGGTAGAAGTACCGGTTTGCGTCTCCGAAGTGATAGGCAAAGTCAAGGTTGATAGAGACGTGAATGTAATACTACCGCTACTCGACAAGGACGTGGAAATAGAAATCGTGAATGTTGGTCTTCCCATACTTCCAGTACTCGTCTCAGTAGTGGAGGTCGACGTAGTAGTATTTGAGAATGTTGGCGACACGATTGTGCTTATCGTGGACAAAGAAGTAGAGATACTGGTGCCGCTCGTCGACGAGGAAGATGTTACTGATACAATTGTAGTAGAATTGGCTCCTGAAGTAGACACGCTCGACGATGAACTGGATGTTGATAGCGATGTGGAAGTGCTTGTCTCACTAATAGAGAGAGAAGTCGACACAGTTCCAGGTCCAGTGGCAGAAGTACTCCCCGTTGTTGTTGAGGTTGACAGTGATGTAGACGTACTCGTACTATTCGCTGACAGAGACGTCGATACGCTGATTGGTAGTGTCACTGAAGTACTCGTTCCCGTAGTGGAGGTAGAGATAGGTGCCGTTGCCGACGTACTCGTCTGCAATGTTGAAGTGGATAAGAATGTAATTGTACTGCTTCCACTAACGGATAGAGAGGTCGACACACTGACAGGGGGACCAGTTACAGTGCTTGATTCGCTCGTTGTTGACGCCGTAGTTGTCTGTAGGGTTGAGGTAGACAAGAACGTGAACGTGCTACTTCCGCTGGTAGACAAAGACGTCGAGACGCTGACAGGGAGTCCAGTCACGGTGCTTGACGAAGTAGCCCCCGACGACGTCGGAACAATGACAATGCTCGATGTAGAGAGCGAAGTTAAAGTGCTATTACCGCTCACCGAAAGAGACGTCACGGTCGTTGGAATAGACGTAACTGACAGAGTGATACTCGAAGTTGACAGCGACGTAGACGTGAGTGATCCAGTAGTCGATAGCGACGTCACGGTAATGGGAATAACCGGACTTGACGGACTCGAAGTCGAGAAGCTTGAGACCGATAGAGTAATACTGGAAGTTGAGACAGAGGTGGACGTGCTGGAGCCGCTGACTGAGAGCGACGTAATGGTTGTTGGGATGACAGGACTTATGATTGAAGTCGATAAGGACGTGAAGGTTAACGATCCACTTGTTGATAGAGACGTCGATACGGTGAATGTAGGCTGGACACCACTTCCACTTGAACTCGAGACGCTCGAGGTTGAGAGACTTGAAGTCGAAAGGCTTGAAGTCGAAGGGCTTGAAGTCGAGACGCTTGAGACTGATACGCTGGAGACTGAAAGAGTAATACTCGAGGTTGATATGGAGGTAGACGTGCTAGAACCACTAACTGATATCGAAGTGATAGTTGTTGGAATAACAGGACTGATGATCGAAGTGGAAAGGGACGTGAAGGTTAACGACCCGCTCGTCGACAGAGACGTTGATACGGTAAAAGTGGGCTGCACACCACTTCCACTCGAGCTTGAGGCACTCGGGGTTGAGAGGCTTGAAGTCGAAACGCTTGAAACTGAGATGCTAGAAACCGAAAGAGTGATACTCGAGGTTGATACAGAGGTAGATGTGCTAGAACCGCTAACTGATATTGAGGTAATAGTTGTTGGAATGACAGGGCTGATAATTGACGTGGATAGAGATGTCAAAGTCAACGACCCACTCGTTGATAGAGACGTCGAGACGGTGAACGTGGGCTCAACACCGCTTCCACTCGAACTCGAGGCGCTCGAGGTTGAAAGACTTGAAGTTGAGAGGCTGGAGACCGAGAGAGTGATACTCGACGTTGATAGCGAAGTGGATGTGCTTGTCCCGCTCACAGATAGCGACGTGATCGTTGTCGGGATAACAGGACTAATAGTTGACGTCGAGAGAGAAGTCAACGTGAGTGACCCAGTCGTTGTGAGGGAGGTTGAAACCGAAAATGTAGGCTCGACACCGCTATTGCTCGTACCCGAGCTTGAACTCGATACACTTGAGCTTGAAACGCTTGAAACGCTTGGAACTGACCCGGTGATGCTAGACGTCGATAACGAGATAGAAGTGACGGTGCCGCTCACAGAGATGGATGTTATCGTAGTGGGGATGACCGGAGTGATTGTCGATGATGAAAGAGATGTAAAGGTCAGCGACCCAGTGGTCGAAAGGGAGGTCGATACCGAAACGGTGGGCGTCCCAGTGTTCGACTGAGTCGGGACTGACAGTGTATTGTTAGACGCCGATAGCGACGTGGAAGTGCTAGAGCCACTAGTGGACAAGGAGGTGCTGGTAGTGGGAATAATGGTGAAAATCGAAGTGCGTGTGGTAGAGCCGCTGACGACTAGCGAGGTTGATAAAACAAAAGTGGGCTCTACAGAGTTGCCACTTGTGTTAATGCTCGTCGAGGTACTAGATCCACTGGTGGACGACCCCGTTATGGAGCTGGGGGTACCCTGAGAATTGGTTGAAGCTGACCCACTAGCGCCCCCGGTTGACTGAGAGGACCCCGAGGTAGGGCTGAGCACGCTCAGGGAGATTGATGTCGTCGAAAGCGATGTCGAGGTACTTGAACCACTGACAGAGAGAGAGGTGAGAGTGAGTGGGATGACCGGCGTGACTGTTGAAAGGGAAGTCGATGTCAGGCTTCCGCTTATAGAGAGCGAGGTTGAAACCGACGGCCCGACGACACTTGAAGGCGTAGGTGTAGCACCAGATGGCAGTGTGCCAGTACTAGGTGTGAAACTGAAGAAAGAGGACGATGAAGGCGTCCCGACAGAAAGGACCGCTGAGGTAGAAACCGAGACAGAGCTGATAGTGGATACAGAAACGATAGTAGTGGGGACGACAGTAGATCCACTGGAGACGCTGGTCACTATTGTTGTCTGGGTTCCGCTTGACACAGAGGTCACAGTCCCGGTGACGAGGGAAGTGAAGGTACTGTTGCCGCTTATAGACAGAGATGTGGAGACGGTCGTTCGGGTAGTAGTGGAAGCCGTCGTCTGAACAGCGGTCTGAGTAAGCGTCGTTGCCGTTGACACCGTGGCCGTGCTAACTATGGTGTTGCTTGAGGTTGAGACGCGCGTAGTCGACGAGCTAAGCGTAGTTGTACTGGTCGTAGGAGCACAGATACCCGTGGACGATGGGACAGCGTTGACACCAGCTGATACGCTGATGATTTGCTGACCACAGCTTGCGCCTTGGGCGATGAGGGCATTTCGGTTGTCCTGGTCGAAAACGACATAAGCCGCCCGCAGGAAAGTATCACCCAGTACGGCCTCGCCTGCAGAATGTCAATACCAGAACATGGGATTAAAATGCTCAAGAAGGACGTCAATCCAGAGGAAAGAAAACACATACCGCTAGTTTCGGGCAAAACTCCAAGCACACAGATATTGGCGCCGGCTTGAACGACAAAGTCACTGTAAGCTACCCTGATTGTCTTGGTATTGAAAGTAAAATCGACCGAGGTATCACTGTTAGGGGCAGTGCAAGGAACGATGTAGAGACCAGAGCCGGCTGGGTCGAGTATTGCTCCCGGGAACTGTGCCACAATACCCTGGTACACTGTGGTAGGAAGACGACTGATAGTAGTCCCGCTGTCCAGGAAGACAGGAAGAGTACCAGTGAACACGTTCGTCTGCGCGCCATTGTAGGTCACACCGATAGCGTTACAACCAATGTAGTAACTGGAACATTCAATATTTAGCATGAACTGGGCGCCAATGTTCAACGGAGCTTACCGGTCGGAGCCTGTAGCCGCTGTCAGATCAAGAATCGGCAGCTTCTCAAGGGCGCCGCTGAACTTGGCCAAATCAATACCACCGAAGATGACCGAGCCTGGTAAACTGGCGTTAGTTTTACAGCAAGAGGCAAGAAGCATAAATAGTTAGCCTACCTGTCGGATTTCCAATTGTTTGCAGATCAAGTGAGAACACACGACTGCTAATGAAGCCTTGTTGAACGAAGTTGTCAAGCACATATGTGTACTGGGTTGTGGCAGCATTGGGACGGAGCCCGAGACCCAGGATGCCAATGTAGACGTTCACGGACAAGACATTTTGACCGAACTGCTGAGCGACGAGTGTCGCACCTGTGACGTCGATTAGTAACCAAGTTCATGTTGCGGCAATGTGGAATACTTGCCACCAATGTCCACATGGTCTGTAACATAATCAACAGTCGCCTGGCCAGAACCGTAATCGATTGTCGCCGCAGTAAGCAGGTCAGTATGTGTGAGACTCAGTAGTTCAGCATAAACACCAGTCGTCAAACAGAATGCGACAGCTGTGGCACCGCCACCAGTGGCGCAGGTAGGATTCTTTGAAGTGTTAGCGAGTTCGGGCTTGCTCCCAGAGTCTTGCGAAATAGAGATTATGAGATATCCGGTACCCAGACTGAACCTCAGAGAGTTCGTACAAGCTGGCTAGCTTTGGCTGGTACTTACAACTACAAGCTCACTCGACCCGGTATCAAGCAAGACGGTAATCGGCTGCTCCGGCGTACCGATCCCAATATTCACGGTGTAGAGTGTTCCGGAGAGTTGTTGGGTCAGAACCACCGGCACCTGTCTCTTCTCGATCCCTACAGATGCGAATTCCGGAATGGTTTCATTACGCGGCAATGCTGTAATCTGTTGATAAAAATATCCGTCGCCGCGCTTAACAGGCGCGACTTTGCCTGATGGCGGAGCTGCAACGGCGGCGGCCTGGGCCAGCGCCGGCAGAAAACTAGCAACGAGTGACAGTGAGGGCCGCATGACGTCCAGTAAACGAAGGATTGGATGTCAAGCTAGCCAATTACGGAGGGTCGGTCTCCTTTGAAAGAGGATCTCAGGAAGACGCCGTCGAACGAGTGTTGGCATCTCTATATACTCTCCGGATAAGGAGGCGGAATGTGGCTTTTCCATCTGCTGATACGGGGCTGTGGAGATGAGGCCTACTGTTTCGGGTAGCAAAACACCCACGGCAGTGCACGCTTGAGGGAACTCGCAGACACCGATGCTGGAAAAAGACTTGCCCTTTGCGGACCTGCCTTAGCCGTTCCTAGTCAGGTATCCGCGAAGGGAAAAAGCATTGTAACGCAGTAGCCCAGCAAGGTGCCGCATGTAACTGCCTCCTGCGACTTGGCAGCGAATGTCGTGATTGGCCATTGGAACTGAGCGACCAAAAGGGCCAAACGCCAAGTCTTGCGTTTATACAAACCTTAAATCTTTGAAGTCTCCTGTCAGCGTGTTTGTACTGCGTTGCCGGCCGTTGGAGCGAAATACATGATTCTCGAGTAGCAGATGGCTTACATAGGGGGCGTTGCAGCAACTCCGTGGCCATTATCCCTTTTCTATTGAGCTAAACAAGAGCCGTGGAGCGCAACAATGCTTCCGCAGTCCACTTTCCTACGAAGTCGAACGGATTGTGAGTTCTCATGAGAACCAGGCCCGGAGTTCACCTAGCTGACGATAGAAGCACCTTCCCAGGCGAGTATTGCGGCGATGGCATATGTACCTGATTGCAAGCGACTCGAACAGAACCACTGACAGGCTTGGCAGGGCTCCCTCAAGCGGGATCCATTAGAGACAAGTGGGGCTGCCCTGTTGTCGTGCGGCGCGCTCTGCTTGTTGTCCTCGGGCAGCATACGAAGTTCGGTGCGGATGCTCGCTGATGTTCTAGCCCGTGGAGTGCTTCGATATGAAACACGTTGGGACAAAACTCTTCGCAAAATGCTGTTGCTATTCTGGCCAAGGGCCGAAAACTGCAGCCCCTAATCCCCGGTCCGGTGTACTTCATCTAGATGTCAGGCGTGTGCTCACATGTATACCAGCCTTGGCATGAGACGTTGTTTAGAGTTCAATCACGCGTGGGAGTTCGAGACCTTGGAGACCAATCACGTGCATTGGAGTCAGACCCTTGGCGCATGCAAGCCTTAGGTCCCATTTTTTAGGCATGATGACTCCTGCAAGTACAGATGGACTTCTGGTAAAAGCAATACAATTCTTTGATCCAGAAGAGCCTGGTCTGATATGTTGGCCGGTAGTAATTGATAATCGCGCTGAGCCTCAGCCAGGCGGAGGAAGCTCCGCAAAAGTCAATCGGCACAAGCGGCAGCCCATGCGAGAGAAACCCGAGCGTCTCTATCGTCTTCCAGGAACCCCTTACCCCATCATGGGGGCCACACCAGTCTCAAATATCTTCACGATTGAAACTCAGAAAGCCAAGGCAGGCAAAGTTGCTATCGAATCTTCAAGCCTTTGGCGAATTTTCGTTTTGAAGAGCTTCTGTATTTGCGAGACAATTCCGTGTCCATAGTAATCAAAGCCACCAGAACAAGTCTATTTCCAACATTTTGGCGGCAGTGATGACCTTCACATTCGGAATTACGAGTCCGCTGTTTCTAATGAGAGTAGTTAGAATATGAACCAATGCGATTGTTGAGATACCCTGCGACTGTTGACGAGACGACGTGGTTTTTGGCGCCAATCAGTCTTGCGTGTAATCATATATGAAATCATTTGAACTTTCGTGCAAATACACAACATTATAACGACAATAGGGTAAACAAATTTCGGCAGAAGTCGTTGAGAGGCTGTAGACCTTCTATATCAGCGATGCTCGTGACACATCTACATAGTTTGAGAGCACACCCAATGATACGAAAGACTATGCGTGAGACTGGACCACTGATTGCTAGTCTTGCTAACGTCATTCTAATATCAGCCGACAATCTTGAATCTTTCGATCTCGAGCAACTGGTCGCTTCAGTCTCATTAGATCTATCGTTATGAACGTGTACAACGTTTCTGAAATAGTGTAATCATGTTTACTAAATATAGCGTAGCGTAACCCTTGCTCCAGGACCTATCATACAGGGCGGATGTTATTCAGTACACATAGGGTCTCTACAGATCCCCTTCAGATAGATGCCTGCCGCGACTCATTTGGGCCGCAGCCATTGCCGATTTACGTTTCAAAAATATACGGTAACATGCAAAGCCACATGCGCAAATGACTCTAAAACTATATCGATTGCGATTGAAGAGTCCTGACCCTCCAAAAATGGACTATTTCTTCCGTTGCAAGGCTTTTTCATAATGGCGAGATTTGAATTTGGGCCTTTCCAAAACAGCCCTACGAGAGCAATGGCTTGAACGGATACGGCTGGAACAATAGGGGTGGACAGGAACTAGATGCGTGGATGGCATTTTCAGAGATAAGCATAGCCGTTGCTTTGACACTGCATAAGCTCATTTGACGTGTCTTACGAGCGTATTACCGAACTTGGATAGTCAGCTCAGGAACAGTGGCCACAATGGATGGGATTGCGATCAACTCAGACATTGATTCGGAACACGATATCTCGGCGGGAGGCTGTTGCTCCGGCACGCCCAGCCAAATGGATCATATCCAAAAAATGGCGATGCAGTCAGCCTGGTGTTTGCATGCGCTTGTTGCTTTACTTCGGATGACCACTTTGGGAGGCCGCATGAACTTGGCAGATGCCCTGCAATATAAGGGCGGCACATGATGAGTTCATTTCCGGTAACGAGCCTCATCTACGATGGGAGGCCGGATTTCCCGACCTAGAAATGTTGAACTAAAGGAGAACCGCAACAAGTACGGAAAAATTCAGCTGGCAGTATAGAGTTCAGGCCTAGATATGCCTACTGCAGGTCCTGGAAGGTGCCGTCATATCAGAATCCAATCAGATAGCTGGCGCATCCTTAGCTTGAACCCGATCCTGCCACCACCCCCGCCTGCATGCGGCAGGCCTCCTCCAGCAGTGGTTCATCGTGGCTCGCAGTCGCTCATGCATGTCGCATCAGAAGCAAGCAAGTCCGTCTCACCCAAGGCCATGTAATCCACTGGCAGGGCTGACGCCAAGGGCGCACATGGTCTTGGCATGATCAGTTCCGACAGGAAAAGAATATTTCAGAGGCGCGACCTCAAGGTTCATGTGCGTCATCTCGTATGCTGCAGCGGTTCGCGCATACGATGTTAGTGTCCTGTGAGCCGCAGCATCACACCACCGTTGGTGACGTTGAAATGACAACCGCCTGGTTGTTGCAAGTGAAGGGCCCCATCGTTAGTGCAGACCCGAAAATGTCCTGCACGGATTATTTTGTTTTGTACTGCTCACACTACTGGCCACAATATTGCTGAACAACCCATCCACTTGTCTGCCAGAATGGGAGACTACACCCGGGAAGTTAGTGGGCAGCAGGAATCACGCAATTTCAGGGGCGTCTGAGCATATCATTCTACTGCTTGCTTGTTCAACAGCCACAACGATGAAGGGAGGATTATCCCGGGCTGCCCGCAGCTTGAGTAGTGTGAATTTGTCAGATTAATGTGAGCTCTAGCTCGATGGTACTTTCAGGGTAAAATAGGATATCTTGTTGTTCTGACCTGACCAGTCTCGGATCAGCCGAATGAGTGGAAGGAGGCAAAAGGTGCAGGAGGTGAACCCGCCATGATCCTTCGCGAATAATTCCATAGTATTGATACTCGCAACAGTTTATGAAGGTTTAGCGTATTCTCGTGATCGTCATTCCTGCGCCCTCATGAGCGTTTCTGCCCCATTTCCTCCATGCCAATGTCATCCCAATCCTCGCCTAGTTCCCCTATCTTCCTGCCAACCCAAATCCCGCCTGCAGTTGCAACGCTGGCTAGTAGGAACCAGCCTTCAAACCACCTATCCACGAAACCTGGTTCCAGCGCGCTCTCGAGTGCGTCCCCAACCACACTTCCAACCTCCTTGGGCAGATTGCTGCGCAAGAGAAGGGCGGCCGAGATCACGTAGATAGCGCTGATCTGCCCGATGAGGAGCGCAAGATTCGCCTGGGCGTGATAGAGAAGGCCCGGTGTCCACTTGGCAAAGAGGTGGAACGTCTGGAGCGCCGAGTTCGCACTGGCGGCTAGAATAACGCCAGACAGAAGGAACGAGATCTGTCGCGCCCAGGCTATCTGGTCCAGCTTGGGATCCCAATGCTTGGCGAGGAGGCCGAGGAAGCGGTTGATCGGGTCCGACGAGGAGAAAGAGGCAGACGGGTAGTAGAATCTGCGCAGCGTTGTGAGGCTTGTCGCCGCAATGCGGTACATGCAATAGAGGCTGAAACCATATGTCGGAATCAGAAGTAGTTTTCCCAGCGGCGTCGCGGCACGTGCTGAATTCGCCTGGCGTGAGCGTAGCTGTGACAAGGAGTTGGAGAGGTTCGCTTCCATGGCTTCCAAACCATTTATCTCGAGCTTGAGGCCACGGATTTCTGCTGCTGCACCGCCGCCTCGGAAAGACCCTACCACTTTGGTGAAGAAGCCGGACTTCTCCGCAGAGGAAGTTTGCGCCACGTTGCGTTGTAGGGCCTGTAGCTGATGGCGTTTGGTGAGGAGCATTTCGTTTGTAGCATCGAGACCGGCCTGCTTTCGGGCAATATCTGAGTCGGACACCGGTCTTCGGGAGGCCTTGCTGCCGAAGGTGTGCCATGGCGATGAAACCGAGGCGAAGCCAGAGAGGAGCGCCATGAGAGAGATGCCAATAACACCTATCCGTTCCAGACATGCACGTGCGAGTGTCCTGGTACTTTCGCTTGCCATATTGGCCATCTTGCTGCTGCTGCTCGAGCGTGCTGTGTCGGCCTCAACCGGCACCAAGTTGCCAAGGGACCAGAACGCAAACAGCCATAGTCCGAACACGGCAAACTGGAGTATCCAGGCCGTGCGTGGGATGCGGCCCTTGGACGTCCTCTGAAATGACCACCCCGAGCCAGATATCAAAGACTGCAGTTCGAGAAACGGTATGACGACAATGAGGAAGAACAGCAGCGCAGGTACGGTGATCCGGAGGGCTGTCGCCCGGGCATGCGGGTTCACCAGCTCAGATATCTCGCACAGTATGAGCTCGGCCAGCACCGAGGCCAGACCGACGGTCGTCGAGAAGGCGGCAGCGGCCACCCGTCGCCGGACGGACTTCAGGCCGTGTTCGGCGTGGGCCTGCTGCAGCGAGAGCGGGGCATCGGAGGGCAGGAAATGGTCCTCGCCATCGCGGGAGTGCTGCACACGCGACAGCTGCGGGAAGATATTGCGCAAGACCAGGACGAAGACGACGCCGAAGGTGACGATGAAGGGCGTCAAAGAGATGAGGGTCGAGAGGGTGGAGGACGAGCCGAGGCCCGGCGGCGCGCAAGCATCGTCGCCGCAGCCCGGGCTGTTCAGTTTCATGGGTGTTCGTGGGGCGGCGGGCTGCTTAAGTCTGGCAGTCGTATCGTCGCCTAAGGAAAGGACAGTTCGCCGATGGGATGGCCAGTCTGGTGGCGGAGTGCGCAATCATGTCATTCTACGCAGTTGGTTCGTAGGGAGGAGAGGAGGGTCGGTCCGCAGCTCCCGGCGCGCAGGGTTCGCAGGGTTCGTCGCAGGGTCGCAAGGTCGACGCGTGTGTAATCGGACGCCACTACCGCGAGTTTGATTGCCTGCGAGGCATGTTTGGTTTAGCCGTCGTTTGTGGTCGTCCGGATTTGAAACCCAGAGTGCAGCGTGTTCCACATTAATGATATCGAGCGGCCAGAGGATGACGACGGCAACCTGTGCACGGTCCACAACTGGGCTCAGGTTCCTGGTCCGGGGGCCATGTTGTTCCTGGTCTGGGGCCATGTTCCTGGCGAATGGCGAGGGGACAGCTTTGACAGGGGCCAAGACGTTCCCGTGGGCCCGGGGTACGGCAACTCCCACTGGAAAGGCCAACGACCTAGTTATCTGCCCATGCACCTAAAGTAGGCTGCCGATGGCGAACTGCGATCGACCGGCCTGACGAATCAAATCTATTTGCGGATCTGACTTTCTTGATGCTGATTGGCCACCCTAGGCCCGATCGTTCACCCCCTTGGTATAGAACTCATCGACTTCTGTGAACCGGCTTGGGGGGCTACCCGTCCCGCAGTGATACAAATATTTGGTGGAAACCTTGGGACGATATAGTCCCGCTAGATCATGGCTCTGGGCTTAGTTGAACATCAGTAATAGACACTGCTGGAACGTGTGGACGTAATTCGTTGCGGTCATTCACTGAATTCATATGCGTTTCCAGAAACGCTCTACAGTCAAGAGGTGGATTATACGTGCCCAATATTATCTCTTGCCTAGAAGATGGACTGCATCATAAAGCTTGGAACGTCGCTCTCTAGCTGCTACGGGAGGTATCTCCACTCCAGGTCTCGGGGTGAATCGTGAGGGATATTCCGCCTTCCAGGCGGGACCCTCGCCCTTTTCAACTTCCACCACGCAGAGCAGGCCGACATACTTGACAGGGTCCAACGGAAGGCTGTCTATTACCTCGATGTCTAGAGCAGTACGCGTGTGGGAAATACGTGAAGCCCACTATGGCCATGAATATAATGCTTTCCACGGAAGAGCGAAAGCATGCCCCTATCAAAAGAGTTCACACCAGCAACATGTCTCAAATTGCCGCCACTTGTACTAAGTAAGAGTAGATATACGGGCTTTCCAACTACTTAGGATGTATTGCTAGCGAGGACGAGGCTTTGAACAAACTCAGAGGGTCTGAAAGGGCCCGTTTCTAACTATAAAGCTTCACTTGGGCCATTGTACTCGCTCTGTGGAAGTTTCTCGCTAGAACCATTCTCTCGATATCAGAGAAATATGATACACAGTCATAGCTCAAGCTTGCCCTTTTCCAAATGAACAGGGGAAAGCATTATATTCATGGCCATAGTGGCCTTCATCCTCATCTTTATTAACCCTCATATACAGAAAACTCCGAATTTTCGTTGTGCCATCGGTTCTTGTATCATAATGACCGCAGCTTAGAGACCTTGAAATAATTCTGGACTGATGCCCTGACAACGCTCAGCTTAGGCGAATGGAGGGCCAAGACGGGTACGACGCAGCTCTTCTGGAGTCTGAGTTCCCTTACTAGGACATCCGCTTGAAAGTTAAGCTCCGGGTAAGTGAGCTACTTTGATCTCCAAACTCGAGAGTTGGGCGAGGAGAATGAGTTTGGACACTCTCGGCAAATAATGCAGGAACTGTAATTGGAACAGTCGTGGCAGGAGACTCTGGCTGTTGAATCAAGAGCTTCCTATTATGCTCAGACAACACTTGTACTGGACGAAAGGCAGTTGCCAACTTCACCCTTGCCACTCGCATCCTTGATCGCTACAACGAAGTACTGTATAGAGCTTCGGCATAGCTTCTGGGAACGGCATCCGTATGCCGAACAGTGATCTACAAGACCCGGATATCGCTGATAGATACCGCTAATGGAAACTTTGAGAGTCCTGATGCGATACACGGGGGGTTGTCTAGGTTTGTGTGAGTAAGCGCTGATCCAATATCATTGATTCTGACTGGCACCATACTGTCCTCGGTCCTGCCAAAGCCTATAAATGTGTCGCGGCTAGCATTATTGTGAAGCCTGTCTAAGTCTGCAAGGAATCCTTAAGTCTCGGCAGCTGCTCCTTTGGGGCCTGTCCTCAGACAAAGTACGTTTGGTCTAGACATCCAACAGACGGTCCAGTGCCCTAAAGGCTCCTGTCGCGATGCACAGGTACAAATACAGCTTCGTCTGGGCCCGTATTTGTAGTGAGTACAAGTCCCCAGAGCAGCTCTAAGACAGTGCGCTTGGAAAATCTCTTTCCTTCAAAAAGGGGGGGGGGGGGACATGTTATAAGCTGGAGAATCGAAGTTTAGAATAAGTAAGCTGAGAGTGTGTATTTCTCTGCTAACCAGAGAGAGGGAAAGCGAAATACTCGGGTTTCGGGCTCTAAGCTGAAGAACAACCCCGGCTCCCTCGCCATACTCAAATCTGGGGCTACATACACCGTGTTGGACCCAGATGTTCCGAAGCAGCGTAGCAAGCAGCTTATCGAAGCCTGTGACACCTATGGAACACAAGAGACGGCCGTATTCGCCGGTGCCACGCTATACAGTCCTACTTGTATCACCTACACCTCAGGCAGTACCGGCCGGCCGAAAAGAGTCAAGGTGCCGCGCCGTTCAGCAGCAGCGGTTGTGCGTAGTGTAGCGATTGCAGAGGGTGGTTATGAATTCGATTGGAGTACGCTACAGTCTACTAACTACGTGTTCAATGCATCTGTTTGGGGGGTTTTCGATACTCTCAGCACAGACGGGTCACTATGCATGCCTTGAACTGAGGACCTGCTTTCAGATGTTGCGGAATGTATCAATCGCATTGGTGCCAGACAGTATTATTACGCCAAGTGTAGCTAAGTTGATTCATCCAGAGGATGTCCCTTGCTCCAAGAAACTGATTGTTGGTGGGGAGCTTCTGACGTTGGATGTTGTCGAAACGTATGGAAATCATTTTCAGATACTCAACGTGTATGGCTCAGCCGAGGCATCCATGGTAGTAACAATAAAAGACCCTGAAAAGAGTGGACGGACAGGCAATATTGGAAGCCCATTCCCAACCATCACGGGTTTCATTCTTGATCCAACCGATCGGCCTTGCGTCCATATGGAGCCGTGGGCGAGCTCTATATCGCTAGCCCTCAGGTGACAGAAAGATACAATAATCGGCCGGACCTGACGGCAGCAGCTACGCGACGACGAAGTTTGTCGGACAGCAGATCTATTGCACTGACAACTTCACGCACTGGCTGCTGCTAGCGAGATCGAGTTTCTTGGGCTAGTGAAACGATGCAATGGCGCTCGTGGCTGGGCTGAGAAACAAGCCGCATCTTGTGACCTTTTACATCTTTATCGATGACTCCCACGCTAGATCCTGAAAAGTTCAGTGAGTCCAGTAATCAAATTTCAGAGTTGCAGCAGCAACTCGGTTCATCGGCTTCCTACATGGTAATCAATTTCTTGGTGCCTATCAATGCCTTCCCCAAACTGCCTTCACGCAAAATTGGTCGCAAAGCACTGAAGCGGTTAGAAAATGAAGGACTTGATGTTGACTGCTTGGCCCGATGCACCTTTGAAGGAGCCGATGACAGTAACATGGGCAGTTCGAAAGTGGCGCCTGTAACCACAACCGCCGGCCGAGCATCAGAGACGATATGGGCTGGAATATTCAGCTTGCCTACAGAACAGTTCGGCCGAGAGGCGAATTCAATTTCCCTGGTGGCGATTCAATCACAGCAATCACAATTGCTAGCGCGGCCCGCCAAACTGGATACGTATTGACTATCCCCAGTATTCTCAAGCTCCACAAGCTGAAGGGCCTCGCTGAACCTATGCGCAACTTTGGTACTACCAGTGACACATCTTGGCAGATATTCAAGCTACCTGAAAATTTGCAATCTTCTGCCGAAGCCACCCACCGGGTTACTCTGGAAGGAAGACGTTGATCACGGTAATTCGAGATGCCGGGCTCGGTATTCTCGCATCACGTACCAGGCTCTCCTGGCATGAGCACGTTGCTGGACTTAGAATGCTAACTGACAATGCACGACTCTCCATTCTTCTTCTCCGCTAATCAATCCTGGGCTGAAATCTCCCAAGCATATCCAATCACCGCTTGGCAGGGCAAAATCCTTACGCCGGGTGCCAAGGGGTCACAGATGTTGGTACTTCAAACTTTCCGTCGAATGCCAGCAAGCGTCGACCAGGGTAATTGGGTCCGAGCGACAATCGAGCTGACCCGGTTTTACAACCTGGCTTCAGATCACGGACGGCGACTGGGTCAGCGTCCTCCTCTGAAGCTCGGACCTCAATATCATAAAATTGGAATGCGTGAACGACGGGGATCACACGGCCCTTGTTGAACAGATTTGGGAACAGCATTTCGGGTTCGGAAGACCTTTCAGTCGAAACGCACAGTCTACACAACCGCATGGTCGCGATACCTGGTAGTCAAGATGGATCATGCTGCGTAGAATGGAACACTTCTCCGCCTCTTAGCCATTTTGCTGTAATCCTACGAGTTATAAGGTAAGCCAATGCCACGCCATGGTAAGTTTACCAGGTTGTGTCTTCCAGGCAGACAACAAGAAGGACCTAGAATACAGGCCCCAAATTCTTTCTGCCAATATTCCCAGCAAGCGGCAGCCTCCCGGGCAAGGTCATGGGGTCGGCGAAAGTGAAACTTTCAATATTGTCGCGCCGAAGAACACATCTCTGCAAAGCATGGTCGTGAAGGGCGAATCCAAAGTACGGATATTCTAACTTTATGTGCTCATTATTGGGGTGTCAAACACTAGGGATGCACCACGTGCTTAACATGATATACGACAAAAACTACTACGAGAGACGTGCTGTGGACAAGATTTGCACAAGACATCACGGCGATCGTAAATGCAATGTTGGAAGACGAGAGCGAAAAGCGTACCTTTGGGAAATTTTTGATAGTGGGCCCTCGGGCACAAGATCTATTCGCCTTGGTCTGATGAACAGCTATACTTGAATTTGGTGAACGGAAAGGGAAGGCATGAACCAGCCTGGTTCCAGACTATGGATGAACTATAAGCATACGAACGTGGTTGTCGAAGGTAGTAGAAACGGAAGATTAAATAAACTTGCTCATTTCACTCTGACCCTTGTGATCTAACCCGACCCTTTGCAGGGCTGATGACTCAAGGTAGCCTGATTGTTATTGAATCCGGCTGCAGTTACCCTGACTATATTACAGGCCATTGTCCGATACCCTCGTCATGATCGAGATCATCCCGGCAGAACCAAATCTCCCTTCAGGATTAGTGCGCCAACATTGCTTGTGCTAGGAGGACCTCATATCAATGATCTGATGGAACTTGGACCAGAAGCTTTGATTCCACACGATGGCAACCTTGCGTCTGTCCGGGAAACCCCCCAAGTGGATGGTCTACACTTCACCAAAAGACCTGCTAGAAGGTTGACTGACCTGCTTGATGTGCGCTCTAAGATATCCAAATGTTGTCTTGCTATCATTGCTACTATACTGCTCGAAATTGACGGTACGATTTGCCCGTGCGATAGAAGTGACCGTATTCCAAATATCCCGGTGTGCATCTTGTACGGTGATGCATTGAAGAGGTCGAGGTCAATGGCTTGGCTAACAACTGCAAATGGCCAACATTACACTATTGCACTATTGGCTCACTTTGAAAGAACCAGGGGGGAGGGTGGTTTGCATTGATAGAGATGCTAACAAGTGTTGGATGTTACACTTTTGAAGGGAACAATATCATAGCTGAGCAAGCCATGTAAAACTGAAGTAGTAATTGAAATAGAATTGCAAGATAAGGCCAGTGAACTCGCTGTGCGATTAGTAACATAACCGGCACTCCCAGCACTCTAGTTTAGCTGTGATATTGATGGCGCACCTAAGGTTCACCGATCCACGTTTATCCCCCTAGCCAAAGTGAGCCACCCTCCTTCAGGACAGTGATACCCGACTCTCACTGCGTCTGCGGAATATCCGGAAGGATTTGGGTCAAACATAGCAGGGCTAACTAGCATCATACTCATATGTTCCATTCTGGACGAGCTAGTCCATAATTTGAAGCAATTTGAGCCCATGAGCTTCTTTACAAAAGCCGATCGATTTGATGGTATCGTTTCGCGAATTGACGGACATGCTTTTTAGGCACGGCCACTCTTTGTAACATCACGTGAGAGTAAAGCGGCGGCGACAACGATAATTACTGCCAAGGGATGCTAGAAACCTTGGCAACCATTTACCAAAATCTTACTGCCATTTTGTCGTGGCAGAAGCAAGCTGGCTTGCTTGCGTAGGCTTTACGAGCGTTAGGCTGAGATGGCGTAGTATAGCGTCCCCTGGCTGACTGACTGCCCGATATTGAGCAAATTGCAAGGTGGCAGCTCATCGTATATTCTAAGTGCCTGAACCTCGTGGAGGGTCGGATTACCCGTTCAAGTGAGACACTTCAGGCGGGGAATACTTCCAGATCAGACAAGCGCCGTCGAAAGCGTAAGTACCGCTACTGGGGCTTGATGGCCCGAGCGGGCCGCTGAGTTGAGAGCTGCCGGGGCCATCAGCCCATGATTTGGCATCAACTCTCGTTCCCACTCGTAATCGGCATATCCTACTGGCTACTTTCTACCCCTGCTGATCGGGTATGGGATACCTAGGATCCAATGCTGGTAGAAACCGATGCTGGCTGCGGTCTGGCCAGGAGAACTTACACTAAAACTGTGAACCTGCATAAGACCCATGGTTATATGTTCAACTTTTTCTCCTGCGTGAACCTGAGACCTACCTTACCGTACGACATCGGTCGGGTATCGCAGTGTGAAGCGAACTCACTTAAAATACACATTGAAAGTTTCCCCCATATCTCTTGACAATGGCAGTTCTTGCGGCCAACTTCCTGATGCTTCTATGACCTGCATGGACAACAACGTTCGGACTTCCGTGGACGCCTAAGAGCAACATAGCGAGGAGAACTCACCATGTCTACACTCGTAATTGATCACTCATTGGACTACGAGGACCAGTCCGGCCAACTCATCGCCGGCGCAGTTGCTTTTGGGATCGTCTCAACTCTGATAGTCGGCCTGCGACTGTACACTCGTCAATTCATTCTTCGTACTATTGGCCCTGATGATGCGCTGATCGCTGTTGCCCAAGTAAGTACCTACGCGCCTTGGACGTCATGATCATCCACAGATAGAGTGCGGAGAAGCTGATCAATCGTCAACAATAGACTCTTGCAATTGCCGTCTCAGTCTTGTCAGTGATTGGTAGGACCATCCAAACTCCCCAGAACCAGTTGAAGAATGGACGAACAAGTACTGATATTTGGATCATTATAGAGGCAAAAAACGGTCTAGGTCGCCATGTCTGGACTTTACCTGTTGACGGGGAGCTGACCCAGGTCAAGGTGAACACAGCACCGCCGAACCATCTCGGGGAAGACAATCAGCTGACTCGATGGCCAGATCCTCTATTCTGTCATTGTATTTTACAACACGGGGATGAACATCGTGAAACTATCGTTTCTATTTTTCTACCGGCGCATCTTTCAGGATGGGCTTGTTAGGAAAATCTGCCTCGCATTCATCTACTTCACCATAGTTTTCACCATAGCGCAGCTTCTTACCTTGTTGCTGTCCTGCTTTCCCTTGGCGGTCATTGTACCCTCCGTGAAGACCAGATGCCTGGACACGTTGCCAGTCTGGTATGCATCGGCAGCCATCGCAACCGTTCTCGACTTTTCGATCTTCCTAATACCGGTGCCATCCGTCATCAAGCTCAACCTAGTGATAAAGCAAAAAGTGGCACTATTCTTTGTCTTCTGCCTCGGATTCTTGTGGGTTACGCATTGCCTTCCCGTCTTCTATCCCAATGGCTCGGCTTCAATTATAGCTAACAGAATGTAGTACATGTGTTGTCTCGGTGATCCGAATATTTACGCTACATCGAGCTATCGTCACATCAGACCCGACCTGGGACGGGGCAGAAGCCGCAACGTGGACCATTATCGAATTCAACTGCGGTATCCTCGCCTCGTCGCTCCCGACCCTACGACCATTATTCCGGCGCTTCCTCCCGGGCACCTCGCAGGACCGGAGTGCCAATCCGGCCTACGAAATGTATAGCCGTAGCGGAAGGTCCAAACTACGATCAACCAACCGATCAGAGCCATTCAGAGAGCCGCACCCCCAAACCACCAGCCACCTGGGCAGGAGCGAAAGCATGGAACATCTCAAGGATGACGTGGCAGCCTTGGGTTTTCCAGACAGTGAGGACCGCACTGGCACTATTACTGTGGCGGCCTATGGTGTGGGCGACACTGCCAGGTCGACGAAACCGGGAGGGGATTCGGAGACGAAGGGGTACAAGGGCATTCAGGTCACCAGAGAGATGCTTGTGACTGTGGAGAAGGGCCAAGATCAGGGAAAGAAGCCGTGGAACGTGTAATTGAAGCCCTCGACAGGGGCCAGCTGGCTGGAAAACCTTGTTCCGAAAATGTGACGGCCTCTGATAGCGTCGCGGCGTACCCATGTGTGCTGACTGCTATTTGGCTCATTCCAAGGCAGCGCACCTTGCGAGATCGCGCGAGTCAGCTGTCTAACCTTGGAAGTTTTACAACAGCACGAGGGTATGAACTCTATTTTCAATACCCTTTACCCTCAGGGTCGCCTTGCATGATACCAAAACAAACCGATACTTCTTGGCACACGGCTTCTCGCGATCTGATACGTCTCCCCACACGTTCTAATCGTTAGCGGCGTGGACCCTTGCTTGTAAGGACAAATAGAACACCGCCATCTGCGTTAAGCGAGATATCACCACGAGGCACATCTGTTCCTTGGGTTTCTGCAATAGTGGGTGCGGCTCAAAGGCGTGTCAATCCGTCGATCTTAGGCGCGCCAATCGTTTCCACGATTCGGTATAATAAGGTTATTCTAGTCGATCAAAGACCCGGCCAAGTGATTCAAACATAGTTCAATATGCGGTGCAGAAGCACGTGTGGCTCTGTTTATTTCAGCTCTCGGCGTCCGTGCCTCATCCAACTACTGTAGGTCAGGTGTAGGACTGACAGTATCTGTGTCGTTGCCCATCAAAGGAGCCAATGAAGATCGCGATGATGCGTGAAACCCCTCAGCTAGTCCCGCGCTCTGTTCTCGTATTCTCAATATGTTTTATCCAGCACACGTCTCCCACAAGAATACAAACAAATTGACACGATTTCAAAGCGAAATAGTTCTGCGGTAGGGTTGAATTGGAGAGGAGGGACTTGTTTAAACGACACCTGCTAGCTTGCTGACGCGGTGGGCCACGCAAACCAACCCCAGTATCCAAAGCTTCTTTCAACTCCCCTTTCCCATTCCACCATCCCAAATAGGGTGAGAATCTCCGCATTGTTTTGCCCCTGATTTCATAGGGCATAAAGTGGCTCCTCTTTTGAGTCGCACTGATGGAACAGACATTCCTCCCTAAAGAACTTGCTTGCACTGCACTATACCATAGTAGTAAAGAAGCATGCATTCCCATGTCGCTCCGGCAGTGGAGTTCGATATCCCCACGCAAAATGCACAGTTGGGGCCAAAACTAGTAACCCCTGCAAATCAGGGGTCCTCCACAAGGTCCTTTCCCTGGCTCCGGCTCTCGCGATTCGCTTCAGTTATCCGAGATGGCTACAATCCACTGGGGTTCTTTCAGGGGATATCCCACAAAATATCCTTTTCCCCTTTCCCGGCGCGATGGTGCACCGTAAAGGGGTTAAAGAGATATTGGGTCGACCCCGGTTCCGTCCACATGGCCAATATCTAGTGTTGGAACTCTAACTATTGTGTATTGCTGCCCCCGGCCGATAGTTGTTCGGCATCGTAGACCTGATATGGTCGTTCATGACCGAGTCTAATTTCGCGTGGGTGCTCGGTTACGTGAACGGCAGTCGTTCTAGCAATATAGCCACCAATGGCTGCCGTGTTTGCACTGATACATAAACCGCCCTTGCGTATTTGCGAAGTCCGAGCAAAGCAGCTTGTAAACCACTGCGCCGGAACTTGAGCCTCATTTGCCAAGATGTTGTACTCGACGCTGGCGATCTTTTCGGGTCTTCTGACCCTTGCCAGCACGGCGGTCTGTCGCCCTCGCGCGGATATGTGTTCAGTGGCTGCTCTGTCTTCGGGTCTTGGCTCTAATGCTACTGTGCTGTCCGCCACCTTTGTTGCCGCCGGAGGGTCATTCGGGGAGGGCACCGCAAACCCAGCATTTCCGATCAATCCAACTCACCTGCCCGCGACATGCGCCGTCTTGGTCAACGTGACTACGACATCCACCTCGTCCTTCCGCTTCGGACTCTTCCTGCCAACGACGACATGGAACGAGCGCTATCTCACGGTGGGCAACGGGGGCTTCTCTGGTGGCATCAACTGGCTCGACATGGGCGCTGGCTTGCAGTATGGGTTTGCCGTCGCCTCTACTGACATGGGGCACAATTCGTCCATCTTCGATCTCAGCTGGGCCCTGAACCAGCCTGAGAAACGCAACGATTTCGGGTATCGCGCTACCCATGGTACAACTGTCATCGCAAAGAGCCTTGTCCGTACGTTCTACGGCAGTGCCCCCAAGTATTCATACTACTCTGGGTGCTCAACCGGTGGAAGACAGGGCCTGAAGTCGGCACAGGTCTATCCGGAGGACTTCAATGGCATGCTGGTCGGCGCCCCGGCGTACTGGACCAAGAGACTGCAGACTTGGACGACGAAGCTTGGCCTTTACAACCTTCCCGAAACTGGACCCAACCATGTCGGCGCAGAGATGTTCCCCGTGCTGGCAGCCGAGGCCATCCGGCAATGTGATGCCGTCGATGGTGTTACCGATGGCATAATCAGCGCTCCGCAAAAGTGCAAATTCAACCCGGCAACCTTGTCGTGCAATTCGACACAGACAACCAACTGTCTCAGCTCCGCTCAGCTCCAGACCATCCAGAATGTCTACTCTGACTACACCATCAACGGGCAGCTTGCCTTTCCCGGCTTAGAGCTTGGCTCTGAGGCACAATGGGCCGTATTGCTCTCAGGCAGCACGCCTAATCCTCTTGGCTACGAATACATCCAGGACTTCTTGCTCAACGACCCCAACTGGCCCTTTGAGAGCTATGACGACTCACTCGTGGCACTTGCCGACAAGCTTGACCCGGGCTCCTGCACGGCCGACAACTACGCCGCCATGGTAGGCTACCAGAAACGCGGCGGCAAGGTGCTCATGTACCACGGGCAGTCAGACGGGCTGATCTCGACACGGTCGTCGACGCACTTCTATGAGAGCGTCGCGTCGACGCTCGGAATAGGCGGTACCAAGGGGCTGAACTCGTGGTTTCGCTTCTTTCTCGTCCCGGGCATGCAACACTGTACCGGCACGGCTGTCGACGCACCTTGGTACTTCGCCGGAGGCAACCAGGCCGGCGCCGTCGGCACGGATGTCTTCTCGGTGCCAGGGTTCACGGATGCGAAGCACGACGCACTGATGGCATTGATGCAGTGGACAGAGAACGGGACGCCGGTTGACAACATCATCGCGACAACGTGGAAGAACTCGACGGATCCATCGTCGGGTGTGTTGAAGCAGAGGCCGTTGTGTCCTTACCCTTCCGAGGCAGTCTACAAGGGCTCGGGCGATGTCAATGCTGCGGCTAGCTGGAAATGTTCCTAAGCGTTCTTCGTCCGTACTACCGGAATATATTGGTTGGCAAGAAATTCCCATTGCTACGTGACGCGCCAACCCTTAATGTCACTGTAAATAGGCCAATTAGTTCTACATTATTTTTAATAAAGCACTTTAAGCTTAAGGTCTCTTGTGCCTTCAACTTTGCTGTACTAGCGGGAACATTTGATCGGCTTCGTGTGCTGATAGTGAGTCCGACGATAATCTGACCGGTTTAGACACCTGCCATTGGTTTAGACGTACTCTTATACTAGTTGTTGAGACTTTCACGACAGGTGGCGTAGTGCAAGAGGTTAGCTCTGGCAGGTATACTGTAGTTGAGGGTTCAATTCATTCTAACGTAGTTGATCAAGGATATCACGATTATATGGCCTCTTGAGCCCCTCTAAAAGAAACGTTGTATTACACACATTGAGTAACCTTACGGAAACATACACATTTAAGTGTCGAAGATAATAAAATCCTCCATAAACTTGATGCTTACGTTCAATATGCTTAGTAGCGTATTTCTACCGGCCACTCCTTCTTCATTTTTCTTTTCGTCCATGAATCGGCCAAGTACCTGGAAATCCTGAATCAAGCGGTGCGGATCGGTCAAATTTTAATTCTGTTATAATCTCGTGTCCCTTGCATCCTCAATCAGGTTGGTGTTCATCAAACTTCGTCAAAACGTCATCGAGCTCAGGCGTATAGTCGAGGTAGACGATTTTCACACTCTTGTATGCTCTGATACTGGCTAATAACTTATCGTCTACGTCTTTCACAGTAAAAATAACATCCCCAGGCTCCACATGTAGCTCATCGAAAACATGCGATATATGTGGCTGGATATCCTGGCCAATTGCCGTGCTTAGGTCGCTGATAGAGTGGCCGGGGAAGAGCAGGATTTGGTAGAATTTGGGGATAACTTGGAGACCGCTGTCATCCTCCATGAGCGGTGCCTCGTATGGCGGCTCATTCTGCGAAATGCTATCTCCAGCGCTGATTTTGCGCCAGGTAAGAAGAACGGCAAAAGTTGCGACCAGTACGGTGAACACGATTCCGCGGTTCTTTAGCTTACGCATTTCGATGCAGACGTGAAATTTGTGCGATCGATGATTGAGATTTCAGGCTCCAGCGGTCCCTTAATGAACAGCAAAACCTGGCGTCATATGATGCATGCGTGCGGCACCAACGAAGTAATCTAAAAATAGTGCACAATTACATGCTTTGTGCCACGTATTGTTTGATGAATGAAGCGTTCCGTATCCATTCCTCTCCTTTTCAAGTGGCACCTTATGAACTCGCTACAGTTCCTATACACCAGGAATCCACGAATCGTATCAAAATATCATCAAATTCAAGACATCCGGTATGCGCGTTGCGTTACTATCCTCCATAGGGCTAGTCTGTGGCATGGGCTTGTCAAGATCTGAACCACTGGTACCCTTCTCAGAGGGCAATGACGCTTTAAAGATTGCAGATCGCTATATTGTTGCACTCAAGGATGGGCACACTCTACAGCAACACTGGGCTACTATTGGCAAGGATTTATCCCAGGAAGGAAAAGACTTCCGATATATGGAAGCCATTAACGTCTACGGCGTGACCCTCGACGATGCAAACATCATACACTCCAGCGTACGACATGATACAGGTGTGAAGGGAGTTACATGTACGTGTTCTCAGTTACCAAGTCGATTGAGTCTATCCAGCGGTGACTCACTCGACTTAACCCTCGCCTTCTAACGGCAAATCTGTTATACAACATCTGGCGCTCATATTAGGATTGCTTACTGTCCAAGTGGACAAGTCCGTACTGGTTTCTAATAACCACCATCTACGAACGTTTCGATGGGTCACAATCAAAGTCGACTACTGACGATATACGAAACAGTGAATCAAAGAGTGGATGAGAGTGAGTTGGAACCTAACGATGTCGAACCCGTACCTATGAAGGACAATCAAAGAACTCCTGTCGTTCGGGTGGCAAAAGAAATTGGGCAAGCTACTTGACGATTGCACCTCCCTCGAGAGCGCCCAAATTTCCGCCGGCAAAAGAATTGAAGAACACCACGAGATTGGAAGAATGTACGACTACGAGGTCATGAAATATCCACCGGCCGGGACGGGCGTGGATATCTAGATTCTTGTTATAGGAATTAACTTCTAGAATGGAGAAATTTGCCTTGGTAAAGGTGACCGTCCTTGCGGCACGAGAGCCAGGCGATTCAGGAATCTGGGAGACAACGACAAATCTCCTTACGTGGACGAGACGCTGGTGAGACGACCACAGACGAAAGTTGCCCCCGAATCAGACCCGAATAGTGATATTGATCTAGATGGATACACACTCCTACGGCACGCATGTGGCTGGTATAGGTTCTCCTTTCATTTTATACCCGCCGCTTGAACCCTTAGACCCTTGGAACCTGATTAGACCCAGACCGGTCGCTATGTACAGCCCGTTGACGAGCACATATGCATCAGATCGTACTGCCTCCAGGGTTGATTTCTTCAAGAGATTATGACGGCCATGAACTTCGTAACTGCATTCCAGTACCGCAGCCCATTCACTATGAAGGACCAGTCTAGTAAGCTTATTCTCAGAGTCACCTACTTCACACCGAGGTTACAATTAGCAGCACGAACCTGCAGCCTATAAACAGACATGTGAGGTTCCACAGATTTCACTATGGGAATTCATACTCGTTAGACGCACGCACATTGATAGCCAGTATGCACGCCCAAGATAAGGTCAGACTTTGATCGGCCAGGAGCGATAGAACAGCAGTGCTGAGTGGGGCCCGGAAGTGGCTTAGCAAAAAGAGGACCAAGTGAACCCTGGTCCCTTGTGGAGTCCGGTGAGTGTGGCGTAGAGTTGGCGGCTGTGGCTGGTGAGAAGGCTGACATAATACCCGATCCGAACAGAGGGAAGCTTCGAAAAAAGTTCGGTGTTGCGCAGCGCGGTTCTGAGCCGCTGGACTGACGATCTCCAGACATCAGGCACCTCGCAGCACCACCACCCTCTTCGAGCTGCACCATTGGAGCGCGGGGAACAGGCGGCATTCAGAGATGGCGGCCCCAAGCAGAGGCAGCAGAGCTGCTGCTTCGATACTACGGAGTAAGTCCAGTCGCTGCGGAAAGCACGCCTCGCTCTGCCGGCTCCTAACCAACTTGACCTCCAGGGCAGGCAAACGTATGCGCCAGCTGCAGGACGACGCAGTTTCTTCGCCCGTACTCGGCCACCGCCGAGGCCGCACAGCAAGCCGAAGCACACCGCCTCAAGCCGCACGAGAAGGTCCCTCACCCACCCGCCACAGCCTCGCGGAAGGCCGAATACCGCATCAAGGCCGGCGTCATAGTCACGCGGGCCCCGATGCTCACGCGTAACCTGACCCCCTTCGAGAATGCCTTCTTCTTCTACCAGAAGCGCCTGAACGAGCGACTGACCCCCGAGTTCCGCCACACGCTCTTCTTCAAGGAGAACACCGTCCCCGACTTGGACTGGCGCATCAAGTTCAACGAGCGCGGCCGTGTCCCCGCCAAGGAGCTTGGCCGCTACTTTGCCAAGGGCCGCAATGCCTGGAACGACGAGCTGCTGGTCGGCAGTACCCTCAGCGACGAGAACAGGATCAGAGAGATCTTGCTGAAAGACGCCGAGAGCCGTGTTACGGAGGATGGTGAGGAGGCCAAGCCCGATGAGATTGTGAAGCCGGAGAGACCCATGGATCGCATTACGGAGGCCGACAAGGCCAATGATGTGCGGAGGCTGGACAGGAAGATGGACAGAACTCTCTACCTCGTTGTTCAGTCTGGCAACGGTACCTGGTCATTTCCCAGCGATTACGTGCCAACGGATCAGAATCTGCACCAGGTACGACGGACACGCTCTTGTGTGGATATAACGTAACGCTGACCTTTCCCCCAGGCCGCCCAGAGAGTCCTAGACCAAGCAGCGGGTGTCAACATGAACACCTGGATGGTTGGCCGCGTTCCCGTCGCCCACTACGTTGCTGAACCACAATTCAACGAGGATACGACTATCAAGGCGAGAGGCGAGAAGGTCTTCTTCAACAAGGTCAGGATTATGGCTGGCCAGGCCAACCTGACCGGGAACACCCTGGGTTACAAGGATTTCAACTGGCTGACGAAGGAGGAGCTCAAGGAGAAGCTCCCGGGCCCCTATTTCCGTGCTGTCAGGAACATGATGGCCACTCGGTAATGAGCGAATAGGGGAAGGCTGAGCGACGGCCCAGACCCGTTGTACTACTATAGAGCCGTGAAGTGTATACAACAGCTGTATTCTACTGTACTCCACCTGCCTCTGCTCCTAACGTAACTGTTGATGAGACAAATCGTCCTTCACATCCAGAAAACTTCCAGAAAACTTCCAGAAGGCAAATGGTCCAGCGCCACATTAGCATGCTCGTTCCTACGTATGGTTTCAAGCGTCAAGTCTGGGTTGCAGGTTGATTGTTGACGATACAGTCGAACCAGTTCAGGAGTTCCCTGCAGACTCGCTGGAGCTCCTCTTTGATGCTGTTCTTGCTACCCGTTGCGCCGGCCAATAGCTCCGTGCGCTCCCAATTAATCTGCTAAGAATTTGCGAACAGCGTTTACCCAAGCTTTCACCCATGATAGAAGTTACCACGAATAAAAGAATAAAGGCTATTTACGCATCGAAGGGGGGGTAGCCATCGTTCTATCCAGGCCTTGTTCACGGATCCTCAGCATTCGTGGCAAGTGTGGGGTAGCAGTAGATACCCCTGTAGTTCCTGGATATGTCAGCCTCACACGAAACCGCCGAAGCAGAAGGGAGTTTGGTCGTAACACATCGTCCGACCTCGAAGGGAATACCTTTCCTGTCGCAAGAAACGACGTGCGTGCTATTAAGCCAGCATCTGACTCTCTGGAGGTGCCAGGATGGAAGGCTTTTGCGACTTTTGTTTGGCTGTGCTCAAGCTCATTGGCACCCTTCCGCAGCCTTCATTTAATGTATGTCGCGAGGCCAACGGCACCTTTCTTCTAAGCGAAGGTCCTTGCAGCCTTTGCAGTCTGATTGCAGGATTCTGTAGGCAAAAGGGGATCTATGAAGAGTCCGCGCTTCTGCGCGGCAACTCGCGAGATAACGTCACCTCTCTGTACTTCGATGGGCAGCCGCTGTCATGGATCAGGGTAAAGGTATTGTGGAAATAATCGTATCTTTATTTTGCGCTTGGTGTATGGGCAGATGATGGTTTGTTAGCACGCTGTGTTACCCCCTCCAAAGTCCATCTTTTGATTCTGTTGATATAGGCGCTCCTGCGGCTTCGCAGATAACCACGCACCCCCCGATCCTGGATCATGGACTTGGCGCGGCTTTCCCAGTCATCAACTCCTGGCTATCTGACTGCTTGTCTCACCACCACAAGTGTAGGCAGACAATTGGTGGGCAGAATCTGGAAGATAATGAAGTTGATCTCCCTCAACGTGTTCTTGCTCTCGTGGGGGAAAGTCCCGACTTCCGGGTCAAGCTCGTGGAAGGAAATGGGACGCGAGACCGCTACTGTGCTCTGAGTCATTGTTGGGGCACCGGAAACAACTTGCCTCTACGTACACTCAGATCCAACCTACACGACCATTTCGCCGATATCCCTTTTGAGAAATTGCCCCGGTCGTTTCAAGATGCTTTACGTGTCACTCGGGCGGTGGGCATGAAGTATGTCTGGATTGATTCACTGTGCATTATTCAAGATGACCCAAATGACTGGGAACGTGAAGCAAAGACTATAGGCTCACTATACGAAAAAGCCACCATGATCATCGCAGCGGCGGGCGCTCGAGATTCGACGGAAGGTTGTTTCCAGGTCATCCGACCTGGGTTGTCCATTATTGAAGTGCCTTATGTTGATGAAATGGGAGAAATTACAGGTTCTTTCAACGTTACCATGCTACCCTCAGAAGATGTGTCTCCCGCTTTTGGGCCGCTATATTTTCGTGGATGGGCTTGCCAAGAATGGAATATGTCTCGGCGAACGTTGTTCTTCATGCCAGGTGGGTTGAGTTGGAGCTGTAGAGATTGGTCTTGTGATGAGCGCCACGTTACGACCTTAGTAGTGGTACACCACACCAACTGGGAGGAATTCTTATATCACTATACCGAGTGTTTCCTTACATTTCCATCAGACCGACTCGCGGCAATCGAGGGCATAGCCACTGCTAGAGCGAAAGCTTGCAACGAGAAGTATATGTTTGGCACCTGGGAAGGCAATCCGTTCCAGCTGCTTTGGCGTGTACGAGCGCCTGGGGAGGCTAACGAGACCCTGGCTGGTGTCCCATCTTGGAGCTGGGCTGCCACTGGCGGATCAAAGTTCTGGCCATTTCGTGGTCATCTAGGCACAGACAGTGATGCTGTACACATGTGCAAATCTCTAAAATTCGGTGATTTGGGCAACTTGATTGGTGAGGGCCTATTTATCGCAGCCAATGTTGAGAAATGCCTGATCAGACTCTGCTGCTTTGACAACTCAGTCCTGACAGACATCTACAACTTTAATGCTGAAAGAAGCAGTACGGACGAGAGCAGTACGGGCTTCTCGTTTTGGGCAGAATTTGATCACAGGTGGCACTTTCGGATAGGGGAGCCTACACCTCTTCACTTAATGTTCAGTCAAGGCAACCATAGGAAGGCAATTGGCCTCGCTACTTTTGATGGAAAATCCGCCTCGAATGTCACCTGCCTTCTGCTGGCATCAAAGCCAAGATGGGACCCCAGCATGAAACTGGATCGGGATGAACTTTGGAATCGCATGCAACATGCGTGGAACACGCTACGGAAATGTAAAGATGTAAGCCTGCCTTGACATAGTTTATCTAGTTCGCCACTGAACGATCTAGGATGATTGTATCAACTTGCTGGAGATCTGCCGTGGTGACATGGTGTATTGGGCCCTCTTGCTCGAGCCAGTGGAAGAACAACCAAATACATTCAAGCGAATCGGGATGGCGCTGCTGTATCCTGAGTTCCGTAACTCTGTGGAAGCAGCTGAAAGGGCGTTCAAGGTCATCTGATGGTCTGAAATCCAACTCTTTCGGGCAATCACTGTTTCAAGTCTCTAGATATCGCTTTGGGGAGACCAAAGCAACTGTATACAGTCAATTAGAGTTAGAGTCAATTTCATGTCAGAAAATAAAGGTTCAATAATGGGGTATCATCATCACTCATAAAGTCAACAGCGATACGATGCACACGATACTCCTGAAGTCAACAGAAATCTACTCTGGCCTTGCTTTTAGCCACAGGTAGAAAGTGCCCTCTTCCAGGAGCGTATACTCGGCTGAGGCAAAATGCCTTTTTGCCATATCACTCCACCCACACTGCTTCCTTGCGCAACCTCAGGCATAATTGACCTCATGCAGACAACTCAAGTCTGGCTCCACATCTTTTGAGGGTCTGTAGGTCTCAGAGGATACTCGTCACCGCCCGGGCTGACCGGCTCCTTGTAGTGGTTGGGGAAGCTGCCGACGTTGCCAAGGCGTGATATACGTCGCGGCCTCGAGAAGTTCGAGAGTTCCGTGGCTTTAGAGTCTGCTTGGTTCGTGGTAGCATCGTTTGCAGAGCTCTTTCCTTTCCAGGTAACTCCAGATTTGGTGATGGTCAACGGTGGCATTAATTTGCCTAACCACGGTCGCATGGGTGGCAGGGAACCGCACACAATAATGCAAGTTAGCTCGATAAGAGACCAGACAACAGGGTCTACGTTATCAACTGTCCTAAGCGTAAGTCTTATGTGCGCTGGAATGGTTCGTTGAGGCATTGGGTGGAGTCTTACAAGTCGTATCGAAGGTTTTACTGAACTGGACCAGAAACTTGAGCCGGACCATACTCGTAACCGCGGCACTGAAAAGTTTAGTATGCAGTTTTAGGATGCGGAACTTGAGCTTAGAACTTACAAGGACGCCAGCGCGAACATGATGCCAACGCCAATCCGTTTGCGACCACCGATCTGCAGCTTTCGTAGCTCAGATATCGGCAGAATCATCAATACCAAGTCTTCCACCACCGACATGATCGCACCGCTATACCCAATCGCATTGACGTCAATGCACTTGCCAGAGACGAATCTGTTCCAGATGGCTTCGACCGGTTGGCACTGAAACGCAATGACGAACGTGAATGTTGTGAGACTAATGGCACAATACCCCAAGCACGCATAGCAAGCCCAGCGGAACCAGCGATTATTTCCGTGTCCGGTGCCGGTGAAGACGCGCATGAATAGCATGATAATGGAGACCTTGGCAATCAGCTTGATCCAGGTGTATATGATCTCGACCACGTAGAACATCTGCAGCAGCTTGGTGGCGTTCCGCACGTCAACGTCCCAGAAGTGCATACCGAAACCCAGCTCGGCGCTCGCCAGTTCGAGGCCGGCACCCACAACCAAGAACACGGTCGCTAAGATAGCTGTCCAATCGTCGCTCCATAGCCGGCCGGTGATGCTGATCCGTGCGGCGCATCGCATCGCTACGATAACTGTTGAGACGGCCAGGGTTGCGATGGCGGCCACCCGTACCTCAAAGACTCGCGATTCCTTCGGATAGGCGGCGCAAAGCGCCAAGCGCATGTTGCCGGCATCGACCTGGTCGCTAAAGACACAAGAGGTTTGGACGCAGGTTGAGAGAGAGGACTGTAGTGTCACGTTTGTGCATAGACAGTCGGACAGTAGGGTAACATTCGTCAAGGGGCAGCTTCCAGTCAGGACAGCATTGGTTACGCATGGAAGCTGGTGATTCGCAAGTGTCAGTACACGGCCCGAAGTTGACGGTTTGGGGTCTCTTCAAACTCACTGCGCATTTCGGTACCAGAGAGATCAGGTCGGCCGCTGACTGTGCCAGAGAACTGCCAGCCATTGAGGCCGCAACGAAGAGACTTACACCAATGCGCCGGAACATCATGGTGCTTGTCGGGACATTATGGCATCAAAGGTCGTTCAATGTGAAATTGAACAGGCTTGAGAGAGCTGCACCAAGAGGCGGGGGTCGACACCATTCATATTCCCATCTGTTATCAACCCTGATTTTAGTCAATGCCAGGGGTTAGATCAGCCTCAGCTATGGTTATCACGAGGGGTGGTAGAGATCAACGGTGGATCTCTCCGAGGTTGAGACGAACGTATAGATTGTGGCGGCAATCGGAATAGAGGGAAACCCCTGAAGGCACCCGAAACAACTGAGTGGGCGCTGGGACGCCAAGTGGGTTGTATCGCATCGTCAGCGCAGTCCGAGACACCAATACCTTGCCTGTTCCGGGCGTGTGGGCGGTCAGGGTTAATGCCGGCGTTACACCTGGACCCGGTAACAGAGATCTGGCTCTGCCACCCTTGTCCCTCGGTTATACCAGATCTAGTTTCTGTGGAGCTAGCGTTATGCTTAAAGGCGTAGGAGAGCGCTGAAAGCAGATGGGCTATACCTAACCTGCTCTCCGGGAGGCATGTTTGTGTCGCATTCTAGCACAAAATATTGGATGAAAACGGTGAAAGATAGGAACTAGACCTGCAGCGCCGGTCACCCCATGCTGGATTTGGAGCAGAAGCGCAGTAGAACACTCTTCCCATATCAACCTTTATTCTCGGCGATTGCTCTACGCTATATGCAGGCCACGCAATGATGGTGTTGGTCAGCCAGCATTGTGGCATCGATATCTGAAACCACTGTCCAACAGAGAGAATTGATGCAAGACATTGCTGATCTGTCGAATGATGCTGGAGGCTTTGCCTCGGATTTCTTAGCGAGGTTGCCGCCGTTCCGAGGAAGAAAAAGCGGGCCGCCTTAACTATCACGCCTGTTAACGGCCGTTTGACTACATTTGGCTAGTATCCCGTTTGCCACGAGGTCTGAGCCAAGTGCCACTAGCGAACAGAGATTAGTGCCTACTTTGATCAGCTTGCCAGTTTCCTGTCACAATCAAAGCTGCTCTGGATGGTTAGACGTTGCGAAGAGAAGAGCAAGAATTGCCGGGACTTCAGGCCCGAAACAGCCCACGATAGTCACATGCTGTATCTCGCGGGATGCAGAAGTCACTTCCTCATTACTCCTCTGCAGATTTTGTGCTATTCGATCTTGTGGCTTGCATGATGTCGTCTGGAAGTCCCAAATCCAGGGTTGTGAGGTTAGTTACATCGGAGGCTACGCGAGATCACGCAAGAGAAGCCCATTCAGAATTGTATTAGTAATAGTACTGCCCACCAGAGAAGGTATTGGTAAGAACTGCTGAAATTGTGGATACATCAAGCAGCACTACCGCTATCGCCATCAATCAGTAGCACCCGTGTTTCCCACAGTGAGCATTGGTAGTGACTTTTTCAGTCAAAGCCATGACATCTCGCTCTATTTACAAACAGTATAAACGATGAAATAATCCATGAGGCTTTCCACATTAACGAGCTCATGAAAAGAGAAAGCCTTTTCTGGTCGTCTATCTATTCATGGCTGGAGAATTCCCAACCATGAGACATAGTGACGATGACGGTTCATGTATTAAAAGCGGAAGTCAAGAGAAATTGACTTTCGTTCTAAGCAGGCTAGTATCTTGTCTCGTCTTATCCGAGAACTAACTGACCACTGGTGCCTGGCTTTGGCACGTGTTACAGCACGTAGAAACCAGTGGTTTTGATTACAATGTTGCGTGTTACGATACAACGCGACGACAATTTGTGAGCCACGGTAACGCCACCGTGTGAAAAGTCACATCTAGCATTAATCAAACTTATGTTCGGGAAACCCACACATCACTGGAGGACAACTGGCGATCATCGCCTTCCCACAAAGTCAAGGTATCTGACGTCCTCGTTCTGCTCAAGCTCAAAAACAGGCGCAGTCGAAAAACTGACCAGGTGATTATGGGGCTTATCCAAAATTAAACCCTGAGCCCTTTCCTCACCAAGCCCCACTACAGGTGAATGCAGTCTGGCAGTATGCGGGGTAATGCAGGCTCGCCCGTCAATCGCTGCAGGTGATGCACATGAAACAAAAGACACTGGGGGGCCGATAAGTTGCAAGACGATAGCATTTCTCTAGGATGATAATCAGCCTTGTGAAACTAGTCCGACAAGCAGTATTCCGAGGAAGCGATTAGAGAACCAAGTCTGTGCGCCACATCGCAAGTTGGCATAGCAGAGCACTTCTACCATGCCGTAGTGCGTAACGTTTGCCTTGTATCTTCGCAGCTCTACACGAGAAGTCTAATGGTGTATAGCGCTATTTCCTGGTTGATAAGAGAAACCAATCTTAAAGACGAAGTCGTCAGGAGGCATAATGGAAAGAGAAGTGTCACAACAGATTAAGGTCGTTGAAGCAAGTCCGAACGACCTTGACGAGCTTGTCTCCATTCAGTTCGCTGCGTTTGGGAAGTTCCGGTCAGAGCAAATAATAGCCGGGGAGAACTCTGTTGCAAACAGAGAAATCATGGTGAAACGACATGGAGAGCACATGCGTCAGAATCCGGGCCTCGTTGTCATCAAGGCTGAGCTATGCACCAACGAAGTTGCGGGATCTTGTATGCTGTACTTTCCTAATACGAGTGCGCAATCTCACGAGACAAGGGTACCTACCCCTCTCCAAGATCCAGAGACCGGCAAAGACGCATCAGAATACAATGATGCGGATGCGCTGTGGATTCAAGATACGGAGCGAAGAGACAAAGCCAGACAGTTGTTGCGGTTCATTGGGCAAGAAATCCAAAAACATGTAAGAAGCAGAGATTGCGCTTACATTAGATACATGTGTGTCGATCCAAGGTACCAACGTCAGGGAGTAGGTATTGCCATGATGTCCTGGGCCTGCAACCGATTCGACGAAATGAGAATCAATGCGTACTTGGAGGCGTCACCAGCTGGTCAAGAGCTGTACAGGAAATTCGGTTTCAGCGTTATTGGGCAATCAATTGAGGATTTCGGAGATGGGCTAATTATGGAGTATTCTCACATGTGGCGTCATGCTAGTGACATGGACGGTAGTTGTCCTTTGTAGACTTGAAGTCAATTTTGTTGTGATGATTTTAGTGTTTTTCAACGTCTGGAATTCATTAGCTTAGGCTATGAGTATGTCTCATCAATGTCCACTGTTCATTCCATGTTTCTCAACTTCGTGGAGCACCCCGCTCTCTTATATTCTCAAGCACAAGCTTTGAGCGGAAGTTCCAGTAACAGGATCTCTGCCTTGCTCGCCTAGGTACATAACAAGCACAGTTTGAAGGGCCGTCTTTATTTGCACAAGTCTGTCAACACCGTACTTATATGGCTGTATTACATTACAAATTTTGCAACGAAGCGTTCTTGAGGAGCTCACAAAGTCACGTAGTGCTCAAAGGGACTTCCATCACTCCTCTTTGGATCAGTGAAGACTAACGATGGCGGTCAAGTGAAAAGCGTAGAAGCCGAAACCATGATGATAATAATTCCTAGCATGGCCATTTCACACTCGATTGAAAGTCGGGGGCTTTGGAGCGCTGTCGCAGACCGGGTTGATAAATTTGAATAGTTTTTATCAAGTGACGCGTTGTTCGTAAGCCCCTGTGTTATTTATGAGACGAGCAACCCCCAAATTATTTGTACAGGAGCTAGCGAATAATAAGTAAGACATTGTAGTGGACATTTCTGACCTGCCGCCATCAGTCAGGCACCTGGCCCGCTCTGTGATGAAGTTGGCTATAACTATGCAAAATCAGTTATCTAAATTCTGGATCACACTACACCGTGGGAGGGTCAACTTTACAGCATTTCACTTTAATACAGTAAAACAACACGCCACTAAACTAGATTCTCGAGTTTCCCTGTCCGACCGTGTTCTGATAGAAGACAATATGCTAATGGTCCTCTCGTAGGGTTTACAAAAATCCTCCGCGATTGGTCTCCACAATTGACCTACGAAACCCTCCGAGCCTTTTAGCGACTCCTGCCTCACCCCGGTCTTCCTTGCACTTGAACAGTAACTTTGTGACGAAGGTATCAGATATTTTACGTGTATAATAACAGAAACCGCTGAGGTTGGTTCCAATTTGACGTGCAAGGAAAGTCGCCCGCTTTTACTTCAAATAGATTTCGAAGTGCAGTCCAGCCCTGCGTCTCAAAACATAGACTTTTAACTTGAGTTCTGAACATTATGTCGCAACACAATACTGCTACAATACATATGGAGTCTAAAACTTCGGACAACGATTTGGAGCCACAGGCAGGTTCTCAAAAAACTCGGAAGGGGTGGAGATTCTGGATGATTCTGATCGTTCTCGCCTTGACAAGTCTTCTGACGTCCTTGGAAGCCACGATCACCTCAACGGCCCTGCCAGTCATTGTCGCCGAGCTGGGGGGAGGCGATAACTACATCTGGGTCGCCAATGCATACTTCTTGACCATGTAAGCTCTGTTCCGCTCCATGTCTGCTGAATACGGCCCAGTCAACTCGTCACGGATATTGATCATGGTTTGGAATAGGGCTTCCTTGCAGCCAATGTTTGGACAGATCGCCAATGTTTTCGGTCGTCGCTGGCCCATGATCTTTTCTGCAGCTGCTTTCATACTGGGGAGTGGTATATGCGGCGGGTGAGTGCCAGTTACAGCCACGCTACCCTCGAAGGAGAACTATGCTAATGATCGGAGCGTCGTACAGAGCCATCAACATGGCTATGATTATCACCGGCCGCGCAATACAGGGTCTTGGAGCGTCCGGCCTGAGTGTCCTCGTCGAGACTGTCATCTGCGACCTGGTCCCCTTACGGGAGAGAGGCAACTACATGGCCATAGTATTTGGCATGATCACCGTGGGGACGGCCCTCGGTCCCATGTTCGGGGGGCTGATCGTCAGCTACAGCACGTGGCGTTGGGCCTTCTACCTCACGCTGCCTATCGGCGGCGTGGCGTTGGTGTTGCTGTTTGTCTTCCTGCACGTGAACTATGACAGGTCCAACACGCTGGCTACCAAGATCTCGAAACTCGACTGGCTGGGCAATGCCATATTCATTGGCGCCTCCAGCTCTGTTCTGATTGCCCTCAGCTGGGCGGGCAGCGAGTATCCTTGGTCGTCGTACGAGGTCCTCGTGCCGCTAATTGTGGGCATGGTCGCCCTGGCAGGCTTCATCGGGCTCGAAGCCACACATTTCGTCGCAAACCCCATGATGCCGCTCCACCTCTTCGCCAATCGCATCACGTCGGCCGTCTTCGCTCTCACCTTCATCCACGGGATCGCAACTATGTGGGCCTTCTACTTCCTGCCGGTATACTTCCAGGGCGTGCTGGGCGCCACCCCCTACCGCTCTGGCATCATGCTGCTGCCGACCATCCTCGCCCTCCTCCCGGCTGCCATCATCGGCGGTCTCCTGTTGACCAAATTCGGCCGCTACAAGCCCATCCTCGTAATGGGGTTTGCCCTCATCATCATCGGCCTAGGTCTTTTCTCCCTTCTCGACCAGAACTCGTCGACGGGCGCGTGGGTCGGCTTCCAGGTCATCGAGTCCATTGGCGCCGGGCTCGCCATCCCGACCCTGCTCCCTGCCTTGCTGGCTCCTCTGACCGACAAGGACACGGCGCTGGCGACCGGCACTTGGGCCTTCATGCGCACCTTCGGTGTCACTTGGGGTGTTGCAGTCGCGGGCACCATCTTCATCAACCGGGCGGCGCAGCTTGCAGGCGCGGGGCTTATCAGCACCAACGCAACCGTGACCGCCCAGTTCATGGCTGGTGGGGCGTATCAGGACGCCACGGTGTACTTTCTGGATTCGCTTCCACCCGAGACGCGCGTCCAGGTGGTTGAGGTGCAGGCTGCCGCGCTGCGGCGGTCGTGGCAGGTCGCCATCGCCTTTGGAGCACTGGGCTTCGTTGCCGCCACTGTGCTTAAAGAGGTGCCGCTCAGAAAGGAGCTCGATAGTGAGTTTGGCATGACGGAAAAAGAGAGGCCCACAAAGGAGACGGAATATTCGACGGAAGAAGTAACCTCAGCTACAACGACGTGATATGATGGAAAATAACACTGGGGGGTCGTCTGCCAAAGGAGCAGACATATGTAACATGTAAACGGCAGAGCTAGAAGTGACTAGCCGGTGTTTGCAGTGGACTGCTCACTCTGCTTTGCACTGCTAGCAGAACTTGCCTTAAGACAAGATTCAACCTGTAGAATGCTCGATAATAAGTTTCAGGCAACACACAAGTGCTGTGATTGGTCAACGCACATCGATATCGGTGAGGCATACTGGTATTGCGTGTACCAACGCTCCGCACTGTCCGCCGATAAACGCATGTGAGAAATCTATGACTGAGGTCCCGATGGCCTGGTTGTCTTTTCAGGTATCAAATAAAGATAGCGAGTTCTTAATATTCTCCCGTATCGATTCCACATACGACATGCTCCCTCCCCGTGACCGGACGTCTTCTTGGGCCATCACCGTATGAAAAAGACTTGCACGTTTCTCATCGGTAAACACTCCCTTGGTCGGGTGCGCGGGGTTCGTCTCTCCAGAAAGGCAATACGCAGCCGGAAGCCCCATGGAGTGCTCCAGAGTCCGGATGTGGCTCCGTATGACCTCGACTACTCCTATCGCGTATGCTTTCCCCGGCATGTCCTGCAGCGAAGAGATGCCGCCGATGCGTAGAACGGATTTCACTTTGATCTCCTTGATCGTGTTTGCCGGTATTTGACACATGCGGTGGTAAACATCATGAAACAGCGAATCGTAGAGTCTCATCAACGCGATGTAGCTCGAGAGGATCAAGAGCGTTGTTTCTGTGTCAATGGACTCGTTCTGCGCAGCTGACGAGGTGGCGTTGGCGAGAATAAGCCTGTCAGGGGCCGAGATTTCCGAGGCTGGAGATCGAGGCGCCTTCGTCAAATTTTGGATAATGTCGACGAATTCCTTAGTACAGTTGAGCACTATAGAGAGCGGGTTCTCGGTCGCCATGTCTGCACAGCCCTTCTCCGCGCAATCCTTCACGATGTTGAGCGGGTCCGAGAGGAGAGCTCCCACGGCCGCGACGCGCCGTTCCATAGTCTCTGCGTATCGCCTCAGCGACTTCGCAGCATGTCGGTGCTGAAGAACACCCTGCCTTGACATACATCCGGGCGAAATAAGAAATGCACCCTCGTCATATATGTCGCCGAGCCCCGGCCGCGCCACATCGAGATCCCCTGCCGCGTTCCCTGTGTCCTGATGCCTCGACGAAGTGATCGATTGATCCAGTGTCGAGAAGTTGTCCGGCGCGGGACATTCCTCGGCCGATCCATATCCAAGATATTCATTATCATCAAACGCTGTCCATTGACCCGGAAAGCCCGGGTGCACCGGAGGCTTTGGCGGGTTGACAGCGGGCTCGGAGAGCATGAGGTCAACCTGCCCGAGATCATCCAGGATGTTCCACGATGAGCCATCTGCCTCGAACCACGCAGATGTTGAAGGCTCATCCGGTGCAGGTATGCGTAGCTCAACATCATCGCCAGCCCGTGGTATCGACCAGCACTCAGGCAAGTTGAGGTCGGCATCGGTCGCGGGCGGGCTGCTGGGGGTAGCACCACCAGCGATATGGGCCTTGCGCGGCCGTCCAGGTTGGCCAGGCGAGCCCGTCACGCATGATGCGCCGACATGGACGCAGCGGGCGCACGGCGCCGTGGAGTTCTCGGCACGTGGGCACCGGACCCGTTTGGCTCTGCACCGATCGCAGGCGGAACGCCTGACCACCTTTGGCATGTCCGTTTGCCGGTGGAGATGGTGGGTGGCCAATGAGACAGATCACAGCAACGACGAAATAAATAACCTTGGACAGGGCTGCCTACGTTCTCACTCTGATGGCACGGCCTAGAGTGACAGACAGTGATTGAGATGAATTTCCCATCCGAAGTGTTCGACGTTGCCTACGTGCATTGCGAGGTGCGCCACACAATTCAGGGCGCCGGCTGAAAAACATCCATGCAAAAGTCCCCCCAAGAGCTCGGAGGGTTTCTGGCCGGCTTGTTATGATTGGCTTAGCCACTGGCTGCATAAGCTACATCCCACCGATGATGCGCACGCCACTGAGTCTCAAACTGCACTCCTAAGCTAGTCACTGATTAATGTATCTAATGTAACTACATGTAGGTATATTGGTTTAGGTAGGTACCGAGCGCATCTCCCTTCAGATGTTCTCTCCAGCGCCGTACTGAGTCGATCAGTACAGCGAATACATGTTCAGACCCGACACCTCCTTACGCCGCATGGCCCTGTGCCGTCAACGACTTTAGCTAGACTGCCCTTGTTTACTTGTATGGGATGTGGATATGGCTTCCAGCCGCCAAACAATGCATCGAAACCCCTTTAATCCACACCTGAGACCAGGCGTGCAAGTCGGGATTTTCGCTTCGGTAGTAACCCTCGGGCAGAGTAATCTCCCATGTACAGGTCTCTCATTCTTCCCGGTGGCATCTATATATATATGTACTCCCTTTTGGTTTGCCTATTCTATCGAAAGATTGAAACTTTGAGGTGGCGATCCATACCTAACCAAGTTTCAAGCTGTAGATTTCACCCGGTTTAAATTGAGACACGCAGTGACTCCAAGTCTATTAATTCTTGTCGCAATGCTTTGTGTCTATATGTCACCCAGACCTACTGTTATTACTGCCTATCCACTCTTCGTATTCCATGTCCACTCATGAAGGTCTAATGTGTTCACCACTTCTTCAACCCTTCGTCATTGATGTCTTCCTTGGAACCATCTCATATTGTCAACAATACCAAACCCCCGAGTCTACTCCAGTGCCCAGTCGTTGCGCTGGTGTATGACAAGATCATGCAAGTAGTTAGCCCCACCGGCTTCCTTGGCGAGCAGGGAACTAAATGCCTATCTTCACTCAACCTTGCGGGTCAACCGATAAATGAATCAACTAGTTACTACCACCCACCTATCCCAAAAGGCGACCCTCTTATTCCCCGCAGCTCCACAGACAGGCCCAATCAGGAGGGGTTCTATGGAGTACCGATAAGCGCTCCAGCGCCCAACACTGTTCTTGTATTTGCTTGAAACGTCAGTAAACAAGAAAGATTCTCTAGGGACTGTGATTTTTCGATACCAGGATACTTAGTAAGCTTGCAAAAGGACGAATAGTCTCTTTTTCCTGGCCTCAGCAGCGAAGCACCATGTCAAGTCAAGGCCCTCTCCCCGTGCCCAACTCGACTGAATCCTTCTGGAGAACAGAGCTTCATGATTTGGACAACCATCGCACTACCTCAGCCCTCCCATCTGAAACCGATGTGGCGATCATCGGCGCTGGGTTTGCAGGGGCGGCCCTTGCTCACTACATTTTCGAAGACAACCCAAGCCCACCGTCCGTAGTAATCCTTGAGGCGCGCGAGGCGTGCTCAGGAGCAACTGGTCGAAATGGTAACGTATACTCTGCCATGTATATATTGCATCGTCGATGAGAGGAGGACTGATCCTTAGCCCAGGTGGCCATCTGAAACCGGATGTTTACTTTAGTATCCCGAAGTACATCAAAAAGTACGGGGTCCGCAATGCCGTTGAAGTTGCCAACTTTGAAGCCTCACAAGTCTACGCAGTCAAGGAACTAGTGGAGAAGGAGAAGATAGACTGCGACTTTACCCTTACTCGAGCCTGCGATGCTACTGTTCACGAGGGTCTAGCGAAGGAAACCGAGGAGGCGTTCGCAGATTTGCAAGATTCAGGAGTTGCAAACTTGAAAGATGTCCATTATACTGGACGAAAGGACGCAGAACGTGTGAGTCATCACAAGTCTTCTCCAAAGTCAGATATCACTTGCCACAAATATTTACGACTGCGCAGGTTTCTGGGGTTAAAGGGGCATTGTGCTGCTGGACCTTTACGGCAGGCCACGTTTGGCCTTATAAGATGGTCATGCATCTTCTGAAAAAAGCCGTAGAGAGCGGTGCAAACCTTCAGACAAACACTGCGGTCACCAACGTATCCGAAAAGCCCTTGCCAGATGGGCGATGGCAGATAACCACAGCGAGAGGCTGTATCATTGCCAAGAAGGTGTTATACGCCACCAATGGCTATACGGCGAACCTGGCGCCACAATTCAAAGATCACATTGTTCCTGTCCGTGGAATCTGCAGCCGAATAGTTGTACCAGAGGGAAAAGTGGCACCCTATTTGCCACAGACTTACAGTATACGTTATGGCCCGGCGTTGTATGACTACCTCATTCCACGTAATGACGGAAGCATCATCGTGGGTGGTGCGAAATCAAGATTTTGGTCAGATCGATCGAATTGGTATAACGTGTGGGATGACAGTAAACTCATTGATCCGGCAGTATCCCATTTTGATGGGTTAATGCAGAGAAGCTTTATAGGCTGGGAAAATAGCGATGCTCATGTAGACAAGATTTGGACAGGAGGTAAGTTTATTGTTGTCCCGAGTGCATATTAAGCTAACGTTATAATTCAGTCATGGGCTATAGCTCAGACTTCATGCCATACATTGGCGACGTGCCAGACAAGCCCGGTCAAATGGTCATTGCTGGCTTCTCGGGACATGGTATGCCGTTGATCCTTCTCTCAGCCAAGGCAATTGTACAAATGATACGACATGGAAAGTCGTTTGAGGATACTGGAGTACCTTCGGTGTTCAAAGCCACGAAGGAACGGCTGGACAGCACTAGGAACGAAATACTGGGGGATGATGCCGAAGATCAGTTAAGACAGCCATATAGACATGCTGTTTAGACCTCCAGCAGCTGCGCAACCGTTCACTAAGATAAAGTCCGATATGATGGCTTCTTGTTTATGAGAAGGCTTAAGTCCCATTCCCTTGAATGTACCATACTTTAAACCATTGAATGCCTTTATGCGATCTATGCGCGTTTGGATCACGCGCAACACTCGACCGTACATTATTCTGCCCTATGCAATTCGGTACCGTGACTGGTCTCACAGATTAGATTGCTTGGATAATTTAGCCCTATGATCAACGGTATCACACGCAGGCTCTTAGATCTTAGCCGATGCCGCGATGATACTATCTGCGAGCTTCGGCAGGTCGTCCGCTACTACATCCATCTCGCCAAAGATATCGGCACATTGCTCCTTTTCCCAAACTGAAACCCAAGCTCCCTTGAACCTGCAGCCAGACCGGCATGAGCTTGATGATCACCATAATAAAAGCGACTCAGTTGCACTTACCCGGCACGTTTAGCACCAGCTACATCCCACATATGGCCAGCAGCAAACCAGGTCTCGCAGTTTTCCTTGGGAAATTTATCGAGGACGAACTTGTAGCACTCCGGTGCGGGCTTGCCCACACCAATGGAGTCACACGAGACGAAGTTCTCCAAGGGGAAGTCCACCCCACCAGATGCAAAATATCCAGATACCCGTTTGACATCGCCGGACGTGAAGCACCAAACTGTAAAACCCGCCTCGCGTAAGCGCGAGAAGCAGTTTTCTAGACCAGCCCGAGGCCGAAGTCTACGGTAAGACTGCAGCAGAAACTCCCGGTCATCATCGGTAGCAAACTTGCGGGGTTCTTCGATCCCAGCTTGCCAAAGTGTTCTGTAAAATATGGAGCGAAACACGTCAAAATAGACAACATAGTGTCCTGAGAGACTGAGATAGGTATACTCCTTCTCACCAGCCTCCATCCAGGCGTACCCCAATAGGCGTGAGCCTATGCTCCGGGCTCGCAGTTTGTGCCCGAGACGTGCCTCAATTGCGTCATAAAAGGCCTCGTATGATATGCATGTGCCTGAAGTCTCTCAGCCAGAGTGTTTCTTCACTAAAGCGAGCGGGATGCAGCCTACCTACTACGTCAAAGACAACGTGTTTACTCTGTAACGCCATGTCGAAATCCGTGTATGCGAAAGGCCAAAGTTCGAGGCTAAGTCTTGTCGGGAAGAGTGACTTGTACGCAACCCACAAGCAATGGGAATAGCACAGACGATTGGAAATTAAATGCCGTTGACGTGTCGGGATCCGTCCGAACAGCGGGGCCCTGTGCTCGGCAGAGGGCATGCCAAGCATGCGGATCAGCGGAGCCACCTGTAACCAATGGCCAGCTGCAGCGGCAGAAAATCAGCCCACAAGGGTTCCCGGCAGCTGCCTCAGCTGTTTCTACTGTAGGTACCTGTTTCCGACGGACAGAAGCACCCACATACAAGGAATCAGCGATCGTGGGGCATGTGTACATAGACACCTCCTCATTGACCTCAACACACTCCTCGGCCAAGCCACCGAGGATGAAGATAGTCTTCGGGAATTTTACGTAAACTCAAGTTTTACGAATTTTATGTTAATTAAATCGAACTGCGGAATAATATAAATTAATTATTATTACTCGACCTTATTACTACTTAGTAAAATAGCTGTTGATTTCAAAATTCATTAAGCGCCTATGCAGTTTTAAAATCTGGTCGCTAAACAATGGCAGCCAAGTAAATCGGGGTGAACAAGCTACCGTTTCCAAAAATAATGATAGTATATAAACCGAGATGCATTGATCCTTACAGAAAAGGACTGGCGGGTTGCGTACAGTAACTTATAGGGGTATGGGTTAAGTCTTGCTATGTTTAACAGTGCTTCTTTTTCCATCCTTCTAAACACAGCTCGGCTCACCGCCAGCTATTCCTAGAGCCTCGCAGTCCGCCGCAGTCCTTGGCTCCGCAAGATTCGTGCAGAGACCGACCTCCGTGTTGATTTGACCGCCTTTCTCAGCACAGAACCGGGCAATTCCAGAGGCGCTCAAGTTTCTATCGGTGACAACACACCGGCAGCTAACGGCAAAGGTGGTGCTTTGGAAAGAGATATGTAAGTGTGTGCGCACATGACTAAATGCGATCTGGAACATACCTGACAAGAGCAGCTAGGACAACCAACTGGCGAATCATGATGGGTAATGTAAAGACGAAAGGGGGATTCTGAAAGACATTAGCTTCCGGATGAGCGCCATTTGAGGGTTCATCGAATTATCTAACCTTGAAGATGCCGATTTGAATAAAAATCTCGAAGGATCAGGACGATGGTTTTTAGTAGAAAGGGAAACAGTATTCCTACCAAGGGGGGATGGGGTTATATACTCATTTTTGTCCGTGTTCATAGCCATCGCCCGACTATTGAAGCGGATTTGCCTCTATTGCCGACGGAGTCAGATCATGAAGGTAATCGCCCCTGCCAAGGCGAGTATCACTTCTTCGTGGCAGAAATATAGGGTGCATGATAAGTACGAGTCAGTCTCGGAACGTGCGTGACTATGATTGGCAATGCGCTTCAGTTACTCCTGCACTAAAACGAATCCTCGCCTACATTGAAGTGCCTATAGGCGAGCTAGTTATGTCCAGGTGTAAAACAGGTGCAACGCTGCCAAGCGCTGTTGCATTTCCCTGCTGGCTTACACGGTGCACGGGCCACAGAGCATCAACAAGAAATTTGGCGGTGCCTAGCCTATGCTAAGACACCGTGAGACAATGCTTCCAGACCGCTTCGCCCTATTTGGTCATAGCTCAAACGAGGGTAATATCGAACGACACGATCTTCGCGAGAAATCTAGTCGAAAAAAAATAAAATAAACTTCAACTCTAATTCCTTTGGTAACCTAGCTGAAACTGACCAGTCGCCCATTTGACTACGCGAATATTTTTGCATTCATGCTCATGATCCCCAACCAAGGTTGCCCAACAAGGGTTGTCAAACAGGCGGATTTGACTTTGGATCACGACAAGTGTCCAGCAAATAATTGCGCTGCTGATATTTGACGGACCCTTCAGGTCAACTTAGGAGCGAGCATACACCGAGGACTATAAAGCTATGAAGCATCCCCGTGCTTAAGTCGATGATTTCCCATCTCCTAACATCAACCATCATCTTAGAAACACAGATTCTCTCAGCACTACTCGAATTGTCTTCTTCACTTGAGTTCAAATCGCTCATAGAGTCTTCGCCTATTCCTTGCCTTCTGACCAACCAATAGTCATTTCACCAAATCCTCTACATCAATAACCACAATGAAAGCCTCTCCTCTTTTCATCATCCTCACCACCGCGGCCTTTGCCATGGCCAAACCGGCTTCCTTTGTCCAGCCCCGCCAAGATGATGCCGAGGCTATCGTCAATAAAGTTCTCGCTGATGCTCGCGCGAAATCGGCTGCGCGTATCAAGGAGGAGACTGGAGAGGGCCGGCGTCTCACCGAATGCGGGACACTTTGCTCCCAGTGCCGCAATGGCGCCATCACCACTGCTCTGGGTGAGGTTGCTCTCTGCGGCACGACGGCTCTGGCTCTTGAGGTTGCCTCAGCCGGCACGACCACTATCCTCGAGGTAGCTGGCTTCCTCGCCTGCGAGACGATCGTGATCGGGAACCTCAATGAGTCGGAGGCCAACTGTGCCGCTCTAGGTCCCTAGGCGGTTCTATCAGGATCAATGAGGAAAATGGCGGTAGAATTTGCGCGGTGTAACGTGCTCTGGGTGCTTGACTAGTATACTCAGCTGGGATTCTCATAGTTGGTTGATAGAGCCATTGTCAAACGAATTTTGATCCTTATTGTCAAACTATCTTAGTGTTATTGGCAAGGCTAGCAACGCCATTGCGGCGCTCATGCTTTTCCAACCTCGCCAGCCGGAGACCGGGTATGTGATAAAAACTTATTGGATATTGATGTATCACTTCCTCTTGCCCTGACAGCCTAGGCACCGAGATACCGCGCCTTTTTCTTACCTCCCTTTGAACGTAGCTGTCCGAGGAAGACAGTGTTGCAATTCTTACTGGGGCTGTCTCTCACTAGCAACAGAGAACGATAACATGGTGACAATTTCTAACCTACTATTAAAGGCATTCGTAGTAAGCTTTAACATTATAAGTCACAACAAAGCGGGGGGTTAGAAACGTGTAATTATGGTTATTCTCCCCTCCCGTTCTTGCATTTAATCACTTTTAGGCTGGCTATTAAGAACGAAACCACCGGTTCTGGTGCTTGTTTAACAGAACAGCCAGCCTACAAGCCACAATTTCCAGTTCTGGGCCTCTCTACAGCGTCATAAACGGCCCATGCAGCTTGATGGGTTCTTTTTATAGCGGCATGATGCATTCATTGTACAGTGCCGAGACTAACGTTTACCCCGTTAGTAACCATCGACCTAAGTTAGTACATGCAGCAAACATGCACGGCCACTAATAAGGCCGCTCAGGGTTCGATAGGGTCGAGTGGGGATTCCACTGAGAGTGTGCAAAGCCAACGAACCCAGGAACTTTCAAATCAGTCCAACATAATCGCCTCGGGCACCCGACTACTATCAACAGTTGTTCTGCATTAGTGGCGTGGTTTTCATCAGCTTATTAAGGTACCCAGATGTATACGAATGCCCATCCCATATTACCATGTGCACTGTAGGCCATTTCTAGAAATATTGATAGTGGGTAGTGGGTGCATCGCAAGATGGCATGCAGAGAAGGATATTACCAACCTAACGACAATTAGGCAGACAACGGGACCCGCCGCGGGAAACGCGCCGCCGTGTCTTCGATCCTAATTCTCATGGATAACGGCTGGGGCCCGGTACGTTGACCGGTGCTTAACTTAGGATCAAGACCCACAGAAAGGATTGTACTTGGTACGGAAGACATGTGGCTGGTGGACAGTCTGCCACCTGACGACACCAAGCTTTCTCAATACGCACCAGAGTGGAACAATTAGCAATTGCGAGACACTACGAGGGTTGACGTCGCGGCGTTGGGGTACAACCAGTACTGTGGGATGGACTCTGCAGGGCAGAAAATCTTGTCCAAGTCTTGTTCATCTCAACAAGCTTCTTCTCCACGGGGTAGCGCCTTACGTGCGGATTAACATCTCTTGGCCATCGTCGCACATTGTCTACTTCCGTATGGATGATACTAGCCAAGCTGTGCTGAACGGCTTGGCGGTGGTAACGATAGTATGCTATTTCTAGCTCTGCGACCACCGCAACCACAACAGAGGTTGGCCAAATGAATGTTAATTGGTGAGTGGTCCATTTTTTGTTTGCCTATGGACCCCTGGTCTCTGAGGGTGTTGTTTCGCTATCACTAGTCAGGTTTCTTGGGCCTGCGCGGAGGCTTGCGTAACGATGCTATCTCAGCACGAACGCGGCATCAGGTGTAACATTCCGCCCGCCGCTACAGTGCTATTCTTTTCCTCAAGAGCTCAGGGCCAAGGAGGAACAAGACGCCAGTGCGCAACCAGGGTCCCACGACATTAAGTGGAGACAGCCTCTCACATTTGCCAGCCGATCCCACGTCTTGGCCCACCCTTGAAGCGCCGCCAAGGACTTGGCCAGGCCCGAGACCACAGAAGCCGAAACAGGCGACATGGCAGCCCAGACCTCCTCTAGACATCTGGTGTCTAGGCCTCGCCGTCAATAAAGAGGTGAGAGCTTCTTGCATCAGACGCTTGTTTGTTTCCTTTTCCTCTTTACCTTCTGCTCCAGTAGGACCCGCCTTCGTCTAATCCCCTCTTTTATTTTGGCTTCAACGTGCACAGGTGCACCATTTCTCTTCAGCATCTCCAGATCTGGCCATCTGTTTCCACTCATTGCTCAATAATACGAAACTACCACTACCATAATCCTCGAACCGTCACCTGAAAAAAAAAACCGCCAAGATGTTTTCCAGAAATGTCATTGCCGTCGCCATTGCGGCTCTTGCTACCTTCGCGACTGCCGCACCCTTGAACATCAACCTGGGCGCTTACTCTCCGGCTTTGTAAGTACCATCGAAGTCATACTTAAGACGAAACAATTCTTACTCCATAACAGGGTAGTGGGTGATGGTGCTCTAACATTCGAGGGAGCGGAGGCTCGCGAAGGAGCTGCTGCTGCAGAAGGCGCGGCCATCGCTAAGGCATAAGCCACATCTCGGCAACTTCATCGGACAGGTATGAAGACACTGGACTGGGTGTCAAGCGGTCTCCGTAACTAATGAATTGAACTATACAGAAACCTCACATTATACCCCGGGCACGCGAAGCCCTGACGCGAGCATCGAAGAGTGAACTTCACCAAATATCGAACACACTATATAGTTGCATCCAAACTCCCATTGCAATACATGAACTCATGCTTAGTTCAGATAGTGGCTAGTCTACACTAATTCCGCATGACTGCCACTGGATTACGGATTATAGGAGTTTGTTGGGCTCAAAAAGGACACCTGGTTTAGTACGGACGAGCCAGAAACAGACAGCCGGGTAGCAGGGGAAGGGTATCTTAAGTTCTGAGCAACTTTAATTCTGAAGGCCACGACTAAATGCGTACTAGCCGTCTGGGTTGTTCTAGCCCTTTATGCAAGTGTGACTGTCACGGAAGCCTCATTTTCCGGATACCTATCGACCTGTCTCTTCTGAAGCTTTTAGATGCGGAAGGTCTAAGGCAGAATGCGTAATGCCGAGGTCCTCTGTAAACCTCGTGGAAACCCTTCCACGTGCAGGATACGGTTATGCCGCTGAAATAGTTGATACAACACCCCGCCGTCTGCTGCACGGTTTAGAGGTTGATGATATCACCCCATATGTTGGCAGTCGCCCAGGGTCTATAATCCCAAAGTGCGAGCTTTACTCCCGCCGTGCACTCGAATATGACATCCCTCTTAATCACTTCCGTTTTCTAAGTCATGACTGCCAGCTATAGGAACACAGCGATATATGCTTAGAGCGTGACAAACCGGTACATTTAACGACAGCTTGTCTTTGGTGATGACCGGAGTTGAAATTTTTGCGTTGCTGCTCTGCAGCTACGCCAAGTACACGCCAAATTCACTCCAATCAACTTCTCAGTATGGAATACGAAAACGGGGTTTATCATGAGACCTGAGGTTGTTGTCGATTTCGTGCTGTTCTCTCACTCGTCTGAACCATTCAAGATCCAGTACGCCCTCTGTACTTATGCGCTGCTCTTTCTCGATCTTGAACATCTTCCAGAGTATTTCTGAGAGGATTAGTACCTCTTCCCTGGCCAAGTGGAATATTGTGGATCTATCAGGTCGACTTCTTCAGTGGACTATAGCGGTGCATCTATCATGGTCGCAAGACCATTTACCATCATCGTCTTCTGCCCAACAGACGCAAGGTCTCCGAGCGTGGTCTTACGAGCGTCTGGCCAAACCCCATTCCCCCTAAGGAAAACCTCTTAGGGGGGTCTTTCAATGATTTGTTTAGGAATTCCTGGCGAGCGTGGCTCCGCAGGCAGTTTGGCGCCGGAACTCTTTTCATGATACCCTCAGGTTGACATGACAGATAGTTGGCTGTTTGTCTGGTCAGCAATCCTGTCGAGCAGTAGCATGTCTTGCCTCTCAGACTTGCGATATGTCGTAGTAATGAGCCTCCCTGGATTCTTCTTGAGAAATTGAATTGTCTTCGGAAAGTTTGATCCGGTATGGCCTTTATCTGAGGTAGCGGAATCGAAGTCGTTGTACCAGGCTCTTACCTCTTCCCAGTAATTAAGAACTGCTGCCAATCGCCTAACAGGCTCTGCAAACCTCTGTTCCAACTGGAGATTTCCTTCATCCGTCTCTTCACACTTACGTATCCTTGGGAGCTGTATGTTTGAGTGAGTCATAAATACTCCTTCCCTTGTATACATGGCCACTGTGAGTTACCGAAGCGCGGTGTTCGATCGTAACAGAGCGCAGCTTCTCTAAACAAGGAATGTGCCTGAGAAATTGAGCAATGTGTGGGACAAATCTCTCCGCAAAAGGCCCCAACCACTGTTCTATCTTTTGTATCATTTAAGATCCGTATCTGTGTCATAAAACAAAGTGCGAACTGTTATCACGCATCTTGTACATGCAAGAGCCCAAAAATCAGTTGCTTTCCCGCTGTGTCCCAAGCAAGGCAATAGCTCAGGAGATGCATTTGGGCGGTACCATGGGTAGGATTAAGTTGCGTTCCTTGCGTCATATGAAAGCCCAAAATCAATTGTAGCTACTGGCGAAACTCCAAAGTGAGCTCCCAGCTCATGCATCGAATAATGATAGACATGATACTCTGGTGGAGATTCGCCTTATGATGGTGTCCCTGAGCCAGTTGATACATTCCATACATCTGGTTCACCTAGATATAGCAATACTTCACGACGCGAGACTCTAGTAAAGTCCAATTGGCCCCTAATGTTGTTATATCGTATATCTTACGAGAGTCAGTATCATCCTGCCTGAAGACTTTTAATAACCTTTGTAAGTGCTCCACTCACAACCATGACAAATCGCTTGTGTATGAAAAGAGATGCCTCTAGTTATCTGGTGCGACACCTTTTAAATGTCTCCGGAGTACGTCACCCTGTTCCGAAAGGAGGAATTTATCCTGCTAAGCCCACTACCTCAGATACAATACATAGATGCAGCCCATTGGGACCGTCGATCCAGAACTTGTCGTAGGCTAAGACAATACAATTCGGTCGCAACACATCTGAAGAGAACTTCGATAGTCGCCGCGCTGCTTTCATCTAGGCGCAGTCATGGGATGACTTGTCCGCAGTGAGGATCTTGACAGCAGCCCAGAAATACAATAATAGGTCGATAAAAAGCCATACTGTAGGGTTGACTCCATGTCCAAGTTTATGAACCACGTCATAACGTGTATTTGGACCTAAAGAGTCGCCAAGATGAACGTGAGTGAGAGGCACGCTTCCCTCCTGAAGTAACGTTAAAGTTGCTAACACCCTGCAATCTTATCGCCATTGAGCAGACGATGGAAAACATACATTTCGTAGTTCATGCGCCCCGCTAATCATCTTACGAGAGTCTATGCGACGAGAATAATATATTGCATTGTATATCGCAGTTTTTATGAACTCTAGTCAGAAGCACCCGAAAGGTAAGACGGTACGATTCGCATGACATCGATTACAGCACAACCGTGGCCAGTCCAGACCCATGCAACCATCGTGTGTTGTGCCCCAAAAGAAAAGCTTGGTACGCTGGGGTACCGGACTGTCACCTGCGTAGATCTCTGGGTTCACACCTGCGGTCATTACTAAGCAGTCGCCTAGACCTCGCCAGTATGCCGCGTGTCAATTTTGTTCGGTGGATGTGCCTCGTTGCGTTAGTAATTGGTCATGATTTAGCTCCTTATTCGCCCCTTTTTGGTTTTTTTTGGTTTTTTGGTTGAAGAACCACCTGTTGCTTGAAAAGACATGTTACTTGAAACAGCCGGCTCAATTTCTATCCTTTGCTTGGAAGCCTTTAAGAAATAGTCACTTGGGCCAGGAACTTCCTGTGAGGCTGATGTTGCCAAGAACCTTCTTTTCGTGCACTTTCTAGTGATTTGCATAGTTGATTAGCAAGAACCAAGAAGTGCGTGCATGACCGGTTCGCATTTATTACTGTATTGTAACTACTTCCAAACTTGCTGGCTGGCTGTAATCAGTGTGGGGTGAAGCCAAACACACGGCTGTGGGATCTGGGGACCAGGGACTAAGCATAATCATGCGTTAGGCGATAACCGTATGAGGGAGATCAATATGGTTAATAGAAGGTTTTATAGAAGCATATCGTGGCTAGTGGTAGCGGTGCGGTCTCGGCTTTGCAGATCATACGTTGAAGAAGCCCACTGGAGGTGTCTCATTTTGTGTCAATCCCCTGTCCGTTTTGGTTCTCGGTCGTTTGCTCCCTTATGATGCGACCCAGGGTAGCAGCACTACGCGGAAGATCCCCGCACAATCCTGGAGATCTCGACAGGGGCTATTTCAACCCCCTGTTCATTCGATCTTCGAAACAGCATTTGGATTTCACAGCCTCGCAAAACACAGATGGCATCCAAGGGAAAGTGAGGAGGAACTCAATCTATAAGAAGGTCTGCCTGCGCCTGATTATCGACTGATCTTGACAGTATCATCTCAGCATTCCAGAACTGTCCAATCTGCCGTCTTATTTCTTCATCTAATACTATTCTCTGCCCTGGTTGGCATCTAGACTTTAAGCTTATTTATTAACTTCACGACCTAGCGTCACCCGACTCAATCCACACTAATCAATTGAGCTTAGTCCTCATTACACCAGAGCCATAATCATGTATTCTCCTCAGCTGGTCATTGCCACCCTCCTCGCCGCCAGCGCTGCGTTGACTGGAGCAGGTCAGTAACGCGCGTGGAACTTAACATACCGTACGGCAACTTCTAACATTCGTCGACAGTAAGCATCCAGCCCCGACAGTCCTCTCTGGCCTGCAACGCGGCGCGACTCCAAATCATCAAAGCGCTTAGCGATACTAAGAAGTCGGTGGCCGATATTCAAGATCCCACCGTTCAACAGGCTGCTGCGGCTGGAGTCAAGCAGGCACAGCAGGGTGTTACCCAGGTTGCTGCATCGTTGCTTACTGGTCAAGCCCCGTCAGCAGACGGACGTAATACTGTCGAGGCTGGCCTGAACGCTACGGCGACAGCTCTGGCAGGAGGTGACTCGTAGGTTTTAAGCTGACATGCTGCCGAGTCGTATGAGCTAATAGCCTTACAGGGCCGACCCGGCTGTTGCGACTACTCAGACTGCCCTGGACGACGCGGTAACGGCTGGTCAAAATGTGGTGGCCAACTGTTAGACATGCATCCGTCAACCACTTGGGGACATGCGAGCCTGTGTTGGTTGCTTAGGCATACTCGTCAATTGGCATGGAGATAAATAGGACTAAACACAAAAAAATCTAAATAACAGAATAAGTCTCAAGGAACTTCGCTGTTTGCAGGTGGTGTTCCATGAAACAACATATTAGCAACAAATGTATGGCTAAAAGTACCAATTTTCTCAGGAAGACTCATGCCTAGATCGAAATACATACTTTGGACAGTGGCTAAGCAGCGAATTCCATCAACCCAATCTTCCAGCCTGGTCTGCATACAGCAGTTATCAATGCTGCCCTTTGAAACGTTTTCTTGACAGTGTTATTCTGCTATAGCATCTAAAATTTCCCGAACCTGCTCGGCCCTAACCAGCGGTACCGGGTTAGTTGGTGCCCAAAAGTCGTGAAGTGCTCTTTTCGATAACCGCGGTAATACCTCTCGTGGTATATCCAACTCCTTCAGTGTCCGTGGTAAGCCCAAGGCGCGAATAACTGCGTCCAGAAGATCACCAAGATCGGCCGCAGTCGAAAGTCCTGCTGCCTTGAGCTTAGTCGCCACCTCCGGCTCACTCCATAGTATGTTCCGAATTTTTTCTTGTCGCGCCGCGATTTCAGATGAGGAGGAGCCGTGTTTAATGTTGAATTTCATCACAGCGGGGCACATGATGCAACTGGTGATGCCATGTGGGACCCCAAGCGGTCCTGCGAGAAATGTCAGACATTGACCGGTCAATGCTCATCAATCGGCACGTTGGAATGCCTTACCCAGCTGATGGCCAATAGCGTGGCTGCCGCCCATGGGAATTCCCGCTCTGATGTTGTCCATTGCCAGAATCACAGCCATTTGGCATCGATGCCTCGCTTCGATATCATTTGGGTCCGTCTTGCATTTCAGTAGACTTGGAACCAGAAGTTTGATGCCCTTTTCAGCCTTTTCATCAGACATGGCCGTACTGTCGATGTGACATAGCGCCTCCACGCAGTGGTCTACGCTTCTGAAACCAGTACTCAACCAATGATATTCTGGAGTCAGTAAACATAATTCGGGATCAAGTATCACTAGCTTGGCACCCATCCCCGAGTGCAAGAAGGCTTTCTTGTGGTGCGTAGCATCGTCTGTACCACCTGCTAGGCTGAAGTACTCGCCGCCAGACAAGCTGGTGGGAATCGTGACAAGAGGTACTGTTGGCGGCTTTACATCGGTTGGGACTTCCTGGCTCTCCACAGAGTACCGTGCAAGTTGGTTGGCATCGTGTATGTCGTTTGCCAAACACTTCATTGGAGTCAGATTCATCATGTAATTAGAAAACACCGATGTAACTCACGAAGACTACCAGCTTAGCAAGGTCTGTGACGCTTCCAGCACCCAAGGTAACGACGCAGTCTGCCTCTGCCTGGCGACACTTTGCAGCGATAGAAATTATCTCGGACCACAGAGTGTGAGGCGTAACACCTTTCCATATTCCCACCACCCTGTCCTTCCCTAGAGCTTCAACTAATATTCCAACCTTATTGGTATCTCTCGAAAGAGACTTTGAAGCAATAATATATACCCTGGACGCTTTGAAGGTTTCTTTTGTGTGTTTAGCACATGCTTCATCATAGCTTAGGCCGTAAGAAACGAGTGGCGGCGGCAGATTAAGGCCCCGGGTGGGCACTCCGGCCAAGATGGCTCCAGGTGGTCCTTTGAAAACTGGTCTCAATGTTTCCATTGCGTAAAACAAGAGCGCAGCTGAGGGAGTCAATCTTTGTCTAGATGTTGGCGTATCAAGTTCGTATCTAAGAACAATGAGAATAGCAATTTCGAATCGTTCCAGTTCAGGTTGAATTGGTATCCCAGATGCCTGCTGCTAGTCCCATAGATCTGGCACAATACCCCACAATGAGCACATATATAATACCCATCCCAAATCATTTCGTGCGGCGTCATAGCATCCATCAGCCACGGCTAGAAATTAGCCAATTGCAATGCTGTTGGTCAAGCCAAAAGGGGGAATCGATTGCCCCATACCCCGCAGGGGGGGAGGCGGACCTCGGACACCATCGTGGTCACCCAGGAGATGTCGCGGACGTAAGACTGCATTGGGGCAACTATCTTTCATGAAATGGTCACATAACGAAACCTTTCTGGTTTTTCCAAAAACCTGCTGTTCTGTTCACCTCTTGACTCATATTTACACCATGGCGCCGGCACGTATCATGCAGATTTCTGGAGCCCCGGATCCAGGGTACATCGCCCCGTCCGAGGCACACCACGACAACAAGTGGTACAATCAAGACTTTGACGGGTACCGCATTGCAGAGCAGCCGCTGTTCACGAGGCGGCGCCTGCGTGTGGTGTGTGTTGGTGCTGGAGCTGCCGGCCTCCAGCTGGCCTATAAGGCCGAGAGGGCACTGGAGAACATCGAGCTCCAGATCTACGACAAAAACTCCGATGTCGGTGGCACGTGGTTGGAGAACCGTTATCCCGGATGCACCTGTGACATACCGTCTCATTCGTATCAATATACGTGGGCACGTAATCCGAATTGGTCCGCGTACTACTCGTCTTCGGAGGAAATATGGCAGTATTTCAAGGATGTTGCCGTCAAGTATGATCTGGAGAAATACGTCCAACTAAATACTAGAGTTCAGAGTGCTACATGGGATGAAGCTGGCGGGAAATGGCGTCTCAAGCTTTTGGGGCCGAAGGGCAAGCCTGCGGAAGATGATTGTGATATTTTGGTCTCGGCTTCGGGGGTTCTGAACTCTTGGAAATATCCAGACATTCCGGGATCGGACGTCTTCAAGGGCAAGTTGATGCATTCGGCACAATGGGATCAGAATTTCAAGTTTGACGAAAATGTCCGAGTGGCCGTCATAGGAGGAGGCAGCTCCTCTGTCCAGATCGTGCCATCGCTTCAGCCCATGGTGAAGAAACTAACTGCGTTTCTCCGCTCGCCGGTCTGGGTTACTACGGGGTTTGGCGCAAAGCATGCTGGGCCCGGCGGCACGAATTTCACATATACGGAAGAACAGAAGAAATCATTCAATGAGGATCCTGGCTCCTACATCAAGGTGAGTTTTGTTCAGAGGATTGTGACGCTTGCACTTTCTGAAAACCAGTACAGTATTGTCGCGATGTCGAGGGCGAGCTGAACAAGCGGTTCAATTTGATGCATCTCAATTCGGAGGATCAGAACAGCTCTCGCCAGCTCATTGCCAGTATCATGGCAGAAAAGATCAACGACGAGAAACTCACAAAGAGGATGGTTCCAAAATTTGCCCTCGGTTGCCGAAGAATGACACCCGGCTCCGGCTACTTGGAGAGTCTGACTAAAGATAACGTCGAGGTTGTGCATGAGAGTGTGGTAAGGCTGACTGAGACTGGCGTCGTTGATGAGTCTGGGATCGAGCATGAGGTAGATGTCGTGGTGAGTTATTCATTCACAAAGCCAGAGTAAATGTGGTCGTCTCTGTGAACTAAAGTGGCATTCTCAAGGTCTGTGCCACTGGCTTCGATACCTCGTTCACACCCCATTTCAAGGTCACTGGCAGGAAAGGCGCCGATATCAAAGGACAATTTGGCGACTTCCCCAGGGGCTATCTAGGGATCGCCGCCGTAAGTTAGCTCAACCGTTATGACCTGCCCAGCATGTGTTGTCTAACTTGACCCCAGGAGAACTTCCCAAACCTTTTTCGTGAGTACTTTCCATGCATTCCCAGGCTTGCGAAGCGCGCTCTGATCTAATGACATCAGTACTCCTAGGGCCAAGCAGCCCAGCAAGCCACGGCAGCATTCTGCCCATTCTGGAATGGTATACTCGCTATATGTTTCAGGTGGTGGACAAAATGCAGACGGAGAACATCAAGTCGTTCGAGCCTAAGGCTGGCGCTATCAAAGACTTTTATAACCACACGCATGAGTTAATGAAGCGATTGGCTTGGTCAGCTCGTACGTCGCCCCCCTTGGACGTCCGTCCTTCCACTTATCCATCCTAATTCTTTGCAAAAGCATGTCGATCCTGGTTTAAGAACGGGAATATCCATGGGCCAGTGACGGCAATCTATCCCGGTTCCCGTCTGCACTGGTTCGAGATGCTCCGAAACGTGCGCTGGGAGGATTACGAGATTGAGTATAGAACAGGCAACCGATTCCAGTTCATGGGGAACGGTTTCAGTCAGGTCGAATGCGACCCAGATGCTGATCCAGTTTGGTATTTCGATGACCCGTTCACCCAGATATAGCAATCTCAATACAAAGGTGTGATTATGTCTGTCGGCAAACGTTTGGCCATGATGATGATGATGATGATGATGATGATGATTGAGGACCCTGAATCATGCGCCACGGCTCATGACTTCTTGTCCAAGCTTGGAATGCACTGGTCGGCCCATGGTCTATCTTCGGTGACAATCTCGTCGTATGACCACGAATCTTTCACATACAACTTGTGAGTGACAGCACTGGGAAGAATACTATGGTACGTCTTTAATCTGAGCATGTTGCCTGACAGGGGGGGTGCTTCACATGGTACATGGGCCCAGCAGGTCATGTTGGAGAGGAAGCATAGTGTTCTCTGATTGGCCATTCGGTGAAATGCTAATCCGATGACTGTGGTCTTATCTTATCACCAGTTTCTTATCGGTTATCCTAATCTAATCAGGCTTCAATGCCAAGACCCAGGGTTCTCAAGGGATTCCTGAGTTTACGTCATTCTCAAGAGATTCGGTCACGCAGAAGAATATTGCAAGACAAGACTGTGCTGAAATCGCTCAATTGTCATCGCTGACATACCATCTAGCTACCGGACTTTTTGGCCATCTGGCCATTTTTCGCTCATCTCATTGTCCCGATGAGACGACCGATAGAAAATGATGTGTTGCGGCTACGGGGAGCCACCTATCGTACACTGTCAGCCTTCCCTCTTGTCGAAGGCTGTCTCCCCTTGGCCATAAAAGATGGCAACCCGTTTTCCCATGTAAATGGCGAGCGCAAAATAATACCGGCAACTCCGTTATGGTGCTATACCATGCCCTATACGTCTGCGGTAAGACTCTGCCTGAACGCCTAAAGAATGCTAAAATAAAAATCCACGATGCAATGTTGAAACCTCGAAACGCCACCGGGTGACGTGTTGATGCCCTCCCTCATACGCCGGAGGCCATGCAAGATAAAATCAAGATAAGAAAACAAATCGCTGTGCAAGACCACGAGAGAACCTGAGGCTTGGTGTGAATGTAGAGCGCTGAGGGCCCGATATAATTATGCGTGGTAGTGCTGGTGGTGAGGCGGGGCTTGCGTGGCCGGCATGGGCGTCGGACGGCCGCTGCCAAAAGTTGACTGAAACTCAGGGACGATTCCCGTTCGCACATTGCGGCGGCCCAGTGGTTGATAATGCATCTGAGCCGAACCCAAGTGGTACTCGGAAAGAGGAATGGAGGGAGGAGGATAGTTGAGAGTGTTTACAGGCCGGACCGGCTTGTAAGGGCTGTTTCGCTGTTGCAGATACACCGAGGGCGAGTTCGATATGGGCGTGTGCGACGCAAAAGGCTCCGTCAGAGGTGACGAGGCATACACTGCTAACGTGCCAGGACTATGACGCTTAGTAGGCGTGCCGAAGTTGGATGGGGCCGCATATGAGGGTGTCTGAGGCCCGCATGTTGCAATGACAGGACCCTGGGCGGCCCACGTCGTGTGTGGGTACACCGTGGCCATTGCTCGCATCCCTTGTCCCAGAGGGGGAAGCGAAACGGGTGCCTGGGCGAAGGTGTTGGGGCCTGGGTAGCCTACGGGCGTTCCGGCGGCCTGGCTCGTGTCAAGACTGAGCTGTGGTACTGGCAGCCGCACAGGTTCAGTGATTCCTGGAAGGTGCTGGGTGACCGGTGGCTGGACTGAGGCAGCCTGTCGGGTCATTCGCTTGGGGGTAGGCTCTGTTCGTTCCGGGGTGTCCAGGCTCCTCTTGCGCCCGCTCACAGGAAAACCAAGGCTGGGCTTAACCGACAACGGTGACAAGGCCGGTGTTGGCTGGAACGGAGGACGCCAGTTCTGATTCGGGTTGTATACAGCAGAATTCTGGGAATAGGTCGTCAAGGACGGCGGGGCAGCCTGCATGCTCGAAGGCAGGATGCTTGTGGGAGAGGGCAGCGGGGGGCTGTAGCCACGGCCGACCGGCGACGATACATTCAAGGGCATTGCTTGGGCCCTCTGTCGCGCTGCCATCTCCGCGGCTTTCTCGGCGAGGTCGGCCTTCTCGCAGTACTCGTGGAAGCATGCTAACTTGTTCAGCCAAGAGGCCCATTCGTCTTTGGACACCAGCAACCCATAGCGCATATTGCTCAGGAACTCGACCTCCATCACATGTATCTCCTTGACAGCGATGCCCGACACCTCGGCCCATGTCTTATTCGTGTACGTATTGTCGTCCAAGAACTTGTTTCCCAACATCAATGCAACCGTGAGGAGGCGGTATTCACTGCCCGGGCTTCCGTTCACCTTCGGGTTCGTACTCTTGAGCTTGTACACGAAGAGCAAGGCCAGGAGTATGACGTTTTGCGTCACTTGCGTGGTGGTGAGAATGCTGTTTACCCACTTCTTGTAGTCATTGCCCGGTCTGGTGTACGAGGATAGCGGCGGTATCGGCTCATTCGCGGGGCGGTCCTTGATCTTCTCGGCGGCTTGTATCGTCTTCATTTCCTCGAACCAGAAAAAGCACGTCATCTAGGTACAAAGTGTCAGTTAATTTTGCACGTCACTTTGCAGTGGGTAATGTTGGAATGGAGGCTGCATACCAGAGCTGCGAATTCGTCAAGGTTCCCGCCATTGGGGGATATGCAGCTGGGCAACTTGAGACTGTGCATAACCATGCTGGAATCTTTTCTCGACACGGTACCCTCGAAGTGAGCCTGCGAGTGGGATGTGGTGGTGGAGGAGGGAGTGGAGGGCCGCGTCGAGTGCCGTGACGCTCCGGAGTGAGGGTGCGAGCTGACCGGGGCCAGATTCGAGGCATGGTGCAGTTGCGGCAACGGTTGCGGTTGATACTGAGGTTGGTTCTGGTATTGTTGTCCTTGGGCATGTGGTTGGTGTTGATGTTGATGTTGTTGCTGTTGTTGGAGCTGCGGTTGGCTTCTGGCTACTGGATTCACCGCCGCCTCACAAAGGACTGGTCCTGCTCGGTTCGTCTGGGCCAGGGCGCCCGGCTGCCGGGCCATGGCAACATGGCTGTTGTACGTCGACGAAAGAACAGGATTATGGGAGTGGTAGGCGGTACTCATGTTGTCTTCGGCCGGCGGCGTTCGAAGACCACCCTTTTTCAGGGCAGCTCCGTTGGCCAAACAAGTCTGCTGCACCCTTCCCGAGAGAGGTGCGGCTCTTCGTGACCAGTGAGATGTTCTCGAATCCGCGGGGGAGGGAAGATGCGGAAATAAAGTCGGCTGGACGACGGTGGAGACGGCAGTAGACATGAGGATGGCGAGGGTTAGAGTAAGAAGGTCGAGCAAGGAGAAGTAGGGTTGCCAGGTCCGTTGGAAAAAGGGAATGGGCCTCGCAAAGGGGATTGTTGTGGTGAGGTTAAGAGACAACGGCGAGGATTGTGCGTAACGAAGTGTGAAGTGAAGGTCTCCGAAGCTGTTGAGCCATGCGTCCGGCTGTTGACTGGATCGATTCACCACGCTCTCGCAGGTTGTGATTGTTACGAAGAGTTATAAGTCGTGACTACTAGGCTAGTCCCTCGGATGGAGAAAAAAAAGTTATCTGTGAGCCATATCGTGTGAAACCAAAACTCTTGCAAGCTGGCCGCTCGGAGAGGCGAGATTTCCTCGTGTTGGTGGGGTGTCGGTCGGTTCGTCGTCAGGGACTGTGAGATAGCTCGTGGGTTTCGACCTTGGGTGTTCGTTGCTGGCAGAACCGGTGGCCTGGAGATGGGTGGCAGAGAGTCGACGAAAGGTAACGTTGGGAACGCAGCTGGAATCTTGGAAGGATATCTCACTCACTCCGCTCTACGTCGAACATTCCTGGGGCTTCGGCAAGTACTGGGCTTGGAGCAAGAGGTTAATTGGAACTTGGGCGCTTTCCGAGTAATATACAACAATCATTCATTAGCTACGCATATCCAGGTATCGGCCGGATTTAGACTGGTGTTGATGGACCATGTCTAGGGCCGCTGGGCCTGGTGAGGGCGACATGGGCTACATGGGCTACATGGGCTACATGGGCTGGGCTCGGATTGGCTTGGATCGGGTGTGGGACCGCCCAAGCAAAGAGAGGCGTGTGAGAGTGGAGCAGGGGGGGGGGGACACTGAGAGAAAAACCTGAGCACCGCGAGTGGCACGCACCCTGATCAGTGATCAGGGACCCCAACCAGACCCCGACCCTGGGCAGCTGGGAGACCGGGGGGCGTGAGATTAGAGCAGGATGCCAGAATGCGCAGCAGGTACCAAGGCCAGCCAGCCCCAGTGCTACGTACAGTAGTGTAGTAGCTCGCCGGCGGTGGACTGGACGAGTGACGAGCGGCGGGCGAAGGACCAGGCAGAGTTGGTTGGCTAGTTGAGTTACATGAGTACTGTACGTACTCGTCGCGGAGCTTGCAGGAGAGACCAGGCCCCGTACAACTCTGAAGCTTTGCTTTGCTTGCTTGCTGGCTTGCTGACTTGCTGGCTTACCACAATACACATACACAGTACATGCCCTAGCCACACGATGTACCTTGCCTGCCGCAACTACCTAGTTGACTTATTATGTACATACCTACTGAACTGCCCGTGCCTGCTGCGGCCGTCTAATTGCGTTCGTTGCTGGTGCAATGCCGGACTAACTGACCGACTGGTTGACGGGAGGAGCGTCAAAAAGGAGGAGACCACGGGAGTTACAACATAGACGGGCGCGCTGGTGATAGGCCGGTCAGACAGCCTGCAAGCCAGACAGGCTTTCCGCTTGTGAATGGATCACTGCGTTCATCCAACACCAGACTGGTGCCGTGGCCCTGGACAAGGCGCTCTGCTAGTCAAAAGTCAGGCCACGGCCCACGGCGTGTTGTGGATGGTCCCGGAGGTCATCATCGACGCATACATAGCTAGCGCTCCGTTCCCGTCCAGTCAAAGAAGGCGAGGCCGAAGGGAAGGACGGAAAGAAAAAAAAAATTGCAGTCCCGTTTCGGGAGGCAGTCCTTGCCGTGCTTCCTTCGCTGGTTCGCTCCAATGGCTGCAGGTGGAGGTTGTGTGGTGTCCAGACGGTTGCTTTGGTCGTGTTGCGGTGGAGGTCTCACTCCGTCGACGCTTGATGCTTGCAACACTTTGCACCAGCTGATTCCTCGCTTACCCTGTTCAGGAACGTGGATCAATTGTGACTGGGCGTGGATGGACAAAGCCCACTGGCTAGCCCACTAAAGACAAGCAGCTGTGCGCGCCCTAGTTACCAACCCAGCGCTCAGGTGGCTACCTATACCCAGTCGCGCGGCCAGGCTCGGTGGGGGGAGTGGCAGAGTCAAGCGTCAGCACACAAGCCTTGGTTCGCCAGGGCCCAGACAGGCCAGGTTCCAATTACCACTTCTGCGTTTGTTTGCTCGCGCATGTAACTACGTGTGGGTGTGAGTGTGCGTGTGAGTGTGAGTGTGTGCTTGCTGTGTGCGCGTGCGTGTGTGCGTGCGTGCGTGCGTGCGAATGAGCAGGCTGCGCGGTCGTATCTGTCGTCTTGCATCTGCACTGTATTCAGGATCTGCCGCCCATTGCTCGCTCCTGTTCGCCCGCTCGGGGCTGGCGCGCTGGCGTTTGGTGGGCTGGGGGGAAAACAGGGGCGGCTTGTCTCTTTCGCGAAAAGAAGTCATCAGGATCATCGTCCGACAAGCCAGCATTTGGATCGCGGCCAAGGTGGCTGGCTCGTCAGGATGCAAGTCCAAGGATACGCTACGTACATGCCTGGCCGGTCGCCCACGGCGGGCAGTGTTTCCCGCTATCGCTCGTTTCGATAGTGACCGACGGTGCTGGGGCTAGGCGAATGCTGAAGCAGTCATGTCCCGCAATGTGGAACGCACCAGTCGGCTTTGAGCAGCAGAGAGGCTTGAGGCAGCATGCGTTTTGAAACTGGGCAAATTGAATTCACGGTTAGGATGGAATGATGTTTCTGCCGGTCGCAATGTTGGCTTTGCTGCTCGATGGAACATAAGATGCTCTGACGGCTCGTGCGCCGAATTCAATCAATCAACCAAGGCATATCGAATCAGATGCCACCCCTCAGGAGAGGGTTTCCGATGCCGTCGCCGTGATTGATGCTCCAGATCCTGTGGGGAACACACACACCCAGCACATACCTACCTAGCACACTTACCGAGCCGACTCAACACTCATTACGGAGCAGTGTTACGGACTTGGACACTGGGCGCAGCCCGTTTCCGCGGCACAGAGAAGCAGGTTACCTGCCTAGGTGCCGCCCAGTTCGTCGTGTAGTTAGTCCGCAGGCTGGTCTCTGCAACAAGCCCCGTGATGGGGCACTGCAAACGGGGAGAGTTGTTGCCGCCAAAAGTCTAAGATGCCCCTACGGAGTGCTCCGTTCGGCAGTCGGCCGCTGCTTATGCCACTTTATGCAGAGTCCGGCACCCGTCTCTGGAATTGCTGGGCTGATATCGCAGATGCTCTGCAGGCTGACGGTGTCGTTCACCAGACAGACATGCATGCAGTTCCCGACCGAAGGATTGTTGCACTCTCAACTCTTGTTGGGGCCGCGTTTTGACGAGAATGGCATTTGTCTAAGGGGGCGTGTCCTTCGGGGTGACAACGACCAATGTGTGCGTGAGCCAATATTTGACTGATGGGGTGGAACTTAAACAGGCAAAGCCTATGCTGATGATGCATGTGGTCTCGAGGCACACTAACAGCGTGTTACTATCTCGTTTTCATTAGGCCCTCCGTAGGGGCGAGACAGTTTCGGCATTAAAGTAAGTACTGTGGAGCAAAGGCAGGCAAGCCGTAATCCCATCAAATGAACATTTGAACGGACGGAGTAGCAGCAGTAATAAGCTCAGGGCCGCTTGGGGGCGCAAATGCGACCAAACCACGCAACGACTTGTGGTGATGAGGAAGCACTCACTGATCGGCCACGTCCATCATCGTAATAGACACGGAAAGGGGGCCACGGGGGCCTCGTATGGCCGAGGGTCAGATCACGAGATGCTACGGTAGATGATCCAAGACCTACCAGGTTGAGCCATCACCTGTGGGGTGCCTCCTGGAATCCCGCATTGCTGTGTGCGAGCTCAGCTGGGGACTATACCAAGACCCGATATTGATACGGGATTGCAACATTTCCGAAGGAGGCGGGGTACGTATCGTCGGGCCATTAGGAAACCACGGCGACATGTCATTTGTTGGCGGATGGGCGGGGTAGGTAGCCTGATTGAATGCGGGCTGCGGTCAAACACGATCTTCCCTCGAGGGCAGAGAAGAAAAAAATGCGTTCACAAGCGGAGCCAAAGCCATCCTGATACCTAGTCTAAGAGTAATAGCCACGCCGTGCACGCGTCAAGATGCGCAAGGGCATGTCATACGTGCTGATCGCCGAGGGCGTCCGTAATTGGTTTTTGGGCCATTGAAGACAGTATTAGTGCTCATTCGCCATCCTTCATCCTTTCCCCTCCCGAATGACAGCCATCCCTGACATGAGGCTGCGGGACTTCAGGTCCAGAGCAGGTACTTGCATAGCCAGCCCATGTCTGCGTAACTCGTAGTCATGCTTGCAACGGCTCGTGCTCCTAGGGCGGCATCGGTCTAGCACTGTTGGGCCCTCTGCGTTGTGACCTCCAATGAGACGGGAGCACTTGAATAGGGTGAACCCCGCCATCGAGCTACGCTGTAATAGTTCCAAGGAAGCGTTTCCGAGCTTGTGTCTCTCTGATATTGAGTCACGATATCACTCCAAGTTCCAGAACACGAGACCAGGGGGTGTGACGAAGTGCTGTAGAATCTACCCAAGCATCCTATTCCGTGACATGTTGCAGCCAGAAGACCCGCGACACTATCGAAGGACGGTGTGATGTGTCAGCCATCTATCGGGCGTCAGTGATCAATGCATGCTAGCACAGGAAGAACCTACACGCTTGCATCTACTAGATAGCTCAGACACAGGCGCTGGTCCAATCACGACGACGCATTCTAGTAACCCGTCAGATTCCATGGGCCTGGTGTCGGATGTATTCAGGAGCAAGGAAATGTGACGGATGGAGGGGTCCGGGTACTTGGCTTGCGACGTCCTATTACGACGTCAGGGATGGCTCGCAGGCACTAGGTTGACCTGAAAAATGACGCCCTAATTCCGGCCAAAGGAAATCAAATTCCCTCGACGGCAACTGGCTGCTGACTTTCCGGGCTGTAAAGGCCTCTGCAGACTGGCCGCCAATCACTTCCTAGCTGACGGCGGATTGTGAACTTCTGCAGCCAGTCCTGTGGAGGCGAGCTTCCTAACAGCGCAGCCCACC